AATAACACGTAATAATCACACTTAATGCGGCGGGCAATTCATGGGCACTATGAGGAAGTTAATTAAATACATATCATCATATCGCCGCGAATAAATACCTAGTTCAGTTCGGGAAACCACTTTGTAAATCGCACTATTACAATGTTAGCTTAAAAATACAGACTTAAGAATCAACTTAAATAGTTTAGAAAAATTGAAAAAGGGAAGTTAGAAGACCAGTTGATCTTGATTCAGATCGCGCAAAAGAATCTTTCGGAAAATCAACTGAACCAACAGAAATAAATCACCAAATTCTAGACTAACTCAGAGGTGTAAAAAAGAAACATTCCAAATAAAATATGTTAGATAATTTAATAAACCATTTATTCAACAATGCGCTAATAAAAAATTGATTTAAAAAAATTGCAAAAATCCAATTTTAAACATACCTATTAAGCACGTTTTATTACCAGAGTATGCCAAACTAATAATAGACATGTAATTAAGAAAAAAAATGTACTTTATATTATTCTGTGTACTGTCGTGCAACTTAACCAGCCGAAGTAAGTATTATGCAACAATTTCAAGTGAATTTAGTGCCATCAATATTATGGTATTTATTAAATATTACACAGCTTTTCTGATAATAAACCATCCTGATCGTAAAAAAACATTACCCTGTAACTACTTCTGGCGCAAGTGATTCGGTGCCTACTAATGGAAGAAAACTGCACTCATAACAAATTGCATTAAACTTGACGATATTTTTTCGTTTGATAAGATATTCAATAAGTTGAAGGAAGTACATACATTTCTTTAGTTCAAAGGGGGAAATAGATTTGCTTAGAGATGCAAGTTGCAAAATGATTATCGCCATATAGATAAAGTTTGAACCTTGCCTACTTCTACACATAGCTTTTAATCTTGTTGTGTTTTGGATTGAGCCTTGAACGTTATTAGAGTAATTTATTTTAATTTTCCTAAATAGCACTGGTTTGGTTGCTTGACTTTGCTAAGCAAAAAAGTTGACAAATTTGGGAGCTCTTAGTTTGTGATATGTGTATAGTAAAATCTCAGCAATGTATGTTGTTTGGGTGCCACTGCTAAGCTGTTCGGTTGCAGTAGGTTTGACGGTATTGTCAAGGTATGGTATTTATTTATTTGTTTGCTCGATTAAATTTCTTCTGATAATTCTGTGTGATAATATCGTGCTGCGGGTATGAAAATTTATCTATTTTAGAACAAGGGCCCACGTTCAAGAACATAATTCAGAAAAAATGGAGAAACTTTTCAAACAGCAGGTCATGAGGACTAATCAGACTAGATAGCAAAGAAAAGTAAAATGTTTGTATAATAATGAGGTATCTATAGATAGCTATTGTAATTGATATGTGTAGGGTAATTTTATAGAATATATGAATAAATATTATATAAAAACGGGTACGATTCATCCACCAAATAAAATATTATTGTAAATTTTAATGCATTGCCGATAATAGTTTAGTTTTTACTTAATTAGGTTTTATTTAATTGTGTAATACATCTAATATGAACTTGGAAATTTCGAATGTTTGATTATTAATTAGTATAGTAAAAAATAGTTATTTATGTAACATGTAAAACTTCTAAGATAAAGCTAGAAAATATTATGTTTGACGTAATTTCTATAAAGAATTGACCAGGGTTTCAAAAATGTATTAAAAATAAAATCTGTTGACATAATGGCGAATAATTAGTGTAGAAATATATGTTGCTAAAATTTTCTCGAAGTACGGAACACATTCGTCAATACAATTTGGACACCGTATTTATGAAGTTTGCCATACCATAACGACCACTGGAATGATGAAAACAGTTTAATCAAATCAAAAGATCGTTTATTTTTTAACTACATTTTTTGATGAACCAAAAAGCTGATTTTTTAATTTTCCTTTGCCAAATCCGCGTTGCGCCAAGTATATTTTACAGTGAATTACACCATATTCGGCAAATTATAAAAACAAATTAAAAATTTGTTGGGCAGGCTATGTTGTACAGATTCAAAAAATGTGTACTTTTTTAAAATTTCCTAAAAGTACTTAGTTTGGGTTTGATTCTGAAATAATTTTCTTTCACATTTTTGCGTAAAAATAATTGAGTGACATATTTATAATTGAATCACGTTAAGGAAGAGCGTCAATAAATTTTGCAATAAATACGATTTATTTACATACCTAAAATCGCTCTTAAATGGCCTTCTAACGTCTGCAAAATCGTAGCTTTGATTTCCTTCACAGTTTTCCCCAAAAACTGTTCACTGGCCGTATGGAGTAATTCATCAGCTTTCATTATTTTACACTGGGCAACGCCTGTAACACTGAGGGGAACTCCTTGAGCTGTTTCCACGCTCTCACATTGAGGATTTAGTGTCATCACTTCCAAAGAAAGTCTTTGAACGTCGGTAACCAGCCACCATGCCCAAGACCATCCTCCAACTATTGTGACACGTTTTGTGGATCCACAACAACCTCCTAAAAATCAACGAATTATATTAAGTAAAATTATCAATAAAATAATGCATACAACGAGAATAATATTTAACAACCCTTAAATTACAAGGACACATTTTTAAATCAAATAAAACAGTTCACTGAAAAAAAGAAGACAAATTTCTACAATTATGAATTGGGAATATGTAATTGAACTCCAGACAAAATGGTGATTTATATTAAAGGTTTGGATAATTTATAGAAGCAAATTTAATCAGTTAATTAAAGGCTGAACTAAGCACAATAAATTTTCCTCTATAAAAGAAAGCCTTTTTAATAACACACAATTTTAACATTATTAGCGTTTAAATTACACATTAAATAAACTACTAAACGTAAACTTGTTTTTCGATTTGCGCATATTATGTTGGTTTCTGTTTCTCTTAGTTGTTGATAGTATTTTTGTCCGCTAATATTCAATTAAAGTTTAAAATACTTTAATAATTCAACTGAGACAAAGTGTATTATCCAATCAATTGCTGAAGACGACACAGAAGCCTCGTACTACATTTGGAAAACAGGGTACAATTCTTATCAAAATAATCCTTTTCAATTCCAGGATTTTTTATAAACATTGTATACCAAACTTTATTAATACTTGGTTAAAAACTTCTAATTACTGATTAACTTCAGCTTTTCATCATTTATTAGTTTACGGCGACAAATTATCTGAAGTTATTTCTAGACAACAGTAAACCTTGCGCTTAGACCTATCTTAATGGCGTTCTCAAGATACTTCACAATCTTTCTTCACCGTTTTATACTAATTCTCCTAAAACCGACGTAAAGTAATGCAGATGCTCTACAACCACTCAAACGTAATTTATATTCCGGTCTGTTTCCTTTCTTCGGTGCACTTTCACATAATGTCAAGTATATGAGAAGAATCACGTAGGACATGAAATTCTTCGTTCGTAGACAGAAGAATCTATGTTATGTTTCTTTGTCGGACATTTTAAAAGATCAGACCTTTCGATCATTAGATATAACTGGTCCAAATGAGATGTTGAACGCAACAAATCTTTGCGCGAGTAAATTCCTATTAGAATAAAAAATACCTATTAAGCAATGAATCTAAATAAGGTTTGTTCAACGTCTATTGCCAAGAGAAAGTCAATCTTCTAAATCGTTAGAGGATTGTTATATCTGCAATAAAAATTGTAAACATTAGCTATAATACAGGAGTAAGGACAAAAGTACTTGGTTCAATATTGGTAATATATTTGCAATCATCAGTCATTCCTTTCAGATTCAATTGCATTTAAAATCCCAAAAACATTGACTAATTTTATTATTTAATCCATATAGAATATTCCATTAAATATTGAGGTTTATCCAAATTCAGGCAAATTATTCAACGGCAAATAACATAGGTCGATGGTATTATTTAAGAAAAGCTGTTTTTTCCTACGGAGTTTACTGCGACATAATGTTATCTCAATAAGTTAGTAAACTACAATCGCATTATACAAAAAAATATTGAGTATTTAAGCATGTGTTTTGAAAAAACTGTATTTAATATAATCACTAGTAATTATTATGCTAAACTGGCAACTTTTAATTGACGGAATGTGATCAAACAATAGAATTTTTCATTATAATTAATTCTTTATGAAATATTATATAGGAGTACCTGGTACATAATATTCATAAATTGGTACTAATAACAACATGCACAAATTTATATTTGAGTTTTGTTGCCAATTGTAATTAAAAGTTGTAGAATCTTAGAAGAACAATGCTGTTTGGATTTTTATTTCACGCAATTCGTTATGGATTTAGAGGTAAACTTTGCATTTTAATTCTATTACCCTTAAAAATTTTGCATATAGCTTCATTTGTGTTAATTCGATTAGGATTACGTACATTTTAACTTCGTAATACTCTGGTCATAGTCAATTAATGCTATGAATATTATTAAGATTATTTAGCATAAAGCTTAAGCAAATAACAGACAAATAAAATTAGCATACATATTCCTATTTACTTTTTTTGTTGTCGTTGGAGTTTTATACTTGTTCTATTGACTTGTTGCGCCTGTAAATTCATCCCAGTTATTAAAACCGCATTTAATAAAAATAACCCCTCTAATATTTTTTAAATTTATCTTTCCTACGTATTATAATTTTTTCATTTTAATATTTTTTGGTGCCATTACCAAATTATACCATTAGTACCTTCAAGCTAACATTTTCTTCAGCCGAATTGTTAAGATTTATTTATAGTATACGGATGGTATATGTGTAGGTACTTTTCCCAAATTGTAACTACTATTATTAATTTTTTTCTCCAAACTTTATCAAATTCAAATGTATTATATTCATAGTAATAAGTAAATTAATATCTACTGAATAATTGAGGATATGGAAAAAAAACAGAGAATCGCTACTTTTCCTTTACCCCTAGTATAAAAGTACTGCTATTCGTTGTTCAAAGCGGTTCATGACCACCATCAATCTTTGAGATAGTAAAAGGTAATTTCTTCATTTCTTCTTTTATCAGTTCCAATAGGTTTTTGTTCTTAGAATGAGTCAAGTTCAAGTGCACCGTCTCGACTCTGCCACTTTTCCAGTTGCTCGTCTCATTTTGGCTAAACTGGCAATTTTTTTACTTTTATATTAAGTGTAGTCGCTAATTTAATGAAATTGGATGAAACTGTGTCAGTGTACAGTTTTAATTTTAACGATTCCGATACGTGTCTTTTCATATAAGTATGTATAATTATTATTAAGTGATAGAAGTGGTTGGACGAAAATATGTGATAAATTTACATTTGGAAATGTAGTTACAAAGACAAAAAAGTGATTTATTAATATTCTAAAACTGTGCTGTTAAAAAAACTGACCTGTGTTTGCTGAATAAACTAATTTCGAGTATTATAAAAATAAGGTAAGTTGGTGATAAGTAGTTTGGAAACCGACTGAATTGACAAAAAATTATTACTTCAATATTCACTTAATATTTTGATAAAAAGAAGTAAAAAAGATTGAGCAATAAGAAGGTAAAAACCTCCAATCAAATAAACCAATTAAATAATAATTTATTTCAATTTATTTTTATTTGAGGAAATCAAATGACAAAATAGCTCAATTTTAAGAAAATGCAAACAAGCAGTGGTGAAATATTATTACTTACATAATCAATCGTCAGAAGTAAAAAAATTGAGATCTGAAATATTTTTTCATTTTTACTTTAAATATATGTATACAAGAAGCTTTATTAAGGCCCAGTACAAAACGAATTCTGAATGAATCAAACAAATGATAAATTAACAATACCATATCTTCTTAAAAGCATTAATTCAATGTACAATCGATTATTTAATCTAGATTGAATTTGACTTGAACTTATAGCTTCTTTTATTATTAAACTGATTAAAAAATAAAATATCGAATCAACTAACAGTTTTCAGAAGCTGTATGTAATATGTCTATTTTTTAATTCAATAAAAACGACCAGAAAACTGGTCTTTCTCAATTTTGAATTTATCTTTATTAATTATACAGGGTGTCCCCTAAGCTCATGATCAAACGGGTACTGCGATATTCTTTGGACCAAAAGAAGACGATCTGATCTAACTTTTATTAACAAAAAAATATCTGGCTCCTCTGCTATTGATCGTCAAATTTCTTCAAAAAAATTATTAGTGAAACTCGCTGTGAATTTGTTCTTATGTAAAACTCATATTTTGATGAAACAATCGAGTTCAGCCGTTTTGGACAAGTGGTGAATTCTTGAGTGTCGTGGTACAAAAACTACTAGAACTTTTTAGTTGGAGGATGAAATCAACTCGTTTTTTTTTAGGTTGATGCACCTTTTTTGGTTGATGACATTTTTTGTTAATAAAAGTTAGGTCAGATCGTCTTCTTTTGGTCCAAAGAATATTGCAGTACCCTTTTGATCATGAGCTTACGGGACACCCTGTATTATGAATGAGCCAAATACAAAATTTACAGCTGGCGTACGAATATTATTTCTACAACAAAGAAATTTTGACTATAAAAGTAAAAGTACGTTTTATTAGTAATGAAATTTAGTTGATGTTAATAAGATAAAAAAAAACAATTATTTATTGAAGGTTTCGACTTGCCGGCTGGCTTAAAAGTGTTAAATTGCCTTCTAAGCACCTGTAGCGTATTTAGGTGAAATTAATAAAATTGTAAGAAAGAAAAGCTTCCACGATTCATGGAAGATTGCACGTAAGCCACCCGTATAGCAAAATAACGTATTACAATGTATGCGCTTCGAAGAGCTTACGGGGCAATAAAGTAGAACAATAAAGCAACGACACTTGAATAATTATCAAACTCTGCTGGCCTTTTTGGTACTACGTAATAATCATTAACAGTGTAATCGCTCTCAACTGTCCACTTTGCATTTTTAACGGCAACTTCTTTATGCATAGGATTTTTAAACCAGAATTCCCTTTCTGGTTAATCATTAATGATAGAATATTAGATCTTCATTAATAGGCGTAATTAAATATATAAATTCTTATTTACAGTTATGGAAAATATTTTAAATAGAAAGGATATAATTTCGAAATATCATTCAATTCGATTTAAAGAAAAAGTTATGAAACCAATGTTACCATTGAACGTGTGTAATAAAAATTGTTTTTTAACAAAAGAAACTTTCAGTAAACCTATAATGGCCGTCTTCAAGTGTTCCTTTAATTTGTGGTCAGATGAGAAACACAACTTTGTTCTTAAAGCTCGTGCTCTTTATTTTTTATTTCCTTGGCAAATGGCGCATTCTGAAATTCAATTGGTCAGAATTAAGGTTAGTTTGGGACCTAAATATATGATGGCCATAACTTTCCCTTGAGGCAACTAAAACAGATAAAACTCCTTCCTAAAGAAATAAATGAAGATATTGTCTGAAGGGTTCTACACACTATCAGCTTATATCTCACTTTAAGTGAATTTTCCTCTGAAAACATCATAATTTTAAATAAAAGGACAGTTAGGTTTATCATTTAAACATCAAAATGGATTTGTGGATTTGATTATCAAACACCATAATTTTAAATAAAAGGACAGTTATGTTTATCATTTCAACATTAAAATGGATTTGTGGATTTGGTTATCAAATGTTGCGTATTGAGTATTTGTAGTTGAACTGCGCGCGTTTGTCAAATTTTACGGTTATTAAACTTTTTTTTGTGGCGGTGTGCTTAATGCAAATTTAGATTTTCTGTATTTTATTGATTCCATTTTTCTTGATTTCATTCTGGTTTCAAACTTTAATTTTATTGTTTCACGTTCGTGTTTAAATCGCACATGATCAACTCAGTTAGCAAATAAAACAACTAAGTAGAAATGCTTGTACAAATTTTCATTAAAAAAGAAATTAGCAATGATAATAATAATTTTATATGTACGCCGATAGAGCAATTTGCACATTATTGTTCACTTCCCATGTAAAACACTAGAATATATAAGATTTGACACCCAATTGACCATTTGACCAACAAATAGCCCACCAAAGTATATACGTGCGGACAATGGAGCGTCGCAACTCATTTTCCATAATAAATTGGCGAAATAGAAAGTGATCGAAAAAAATGTATGTGACCGAAATGTATAATAGAAAAATCTTGCAAGAAAATGGCCAAACCGATATGTGTTATAACACCCATCGATTTTTTACTTATTAGTTTTAAGTGGGCGGTGAAGAACTGACCACAAGATGTTCTGGTTGGGTGCCAAAAGTGGGTGATTTTTAAAAAAAATTGTTAATTAGAAATGTCTGAATAGCCAAAATATTTGGACAAATTTTAATTTTATTTTAATCAACGTTATATAAAATACTTCTTAATAATTTCTTTTAAATTACTGAAAAAACTAATCGCTTCATTCGATGAAAAATCTGCGCGTTTGTGAATACATCAACTACACTGAATACAGTCCATTATTCCTAATTTAAAAAGCCATTGTAAAATGTATAGTGTTTTACCAAAATGTGAATCAGTTAACCTTAACTAAAACCGAATGTAAGTACTATTGACAAAAATAAATATAAAATTGTTCATTCTTTGTAGTAATGAGCGGGATAACGGCAGAAATACTGGAATTAGGGGCTGCCACAAGTTCGAATCTAGGAATTATTATTCCAGCTTTAGTGGCAGCTATGGCATACTTTCAATACGAATTATTAGACCCTGAAGCTAGACCTATAGATGTTCCAACAGATCAACTTCTGGACAAGTACGACTTTATTGTAGTGGGAGCTGGATCAGCAGGTGAGTTTGTACTTCTAGGTGGAAGGAATAAAATACGAATTATAACAGGTCCTAAGTGTAAATATAAACTGACTGTGAATGCTCTTAGGGGCTGTTGTGGCAAATAGACTGAGTGAAATCGAGCAGTGGAAAGTGCTACTGCTAGAAGCAGGAGGCGATGAAACGGAAATATCTGATGTTCCTTTGATGGCTGGATATTTGCAATTATCGCAGCTGGATTGGCAATATAAAAGCGAACCACAAGGACAAGCTTGCTTAGGTAAAACGCTATTAATTATACAAGACGGCTAAATGTAAACGAAACAGCATCAATTTCGAGACCTTGAGTCTCCAATAAAAAAACAGTCGAACAAGTCAATTTTCAACCCTGACCAAGGGATGACAGCTAAAACTTTTTCTCCTGGAAATGGAAATTGCGGGGTGCAAGCGTTTTATTTTTTATTTGATAATTTAAGATTGTTTCGTTTTCATTTAGCCACCGTGTAAACCGCTAATAACACGAAAAGATGTTAAATATTTTATTACAAATTACTAATATTTTCCATCATTAAGTTTAACAGGTYACAACATTTTGGAAACAACTGAAATAAGACTTTTTAAAACCTTATATTTTTATTATAACTGGTGAGAAATTGTGATCAACTAGACCCTGTAGAGAMAGTCGAAAACATTTAAGATTCAGATATTTTGAAACAAATTAGAGCCGTTCACTGAGTTATTTTTTAATTGTTTAAAACCATTCCAAATAGTTGAGAGTTTTAATTTAATAGCTTAAAACCCATCCAAGACTTAAATACTAGTGATTTTTAGGGACATCTATTTTGATATGCTTTTATAATTTCAAGCAGTTATTTTAAAAGAAAATGTATTTATCTAATTAATCGTTTTGTGCTTCAAATTAATTTAATCTGTGATTTAAATTAAAACTTTCCATCGACCAGCAATTAAAAAATTGTTTTTAGAGTTACTTCTGTCTAAAACAGGACATCAAACAAAGACTTTCTAATTATACGCAAGCATTTATCATTTATCCACTGGACTTGAATGAAAAAACTCGTCGAGCCTAAATATTTTTCAACATACAGTCTCCTTTTTATCTTAGGTATGAACAATGGTAGATGTAACTGGCCAAGAGGTAAAGTCATAGGAGGATCGTCTGTTCTCAACTACATGCTGTATCTTCGAGGCAACAAAAAAGACTACGACATTTGGGAAAGCCTTGGCAATCCTGGATGGGGCTCGAAAGACGCTTTGCATTATTTCAAGAAAAGCGAAGATAACCAAAACCCGTATCTTGCTAAAACACATTTCCATAGCAAGGGCGGATACCTTACAGTATCGGAACCTCCATTTAGGACTCCTTTGGTAAGCAGTTACTAAGACAAGTTAGAATGTCGAGTGAAAAAATCTACACAATTGTTTTTTGTATACAATATTAATGCGACATTTAATGATACACGGTTTAAAAGCAAATAATTTAAATATACCACTACTAAACACAATAAAGCAACAGTCACAAAAAAATTACCCCGATATGAAACCCTTAAATGTTGAACAATCATTTGATTTTTTTATAGCAAACATTTGCCCCTGATGAATGATTTTACAACAATTGACCACAAGTTGTCCCCTGTTCAATTCACATTTTCGCTTTGTGTGAATACCTTAGCCACTCTGAAAAATGTACTAYAATMGATTCTGTTATTCTCTTAAAGAGATAAACAATGTCCAGTTTTATCTGGAGTAAATTGAAATTGATTTTAAAGAAACTTGAAAACTCTTCAGAGCGRCGAGGGTGGCAAATTTTTCAAAAATKTTTTGTAMACTTTTGCACTGGCCACTTTTTCAAGWTAATCGTATATACTTTCGGTAGAAAACTGAATAAAATTATTTGGTTTATGYGCTCAATTCGAAGCTGAAAATGGTTTTCTAAAGTTCCCTGCAAACCGATGAATCAGGCGAATTTTCTAGCAAAATTAATTTAGTCAGTTTTGGCTGACAATAAGAAAAAAGAAAATAATCAGAAACTAATGTATTTTGCGCTTTTGATTTAAAACTTTTAGTTTTGTGATCGGTTTTTGAGAAAATCTTAATGGCTTTCGTGAAACTCTACAAAATAGAGCGTTTTTGAGTAGAAAGCAAAAAAAAATCAGTCAAAACTAAAAAAACGCATTTTTTAAACAAACTCTACAGTCTTCAGAGTGATGCAAGTCACGAGTTTTCCCAATAATTTATTATAAACTTTCGCTTATTCAGTTCGTTATGTGTTGGAAAATTATTTGAATTTTGTCCCAAATAATTTTTACAAAGCGACGAAGGAGGCGTGTGTTCTAATAAAATGTATTTCATAATTTTTCGCGAAAAATACCTTAAGATTGTCAGTATTTTTAAGAGAATCTTTAGAAAATTAAGCATTTAAAAACAAGAGTAACTTTGCTAAAACTGGAAAATTCTGAAATTTTGAAGAAATGTTAAAAATATTATTAATAAATGGCCTTTAAAAAATAAATCTAAAAACAAGTAAAAAACTCATTAACATTTTCCCAGCAACGGTTAGTTCTTTGCGCAGCACTGCGTCAACTCCTAAAAAGTCATTGAGTTATCCAGGCCTACTACATAGTACTAATGAGAAGTTTAAAAACCGCCCAAAGTTCGACGAAATTTTGCTAATCCACTTTTTGTCAAAAATTTAAGCAAATAACTGGTCTAATGAAGGAAAAGTCAATAGATAAATGTAACCATTCTTGAACCAACACGGAGTATTGTGTTCTTCTGCTACCAAACTATAAGAACAATAATTGCAGCCATTTCTAACATCTGAACTTCTTGAAGTTATTTCCTATCATTTCAGGTGGCTGCTTTTATCGAAGGAGGAAAACAGCTTGGCTACAAAAACAGAGACATCAACGGCCAATACCAGACAGGGTTCATGATGGCTCAAGGAACAGTTAGACATGGATCCAGATGTTCAACTGGAAAAGGTTTCCTAAGACCGATCAGGTTGCGTCCAAACCTTCATGTAGCAATGAAAAGTCACGTCACCCGAGTTCTAATAGATCCCATCTCCAAGGTAGCTTTCGGAGTCGAGTTTATTAGAGATGGAAAGCTGCATAGAGTGAGAGCTACCAAAGAGGTGATACTATCGGCTGGAGCAGTAAACAGTCCACAGCTTTTGATGTTGAGTGGAGTCGGTCCAAGTAGCGACTTGGCACTTTTGAAGATTCCAGTAATTCAAGATTTAAAAGTTGGGCATAATTTGCAAGATCATATTGCCTTAGGAGGACTAGTTTTCACCATAAATAAGCCGGACTCTATTCTGTTGGACCGAATTTATTCCGTGGGGTCCTTAATGCAATATGCTGTATGGGGCAAAGGTCCTCTAACAATTATGGGAGGAGTCGAGGGGTTAGCATTTGTGAACACAAAATATGCAAATGCATCTGATGATTTTCCAGATATTGAATTTCACTTCGTAAGCGGCGGGCCACATTCAGATAAAGGAGCCCAAATAAAAAAAGCCCATGGCCTTTCCGATGAATTTTACAATTCCGTTTTTAAGCCCATAGAAGGACAGGATGCATGGGGGGTAATACCTATGCTTTTACGACCTCGGAGCAAAGGTTTTATAAAATTGCGGAGCAAAAAACCTACCGATTACCCACTGATATACCCCAATTACTTCGACGACGAATTCGATATGAAAACTTTAATTGAAGGTGTCCGAATAGGAGTTGCGCTAAGTCAAACTCCTGCATTCCAAAACTACCAAAGCACATTTGTCAAATATCCTCCATGTGAACATTTAACCCGACATTCTGATGACTATTACGAATGCATGATCAAACTCTACTCAGCAACTATATATCATCCGGTCGGCACAGCAAAAATGGGCCCCATTTGGGACAAGGATGCAGTTGTGGATCCCCAGTTGAGGGTTTACGGAATAAAAAATTTGAGAGTGATAGATGCAAGTATAATGCCTAATCAAGTAAGTGGAAATACGAATGCTCCCGTGATAATGATCGGAGAAAAAGGAGCCGACCTAGTAAAAGAATTTTGGCTGAAAGCGGCAAAACTGAGTAGGATTTACAAAACTTTAGAGGGAATTTAAAGCATGCCGCTCCAAGACTTTTTGGAACTTGCTTAATGACTGATGATGAATTAATAAATGCATCTCAACTTTTCACTTAGATGGTAAATGCCTGATGAAATTCGTATTCTATTGATTTTTGATTTGTGATAAAGGGCCATTATTTTTGTAAAAATACATTATCAAATCAATGGTGTCTTTTATTTCATTTATGTGAAAGCCTTTCTCAGTTTAAAGTGCTGAAAATACTACCAGAATGAATTACTGTAAGGAAATACTGAGCTGATTTTAAATGCTTCTGATTTACTCAATGCATAACAACATTTTAGATATAAGTAGAAACCGAGTTTTGTTAATTATTAGGAGATAAATTCTTGACCGATACAAGAGCAATTTTCGGATGTAGAAGATGAGGGCATACAATAATTTGCCGAAAGCTTGGTAGCTAAAACGACTTTCTGTTTTCTTACAACTGCACACACCGAACCCCCAGGGCAATTTACTAGTTGTCGCTGTTGATGCGTGTTTTCTAATTCTACAGAAAATTTCGTTATTTCGTTAAATGCTAAACTTTTTCTATAACACTTTATGTAGCAAATGCATTTTATCAAATCCCATGTAACGTTTTCGCTTATTTTCTTTTTTCTGCTTTTAATTGAATTACCACCTATTGACATCTTGAAGACTGTAGGACCTTCTTTTTATGGAATATCCAATTAGTTTCGATTTGGGCGCCTTGATTTAAGCGTTGATTGAAAGTGTATATATATACTCTTTCAATCAACGATTTAAGGCTTTATCAATGAATAAAATGTACGACCAAACAAATAATCAGTGATATTATCAAGTACGTATACAGGGTGATTTATATAAACCGTACATTAGAAGTTTTCCAACTTGCTGTTGTTTTAGAAACTTTTTTAGGCCTTTAACGTTTTAGAAACTTTAATTTTTATATTTTATTCAAGGTGATCTTTGACTGAATTTAAAAGCAAAGCAAAATCACGAAAAAGAAAACCTTATATACTATTGAATAATTGAAAAAATATATAAAAAATGGAATAAACTTATGCAACAAATATTGATAGTTACATGTAGCAATAAAAATACCAATTTTACATTAAAATTGCCATTTAGTTGAAGGCCGATATAAATCAAATAAATGAGCCCAACAATTTAACTGAGCTAGCTAATATAAATGAATCGTTCACATCAAAACAAGTAAAATTATTCATTGTATTATTTATAAATATGCAACGGGTGAAATATGATTAATAGCTATAAAACAATTTGTACAGAATATCTATCAATAATATTAAATAAATCCAGATCCATGGGATTAATATGACATAAACATGTTCAAAAACCAATAGTAGCAGCGGTTACTATTGATGAAGTAGTGTTGGAGCATTTTTAATTTCTAGATGGGAACATACCTGAATTAATCACACAAAATTGCGGACTGCTCATTGCGGTCCAAATTCGTAAGTAATTCGAAACGATTACGAAAGTTTGAAAACAAATACCCATTTTAATAACATTGTAACAAAACACTAAACAATTGAAAATTGACCAAGTAACCCATATGTAAGTGAAATGTGAAATAAGGTGTAACATAATCTACATTCCGCAGTAAGTATTTTAAATGTTACCGACGATGTGCTAATTATCGCATTTCTTGCATGGAATTAGTGTCTTAAAATGGTTTGAATTTTCGGATACAGCAATGTTTGAAAAAAAAATATTTTAAAAATTAAAAATTAAGGTTCTTCTTCGATATTCTGATACATTTTTGCTGTACTGTAATATGAAAGCCAAATAACCTTTGAAATTAAGTTTTAGAAAAGCACAAAACATACTTAAAGATGGCCGGAGTGAGTCAGCAAATGAACTTGTACTCTCTTACGAGAATGGCTTTAACATTAGGACCTGGATTGGGATTTCTATTATATCTGCATTCTGCAACTTTAAATCAAAGACCAGATATATTGGACAGGTACGAAGTTTGGACGTAAAGTTTTCCTCAGAAAAATGCGAACTTTAAAATCGCATGATGCAGATCGTAAGATTTGCAGTTTAATGCCGATTGTGTCTAGGTTGATTTGGACTATTTTTGTTCTAAAAACCACTTTACTTTGACAAAGGTCTGTTATTTGATTACATTGGCGTATTTTTAGAGATAATCGTATAAGAGATACAGTGTACACGGAAATAAAAGATAATTATGATTTTATCATAATTGGAGGAGGCAGTGCCGGTTCAGTTTTAGCGAACAGATTGTCGGAAAATCCGTTCTGGAGTGTTCTTCTTATTGAAGCTGGTCCGGACGAGATCAGTGTAACAGACATGCCTATGATGTTTCCAGCGCTCCAATTAACGCCCTTTGATTGGAAATATAAGGCAAGATACGTCTTTGTGAATAAACATCGAATTTCACACAAAATAATAATTTTAATGACTACGAGTTCTAATGATGTCTTCAGTGTTCAGATTATTTTCAAATAGTAGCGTAAAGTTGCTCATATTGAACCCCTTTGAGTTTTGCAATTTGTAACATACGGGGCGCTCTCTACAAATTCAATTTTAGATGAACATCCATAGAGAAGTTAAATCGCTAGCTAGCATCTCGATTTCATGCGAAACGTTTTTAATCGTGTTAACAAGTTTAACAAGTTAGTAGCTAAATTATGTGTATGTTTATAAAGAAAACACTTAAGGTAGAGCACCTTTGATGATAGTCATAGATACATGTCAGGTTATTAAGGTCCCTTGTGAAGTTAGTAAAATATTTTACAAGTTATTATTTTTTTACTTTGAGGGTTATATTTTAAATTTTCTATCGGTTGCTCCTTAAGTAGTACTTATCCAATTTTAAACAAGGGTTCAATTTAGGCAACTACACAAGGAATTGCAGCGTGTAGTTTTAGGCAACTATACTCAACTGGTATTGATATGGAATATTATTTACTATTTATTTTATATGGTGAAACGTGAAAATTATGGAAACTGCTCGACGGTGGATATAGAGAAAGCGTTAGCAGCATTCAAAAATGATGAAAAGGGATTAAATCAGTGCAGTCGAGATTACAATATTTCCAAATCAACATTATTTCGTCATATAAGAAAGAAAGCAAAGGCTCGAAAGAGAGCATTTGGAAGAAATCCTACATTTGATAAAGAAATTAAAACTAAATTTATTAATTATTAAAAAATTAAAAAAGATTTTTTGAACGTTCAGCTTAGTTTGCAGACTGGCTTTTTGGATTGACAATAGCTGATATCTGAAAACTTGTCATTGATTTAGCTGAAAAAAATGAGATTGCTCATCAACTCAATAAGGAGAAAAAAGCTGCTGGCAAGAAATAACACCACTTTCATGAAGAACCACCCATGTTTATCGCTGCGTCAATCTGAGCTTACCTCAATTAATATATTCGAACAGTTTAATAAAGAAAATGTTCTTCAATATTCTGATTTACCGGAAAAAAGGGACCGGAACCTACTCAGACAAATGAATCATCCGGATTCGATAGATGGTCGTAGTGATAATGACATTTCTTTGTCCGGACTAAAAAATAAATTAGTACAATGTGCATTCTCCACACTTGTACGAAATAAACCAGACATCGACACAGATAAGTCGTTACTAACTACATCAAAATATGTGTTTCTTAGTAGTTTGAATGAAATCGCTTCCGTGCCGAAGCCATTGAAAATTGTGCCAAGCAAAAGAAGCAAAGGTATGCAAAAGGAGATAGAAGCCCGCATAAGGCTGAACTTGAAAGTTCTGTAGTTCACCCAATGAGTAATTTTTCCCTTTAAGAATAAAATGTTCTTTCAATGTTATTACCTGTAAATATCGTTTAGTGCTACGATTATGTTTTTTGAATTTCATTAAATAATATTCCTTACTACTATGAAAATTTCGTAGGTTCAAATACCAGTGCTTCAATTGGAGCAACGTTTCCCAATTATGTTAAGGACTAGTTATACGGACCTTTGTGTTCCTAAATGTCTAATGCATTCTTTATGCATTAAATATATCCAACGCTTTTGTGATTTTAACAACAAATTTCACGATACTATAGGCAGAATTTTAGAAAAATTAGTTCAATATGGGCACCTTAACCTATGTTTCTTATTTCGGTCCAATATCGTTCTAAAAAACTAATTTGCTCGGATAGAAATGCAAAAAGCAATTTATCTGGTATGTATCCAAGCCTCTACTCTAATAAATACGAGTTTTGGAGCGAATTTACATAGAAAGAAATGAATGGAACCTGAAGTATTCAAATTAAACTAGACATTTTTGACCTAGCAATATGTTATTACCCTTAGACAGAACCAGGTGATAAGTATTGCCAAGCAATGGTTAATGAACAGTGTAACTGGCCAAGAGGAAAAGTATTAGGAGGATGTTCAGTTCTAAACGCCATGCTCTATGTTAGAGGCAACAGGCGAGACTACGACAGGTGATCATCTGTAACTTTTACAGTTCCCTTCTAGGGTCCATCAAATGTAATTCCCTTTATTTTAATTTTTAAATATATTTACAAGATGGGCTGACATCGGAAATCCAGGCTGGAGCTTTGATGAGGTGTTGCCGTACTTTAAAAAATCAGAAGACATGACTATCGATGAATACAGAGAAGATCCTTACCATGGAACAGGTGGTTATTTAACAGTTGAAAAATTCAGGTGAATTATAATAGCTCGCATTTGCATTATTGACAAACGGTTGACAAGGCATATCATATAACATTGCAAAAAAGTGTGCGTGTTAAAATAATACTCGATTAAGAAAAACACATTTTTAAGCTATATTTCAATTAAATTGAGTTAAATAGTTCATTTCAACTTCATAAGTTCGATTATAATAAAAATTTGCATTTCAATTTTCAACTGGCCGATTTTCTAATTGCGTGCGTATAAACTTACATGATTCTCAAAATTAAAAGTATTGGTAATTTCGTTCAAGTTGAAATGTATACAAATTGAGCCTTAATGAAGTACTTAACTGAAACTTTTATAATGCAAATATGTAAAAGTTTACTTTTAAATATACCTTTAATCGTTAAGGTATCGATCTCCCTTGTCCGAATGGTGGCTTGACGCAGTTAGAGAAGCTGGTTACGATATAAGAGATATAAATGGAGAATATCAAACTGGATTTAGCTTGTCACATGGTACTTTAAGAGATGGATTGCGGTGTAGTACAGCCAAAGCATTTTTAAGGTAGATATTTCGCTTTCCGCGCCTCGTTTCATGTTTAAAAAACACTACAAAATAAATAATTGAAGTACAAACATATGATTTTACTGCACTTTAGAATCAACATCTAGTGACAAAGGAAAACATGTTTTTATAAAGAAATATTAAATAGGATTAGTTGTTTTGCAACTGAATTTTCTGTTTATTGGGATTTCTTGACTGATCCTCTACTTCAAACACACACACACATCATTCAAAGTAGATTTTCATGAAACAAAATCACAAAATCTAAGTTGTTCTCCAAAAAAAAGGCAGAAAGAAATGAAGAACATATAAGGATTCCATAAAAGCGATTCAATAAAAAGACATTAAAACATTTTAGATCCGTGTCTGACCGTCCCAACTTGGATGTGAGTTTACATTCGCATGTTCACAAAGTGTTGCTCAACGATAATAATCAAGCTTATGGAGTCAAGTTTACAAAATTTGGACTGGAGAAAACCGTTTATAACGATCGAGAAGTTATTCTCAGCGCTGGAGCTCTCGCCTCCCCTCACTTATTAATGTTGTGTAAGTAGAAAGTGGCAAGAATTTAAACACCATCCAAAATTGTGTGTATTTTGGAGAGAGCGAGTTAACTTAAACGACTCGTATTATTTTAGCTGGTATTGGACCTAAAGAGCACTTGGAGGAAGTCGGTATTGACCCGTTAATCCATTCGCCAGGTGTAGGAATGAATCTTCAAGATCACGTAGCCATGGGTGGCGCATCGTACCTTTTCGACCCAGGCGAATACTATGCAGACAAAACATGCAGCTTCAGTTTACCTAAAGTATTTTCCACTGAAACTGTCAATGACTTTGCAAACAATAAGTCAGGACCTGTCTACTGGTTACCTGTATGCGAGGTAAGAAAAGCCTATAGGCTGGGCGGACCTAATGCGATAAAAAGCATTGCAGTTGCCTTCATAATTATTGAACAACATAGAAATCACTTAATAGTAAAAATAATTTACACCTTCAAATGAACACAGTTTCCAACTCTTTCCTAGTTTCTAAAAAACTAAACTGACAAACAAATTTTGCCTGACAGAAAAATCCAGTAGAAACTTTCAACGCATGAGACATTCTAGATAGAAAGACACTAGAGGTTGGAATAGTTTTTGAATCTAATTTTGAAAAGTTTCGCTAGATGTTGATTGACTTCAAAAACGCGACTGAGCGAATATGAATATCATCATGTTACTTTCCTTGTCTACACTCTTACAAACCGCTTAAAAGCAAGTTGTCTTTACCGCAGTAAAGTGTATCTAATTTGAGCAATTTTATTGAAAAGCTCGTATAAAGCTGGTATAAAGCAAGATACACGAACAACATATTTTTTAACTAAGACAACAATTATTTTTTTATGCTCAAATAAAAAGTGGTGTCAGAATTCAAAAATCGTTCCATCCAAGTGGATGGAACGATTTTTAAACTTTAATTAATTAATTAATTAATTTAAAAAAACGACGAGTCTTACCTATAGTTCCAATTTTTAATTTTATGGCTGAAAAGCAGATTTATTGAAGATTTAAAATTAATTGTATTTGATTTTTCAATTAAAGTAGTATACTGTGTAATTCGATTACGTTAGACAATCAACAGATTTTACTTTAAAACTTCAAAACAGTGCATGGTTCAAATTTGTATCATAAAACATGCATTGTTGTTGGCTCTCAAAGTTTGTAAATTTTCACAACTTAGTAAATTCGGCCTTTTTAATGACAACCTTGTAGATAGTAAATTCAGCGATGTTGGAAAATGCTAAATTATGAAAATTACTTGTACCATAACGAGATAATTATACTGTAAGAATAATTAAGAGAAAATAAACTGAAAAATTCAAAGAACATAAATGAGAAAGGCGTTTAAGGAAGGTAATCAGAATTTGATATGCTGTTGCATAATGTGAGTTATTAATGTAAATCAGGTCCAAATAAAAATTGAGCATCCAAATAGTTACAATAGCACGAAAAGTGCTATTTTATGGTTATAACATATTTTCGAAACCACCTGAGCATCAGCCCGGGTAGCTCAGTTGGTAGAGCATTGGACTTTTAATCCAAGGGTCCAGGGTTCAAGTCCCTGCTCGGGCGTAATTTTTTTCCATTTGAGCTTTTTCAAAAAGTTTTGATTTCACTGTCGTAGAAGTAGTAGTAGTATACATCCTTATTTTGCCTATTCGAAAAGGGTTGTCGACCCGAACGGTCTGTCCACCCGCGAGCCGCAGTTATAATAATATCTACAAAAAATATAGTGATAAGAGTGGTCCAACTTAAACGCACGATGTTAATTGTAAATAAAACAAAAACTTTTCAGAGAATAACATCGATATTTTTTAATATGGTAGAAGGATCCATGACAATTATGTGTGAAACAAAATATCGGTCAAATGCCCGAATCCGATGGTCCAAAGTTCAATCACACTGAGGCATAATTCAGGTTCTTTTTTATTAATTATCTCATCCTTTAACTCTTGAATTGTTCCTGGCTTATTGACGTACACTTTGTCTTTGAAATATCCCCAAAAAAGGAAGTCGAACGGTGTCAAATCACATGATCAAGGTGGCCATTTAACGTTGCCACGACTTGACAGAACACGACCATTGAATTTCTCGCTCAAAAGAGCCATTGTTTCGTTGGCTGTGTGGCAAGTGGCACCATCCTGTTGGAACCACATATCGTTCATCAGTCTTTATCTATGCCAGGTCCATATCCTCAATTTCTGGTCACAAAAAGTACGTTATCATCTCGCGATAGCGAACACCATTCACAGTAACTGCAGGGCCGATCTCATTTTTGAAGAAGTACGGCCCGATGACACCGCCAACCCATAAACCACACCAAACAGTCATTCTTTCTGGATGCATCGGCTTTTCAACAATCACTCGTGGATTCTCATTTGCCCAAATGCGGCAATTCTGCTTGTCAGCAAATCCACTAAGACAAAAGTGTGCCTCGTCGCTAAAGATGATTTTCTTTGTGCAGTCACCATTAACTTCTATCTATTCAATCAACCATTCGGTGTATTGACGACGCTTGAAATGGTCAGTAGGTTTAGCTCTTGAGTCAATTGAACCTAGTAAGTGTGTAAATTCAAATTTTTACTAAAAATTCGCATCAGTGATGTTCGTGAGATGTTCACTTGTTGGGTACGACGACGAGTCGAGATTGACGGCTCTTCTGCCACACTATCGCGAACCACAGCAATGTTTTCGGCAGAACGAACTGGGCGAGCATGCACAAGTGTTTTCGCATTTCCTACAGACCATGTTTGCTGAAATTTGAGCACAATCCTGCTGATTGTGGACACATTTGCTCGTTTATGCTGACCACAAAAATCACGAAGTGCACGAAATGCATTTTGATTTATTCAAATCAGGGTATTCACCCATTTTCGTAAAAGGCTTCAACAATCTTGTTTGAATTTGTCAAACAGCCACATTGGTATTGAAGTATGTGATGTCCAATTAGTTGTTGAAGTCTATTTTTTATAATGTTTTCAAATATTTTACTTAGTACCGGAAGTAAAGTAATTGGTCTGAAATTTTGTGTCATCTTCTCCGGTTTTTGAGATAGGAATTATTATTTCCTTTTCCAGATTTCTGGTATCGTGTTGGTTCTAAAGCAGTTGTTGCGAAAGTTCAGTATGACTTCGTGCGTTTGTGGAGTTAGGGGTTTTTTATTACTTTACTTTTCGTGTTGTCTATTCCCGGGGCCTAATTTGATATGATGTTGCAGAAAGTGAGTTATTAATGTAAGTCAGTTCAAAATAGAAATTGACCAACCAAATAGTTACAACAGCACGAAAAGTGTTACGTAATGGTTATAACAAAATGTACCGAAGTACCTCATCATCAGCCCGGGTAGCTCAGTCGGTAGAGCATTGGACTTTTAATCCAAGGGTCCAGGGTTCAAGTCCCTGCTCGGGCGTAATTTTTTTTCAAATGAGCTTTTTCAAAAAGTTTTGATTTCACTCTCGTAGAAGTAGTAATATACATCTTTACTTCGCCCATACGAAGAGGGCTATCGAGCCGGACGGTCTTTCTGCCCGTGAGGTGTAGTTATAATAAGTAATATATGTACTTCTTTGAAGGGCATCTAGGGGCCCACTTAGAGAGTGCGAGAAAAATATTGAACATTTTTTTTTCGAAAATTTGGAGAAGATATTAACAGTTGAAGATCGAATTTTAACTTTGTTATTAAGCATTATTTTGAAAAGGTCCCACGTTTAATTGGTGGCATATTGGAATACTTAAGCATTCGAAAAGAAAAATTACGATCTTTGTGTCAAATTACGAACATTTTTTATATTAAAAACGTACTCTTCTACAATTGTTTGATGAAAAGCCAAAGCGGCAATGATGTTTTTTGTCATTAACAGATAGTTACTGGTAGGCAGCCTTTGTCAATAATAACAGGTATTTGTCAAACTGCGACTTTCACGAAATGTAAACCAACAGCGAATTTGCGAATATGCGATTAGTCATGGGAAAATGCCGAACTGGATGACAGTTGTAACTTATTTAGATATATCACTTATTTGCCCCAAAAAGATGGCAGGCCTCGGGGGGTTTTATCGCAGCATTGACCCCAAGGTGACACCGTTATCCTAACCTCAACGCATGTTACTGTCTCTTTTATTTTCTTTGCTTCATGTTTATCCGTGGTTACCGGAGTTTTTAATAATTACGAAGGAACAGGCATTTACGTAATGCTAATTAAGCAGATTACCTTGGAAAACATTGTTGCCATCCTTCTGATCTAGTTTTGTGTAAATATCTGAGTTTTTAATAACATTTAGTTTTTTACTACTTTTTCTGTACTCCCAAGAGTCCCCCAGACAACACCTCCAGAGGAATGACGCCAATTTTGAATCACCCTGTATACAGGGTGTTTCAAAATTGGCGTCATTCCTCTGCTGGTGTTGTCTGGCGGTGTTTTAGGAGTACGGAAAAAATTAATTGTTTTTAAAAACTGAGAAACTTGCAAAAAACTTTATTACAAAAACGACAAAAATGTTTTTCAAGTTAATCTGCCTAATTAACATTTCGTAAATACCTCTTGTTTCGTAATTATTTAAAACTCCAGTAACCATGGCTCAATAGAAAGTGACAATAAGATAGACAAGGATGAACGGTAAATACAACAGGAATTGTTGAATGACGGAACCTATAACCTCGAAACTCATAACCTCGAATTATTAATTTGTTTACAAATTACAAAAACATACATTTGAGTCTTTAACTCCAAACAAGTGCCTGTGTAATCATCTTCTCCTTCTCGAGCAGCTTCTCGTATTCGGTTAATTAACTCCTGCTCAATTTATACCGGTGTTCAGCAATCCATTGGTTTAATGTGACACAAGGCGTTTAAGAAAAATAATCAAAATTTGATGTACTGTTGCAGATAGTGAGTTATTAATGTAAATCAGGTCAAAATAAAAATTGAGCAACCAAATAGTTAGAATATCACAAAAAGTGCTACGTAATGGTTATAACATATTTTCAGAAGTACCTGAGCGTCAGCCCGGGTAGCTCAGTCGGTAGAGCATTGGACTTTTAATCCAAGGGTCCAGGGTTCAAGTCCCTGCTCGGGCGTAATTTTTTTCCATTTGAGCTTTTTCAAAAAGTGTTGATTTCATTCTCGTATTTGTCTCATTAAGGGAACTCTGTACCGGGTTGTTCGAGCGATTTGGTGTTTCGCGATTGCACTTTCTGAACTAATCCTAGTACTAATTTGCAATAGTTTTGCTGCTGCTATTGCAATAGTTATAATAATCAAATATAATTGCTTGTGTTATTTAGGTCATGGGATTTGCAAATACAAAATATGCCGACTACGAAGACGATTGGCCCGATGTGCAATATTTCTTTGCCCCCTACTCAGATAGTTCTGATGGTGGCCTATTCAGTAAAAGAGCTGCAGGTTTAAAGGATGACGTCTTTTCAGCAGTATATGAAGAAAACTTGTATAAAGAATCATTTTCTGTAAGTAAAGATGTTGCAGTAATATTAACAATAGCTGTAAAGGCCAATTAAGACAATGTAAACAGCACTTCCAATGAATTTTTTTAGATTTTAACACTTTTACTCAGACCCAAAAGTCGGGGCAGGCTCCTTTTGAAAGATAAAAATCCCGATTCGAAAATATTGATTTACCCGAATTATTTTAATCATCCTGAGGATGTTAAAGTATTGGTAAGTATTTGAATTCATCAAAAAAGGTAGCTCAGTGTCAAAATACCTGATATTAAATGCATGCAAAATATTCAACCGTAAAACCACAGTTCCAGAATTTTTCAACTCAAATAATGAAATGTTTGATCAAATTATAATATAAACGATTTAAATAACGAAATCGACCACGTTAAGAAGTGGCAGCTTTGAGTAATCCAGTTATAAAACAATAGGTAGAAGGAGCAAAATTAGCGCACAAGATAGCGACAGAAACTCCAACAATGAAAAAATATAGAGCAAGATTTAACCCCTATAGAATGCCCGGTTGTCACAATCTCGAATTCCTATCTGATGAATATTGGACATGTTTGGCTTACCATTACACCCTTACTATCTACCACCCAGTGGGGACTGCCAAAATGGGCCCGGATGATGATTATATGGCCGTGGTAGATCCAAGATTGCGAGTTAGAGGTAAAAAAGAGACCAACTTGTGAGCAATTTGTACTAATGTTGTAATAAATTCCAGGAGTAACAAATCTCAGAGTTGTAGACTGCAGTATAATGCCCTACATACCCAATGGAAATACGAATGCCCCCGTTATTATGGTAGCTGAGAAAGCTGCTGATATGATAAAAGAGGACTGGCGAGTGCTGAACAAACCCTATACCAGTTCGGATGAGTCTAGCAGTGAAGAATCGGATGAGAAAATTGATGACAGAAGCAGTGAAGGTAAGAACACGTCAGCAAATTTGCCGACCCATAAAAATCATTTAAATTCACAGGTGCAGAATCTCCAGATAAAGAAAGTTATGCTGCTAGAAATTCAGATCCGCAAAGTAAAACTCGCCTTCCACAACAGGAGGCTGAGAACCCAGTTTTAGAAATGGCAATGCAAAAAACGCCAATTATAAATCGCAACATGGATTATTGGTAATCAAACATCAATTACTGGAAACTACATCAATATTATAGGCCACAAGAAAATTGTTGGAGTCTGCCTAGTCACTGTTAAGAAAGACAAAAAGTATGTTTGAGTTAGAATGTCTAAAAAACCGTTAAAGCTTTCATAAGGAAAAATAAACGTTATTCGCTCGCAAACTGCATTTTCATTAATATTAAGCTAAGTCGCGTCAAATCCAATCGCTTTCAACTGTTGAAATATGAGCTTTGAAGTAATTCATGCATCAAATACATTGAATACATTCGTATTTTTAAGGTAGAATATATTTTGATGACACCTTACAGTAACTGGTGTAACCCTGCCACAATGTTCAACATTGTCAAAATATTGTAGCCGGGCAGGGAAAAGCTTTTCTTCTAAATCTTCAGTGCGTTTTGAGTGGTTGAAAATAATATGCCTGCTGTTGGGGTGATCACATATGATGTTACTCCATTGCAAGGAGCACTGGCGAACGCCTTTCTGATTCTTATCAATGCTTTGTTTTTTCATGTAAAATTTATCGGACATGTAAATCAGTATCCAGAGGATAGCTCTGAAAAGCTGTTACGTGTAAGTAGAACAACGTATACGTGGCTCAAAACTCGACTGATAACTTGAGGAATTTTAGGAGGACGAAAATGTGTTTGATTTTATCATAGTAGGGGCAGGAGCTGCTGGTTGTGCTTTGGCCAACCGCCTTTCCGAACAAGACCAATGGAGTGTTCTTCTGATTGAAGCAGGAGATTACCCACAACCATCCACGGGAGTAAGATTGGGATTTTCACTTTACCTATTTTATTACTTAAAAACATTAATTCAACTTGAAGGTGCCTGGTCTATTTCCAACTTTTTTGGACTCTAGTACTGATACATGGCAATACACAATTGCTAAAAATAAGCAATATTGTCAAGCCTACAAAAATAAGCAATGCCACATATTAAGGGGCAAGCTGGTTGGTGGAACTAGCGCCATCAATAATATGCATTATATTAGAGGTAGTTACATTTTGAATAAAATAATAATTGTGAAACATGAACGGGATAAATATTTCCCGACGTTACCGGATCTGTTCAAGTTTAATACTGATGAGCCATAATTTCAAACTCCCTCTCATCTTAGCAGAAATTAAATAGGTTGCAAACTGACTATTAAGTGACAGCCTTTTCTTATTATAAATTCCAAAGCCTGAACAACTTTCGTAGCTTGTAAAGTTGGAAGATTACGACAGTTGTATTTATTTGTTTACTCCCTATGAATAATTTGTATTTTTTAATTTACTTTAAACATGACTAAACTGTTCAACAAAATAAAAGTTACACTGACAAATTTGGACCAACTTTGGAACTGACTAAATTATGGTTGCTTTATTCTTCCTACAGAGTCACAAATGAAACAATGCAAAATTGGTGAAAGATCCACAGGCTCCCAGGTAGACAAAAGGACTCCCAGGTGGCCTTTTTTTTCATATTTCACTCATACAATACATACTCGTATTTCATACACCACAGGCATTAACACAGATCTCGTATCTCGAAAAGAGTTTTTGAATTTAACGCTCATGTTTATTTACAGAGTGGATTTTAAAAAATCTGCGTTTTAGTAATGCAGTAATTTTTTTTCTTTTGAACTGATTAGCAAAGCCTAAGGCTCATGTTGAAGAAAAAATTCAATATACCGAGTTGCACGAATGAACGATATATTGAAAGTTAACTTCGCTTTAGTAAAAAATCTCCAGAATCCAAGATTTCGGGGAAACGTCTGATTCGGATAATCTCTTATGCAACTCTGTATATTGAATTTTGATGTTTTATCTTCAACATCAGCTCAAGATCGTGAAAACCGAACCAAGAACAGGAGAAAAGTTGTCGCTGCAAGATCAAAAATACCTTTCTATTTAGGTCACCCTGTAAATAGAAGAGATTGCCGAAACGCTGAAAAAACGTTTCGAGTTATTTGGCTTATAATAAACGTTAGGTACCGAGATCGAAAAAACTTCATTTTTGTCCAAACAGAAGCATGCCGAACTTTGCGAAATTTTGCATTTTTTCATCTGTCGCTAGACAGAAGAAAGAGATAGAAAAAGACGTGAAAAGTGTGTTTGAAATAATTAATTAATTGAATAAAAATCGACTTGAAAGACAAAAAAATAGAACAATAATACTTTTAGGCGAAAAACTTCTGAATTTTTAAAAAAATTAATATTATCAAACGTTTAGTACAGGTAGATAAAGCGTTCAATTGAAGGTATTGCTTTGAAATAATTTGTGTTTCTGTTTTTTTGTTAGGTTTGGATGATGGAAACAAGACTCAAATGATCTATGAATGTATAGAAAATCATGTTGAACTAGATAAATTTAATAATCTTGACCTAATGTGCAAACGCGAAATTTATTTGGAACAAGTATTTCAGAAAAGTATAGTGCGAAAATCCATGCAAGACGCCTACCACAGTATCGGGTTCAGCAATAATAGCCAAAAAAGTTCTATTGGATATGGGAACAGCTATTTGACGATCAGAGATGGTGAAAGGTTTGTTGAAAGTTGCATAATTGACATAAAAGTAACTTTTTAAGAATTAATAAATGTTCATGTGCTCGTTTTCTATTTCAAGCAACACGATCATCATGCTATCACTAAAGATTCATTCATTCGAGTTTTTGGAACGATTTTAAACTTTGTCAAATTTCTAGTTGCTTTCTTTGACTCTCTAGTTGGTCGGTTGGTTGCAATATAAAACTAGTGCATTTTTTTAAATACTACTTTTGATTTAAAAGCTGAGTTTAATTTTCTTCAACAAATAGAAGTACTGTTTCGCCTTTTTAATCCGTTTTAAAACAAATCATCACAATTTCTATCAGTTTTTAGGGCTTAGAAAAATGCACCGCGGGGAATAAACTAATATATAGAAAGTACAATTAATTGTCCTCGCATAAACAGCAGCACTAAACAAGAAAGTACCAAAGTTGCAACTTGTATATTTTAATACACTTGAAATCTATAGAGTTTTTTTGCTTCACAATGACTCTAATTTAAAAAAATACAACTAATATCCATCCATTTGCAAATCATTTTTATAATTTATAAACCAAAAAAAACAATTCTCTTTTCTTAGGTATCACATGGGAAGAGCATTTTTGACACCTATAAAGGGCAGATCAAATTTTTTCCTGGCAAAAAACACCCTAGTAGAAGGCATTGTTCTGAATGATCCCCTTGACAAACGAGCTAAGGGTGTTAATGTTACAATTAAGAACATTCGATTATTTCTACAGGCTAGAAAAGAGCTTATTTTAACGGCTGGCCCAATAAACAATGCCAAATTATTGCTGTTGAGTGGCATAGGACCGAAAGAGTACTTGCTAAAGAGGGACATTCCTGTAATGCTGAATATGCCAGGAGTAGGCGAAAATCTGAACTTTCACCTTGCAGTTCCGTTGTTTTTCGGGCTTAATGCCACTCAATTATATGAAGATTACACCGAAACTGATTTGGTTCAAGATACATTCGACTATGTAGTATATAGAAGTGGAAATTTTTCCAATGTTGGCATCCATGACTTTGTAACATTCATGTCTACAGATGCATACCCAAATGTGCCCAACATTGCGGTATATCATTACTACTTTAAAGTAGGAGACAGGATGATCAAAACATGGCTGGAAGGGCTTCAATTGAATCAAAAAATCGTCACTAACATCTTGAAAGCAAATGAGCAACAGACTATATTAATGTTCTTGGTGACACTACTTCGAACCAAATCTGTAGGCCAAATACAATTGAATGATACCCATTTTCATGGTATTCCTAATATAGTCGGCAATTTCTTCACCGATCCAGATGGTGAAGATTTTATTGCTTTAACATCGGCAATAAGCAGAGTAGCCAATCTTCAGGATACTCCTCCTTTTGAAACTATCGGAGCACAACTGTTAGACATACGGGTTCCAAATTGCCGAAATTACAAGTTTTGTTCTGTACACTACGTAAAATGCTATGTGCAGAATATGGCTTTTCCTACTTCGGATATATCTGGATCCTTAAAAAGGGGACCTGAATGTGATACTAGTGCAGTAGTAAAACCGGATTATGAGGTGAGGTATATTCGATGTCTGAGAGTTTGTGATTCGAGCATTTTGCCTAATCCTGGATTGGGCAACACGGTTGCATCTGATGCAATGATGGCAATAGATCTGAGCGAAATCTTGAAGAAGAAATGGATCAAAGATTACATGTCACCTTTCGATTAACAAGAAATTTTCAATGCATTTTGAAAAATTGAACATTGAGCTGATGTTTGGAGACTGGGGAGAAGGTCAGAGGAACGTCCATTGTAATACAATTGTTCTTTTATTAAACTGACAAAGCTTGACTTCCCCTATTTAATTTTTGCTGCTTGAATGAATGTGTTTTTTGGTTAGCGATTTTTTCCACAATTAAAATTATGTTTGCGGATGATCTAATTGAAATTTGGAGTTCATAGAATTTTTAATTAATTAAATTTTTCAACTAATGTCCAAGTAGAGGTATTTATTTCCCAGTTATTAAAAACCTACTACTATTTGAAGATAAGAAAAGGTGACTTAAATTCATTGACCAATGATTTTTGGGTGAACACACAAAAAAGAAGGCACGTGTTAGACCACATGTTAAACCTCAAGGTAAGCCGGTATAATCGAAATATATCAGTTTAATGAACGTCACGGTGAAAGCTAATTCTTGCAACTTTTTATGTAATAGATGTCTACGTGATGCTTTAAATATGCCACTCAATTTGTAAAAATTATATGATAAATCAAAGTTTTATCTTATTGCTTTCTTATCATGTGTTAGGTAAAATAATTCTTACTTGATCATAAGAAATTATGAAAGTTTTATCTAAACGTCTGCTTCTGAAAATTTTCGACTATCTTATGAAACAATTGATCTGTTAATACGAAGCAATTTTCATTTAAAGATTATGCTTTTTCGATAACTACTGCAAAACAGCAGTAAAAGCACATTTTTACTTTCGTCTAATAATAATAATTAGTAAACTTTAAAAATTCTTATATAAAGAATGTTATATTCAGAAGCAGAATTAGTAAGTTGCACTATTTAATGAAGTCCTTATAAACTGAATTTGTTCAAATTTAAGCAAATTTCTATTGATCAAACATTCATATTATAACAATATCTCAGTAATAATTTTTTGTCACTTGTTCCACCAATCCTATAATTTTGTTATTCTGCAAGAAACGGAGTGAGCCACCACAATAGACAACATGTGATACATTTTATTTTAAAAAATTGCACAAATTTGCCTTACAGTATTTTTTCTAGTAGATCTAAAATTATTTGTATTGTTTTTTTAAAGATGTAACTTTTCAGACTTGATTCGCTGCTGAGGTAACAACCATGAAACAAAAGAAATCTAACATTATTCTATTATGGCATTTCCTAAGAACGCGTTCGTTTGTTCGAGTGATATGTCAAGGAGGAAGTTAGCAGTTTAACTTCAATGTTATTAATATTAAACAAAACTTATTTAAAAATACCCTGCAAATGTTTAAAAAACATGGATTCTGTGTTTTTTTGTAAAAAAAGTAAAAAATAATCAGAGCTTACTATCAACAACACTTAACGTTGACAACTTATGTATTACTTTTATAAAATTATTTTCAAAAATATGAAACGTAAACTTAGAGCGGATATAAATATTATTGAATATAGCGCTCACCCGATCACAAAAAACCTTACGTGTTTTGAGAGAAATCACGTATTTTCAGAAACCCTTAATCTGCATAATTGACATGTGATAATGAAATGCTACATCCTGGACCCAAGGAAATAGACTTTCGCAGAAAATATCCGGCAAAATTTGTTTTTCGTTAGGTAAAAGTGTGACTCCTAAAATTGGCAAAAATAATGCAGAAGACAGCAGTGACCTTTTAAGTAGGCCCTCAGATGATATGCAAAACAGCAAGTGAAAGAAATAGTGCAATAATTAGTGGTTAATGATAGCCATTATTACATCCTTAATAGTCACGATTACTTACTTTCCTTTTAAATATGCGGTAGTAATTTATTTATCTGAAGGTTGCAATATTAAGACACTTAAACAAGAGATCAAAATTATTCTTAAGCTTTACAAAAAAACATTAATGTTTTTTTTTACAAAAGACTGTCGTAACATACAAGAAAACCATTTCGGAAAACATTAATAAAAAAAATTAGATCATAAGTGCTTTGGACATCAGCAGCTATATTCAATTGCCTTGTGCAACCCATGTAACAATTGATATTGATAGAATTTATTGAACAGAAAGTCAATTATAGAATGATTAATAACTGAAATAAAAATACTAAATATGTATGAGGCATTTCATAACACCATATGCAACAATTTGGTTCCTGATGCAGAAATTTGCATTATTTTTTACGAAATCGCTAAATGCTTCATGTGACCGAATTGAGCAACAAAGATGTACTTTTCAAATATCCTTTGCGAAAAGCACCATTAGCTCGGCTTATGAAAATAGTGCAATGTATCTCATAATCACTGCTATTAGTACGGAAAATTGGTTACACTGTTAAGTGTTAATCGATTTGTACATAAGTGTAATTAGGGATGAGCGGCACTAATATGTGATGCTTTAAAACTTGGAAACAAAACGGCTTGAAAGTTGAAGAAAAATTAATAAAATGACCAAACAATTAATGCATGTTTCGTCATTGTCTCTTCAATCCCTTTTTACTCATATGAAACTTTCTTTAAAATAAATTTTATTTATTATCCATAATTCCATAAAAATGTTCAATTCCTCAATCAATAAAAAATAATTTTTGTTATTGTTGCCGATAAAGAAATGATCAATCTAATTAAAATCTAAGTGTTCACTTTCTTATGGGTTCCATTCCTAATGACTAAAAGTAAAATTATATAGCAAAAAAAATTACAAATTTTTTTTTTATTTTTTTATTTTCAGCATCTCATTATTATAATCAACTTTAATCAAATTTATTTTTTTCTAATTTTTGAACCACATTAAAATACAAACTGTAAATTAAAATGTCCATGAGCTGATCGAAAGGGTCTTTAACAAGAAAGTAAGAGATTGTCAGTATTCGAATTCCAAATAATTACTAACTTTTAAATTCAACTTTAAGATAACTTTTGATATGTCCATAAGAAAAAGTACCGCTTACTTCCAAATTTTAAAATTGCATAATTAAACAATAAAATTGTATCAGCAGATTGTATGTAAACATAACAGTTAAAAAACATGAAAGATTTAGCTGCTGCTTTTAAAATAAATTTGCAATTATTAAAAAACGCAATTTTTCAATATCGCTTAAGTGTCTGTTTAATGGTTTATTACATTTTACGTACCGCGTATTTTCAGTTAAATAACATTTATAAAAACAATAGACACCATTTTTATATACCTAAGCTTGAAATATATTTTACCAAAAAATGATTAATTCGGTACCGTGTTAATCGATAATAGCTAGTCATCAGCGCCTTACATATATAACCAATTCCAGCACCCACAGGTGGTCCTTCTTGCAAATGCGGCTTATGTGCATGTCTTCGCGATATCTACCAGTAGTTTATTTTACTTTCACTAAGAAGTACGGGCTAGTAGTACAGGGTGGACGATTGTGACTGGTAGATTAGCAAGTTTGAAGAAAAATTGTGATTTTTCTGCAGTTATCTATTCTACAGTGTTAAAGAATTAGTTGATTGTAGTTATACGTGGATAATCCGAAAGGAGTATTATGAAATGTAAGTCAACAATAGAACATCAAAGGTTCAAACACATCAATAAGCTTTTGCATTTCGTACTTCCGGCTTGATATTTGCTTTAAAAAGGTTTCTCAACTTTTTACAATTTTTAATGGTACAAAAATATAAAAAAATAACGTAATATGTTTAGAAATATGTAAACAGTGACTGACTAATTTACATCTTTAATTATAATTACCGATCTGAAAATTTCCCATAATAAACATTTTTTTGCTTTGGAGTTTAGTTTAACCAATTGCATATATTAACTTATTTAATAAGTTAGAACATACTTTCTTCATTGATAAGAAAAATATTTCTGGAATCTAATAACACATTATATTCGTTTGCACGTCCTAATAGTCAAGTGTTAATAGGAAATAGCGAAAAGTGACACTATATTATTTATATTATATTTTATTAACAACACAACTTAATCTTCTTCCCAGTTTTCGCATTTAAATTGTTAAATATTTGCTGCTATAAAACATCTGCAAGCAAAACAAACAGTAATTGGGAAATTTAGCTATATTTAGTTTGATGTAATATGTTTATACACTTTGTCATTAGAGATCTGGAACAAAATATTTAAATAATTTCTACAGACCATAATTGTCTATACTTGAAGATATTGCATTAAATGTAAAAGTGTTTTAATTAATGCGTGTGGAAACTAACATGTTTGCAAAAGTAAATGCTGGATTGGAGATTGGAGAAAAGTCTAAAATACGTATTTAAGGTATGCTTTTACAAAATTACAAATACTTCGTATAATGTTAAATAATGGCAAAAATATTTTCGTAAACTCGATGCCTATTAAACGACCTAAAAACGGAAATTTGAACAATCTGTCAATAAGCGTCTTTGCTAATTTCATAATAAAAACTAAAAACTGATCCATTGCAAAACTATGTCAATGCCACAGCATTTCTTTATTTTTATTATCTAACAACCCGCCAATATAGTTAACAAAATTTCGAATGAAAGAACTCAATTTCACTTAATTTGCCTGATAAACAACGCCATAGAAATAAGTCTGAATATCAAGTTCGGTTGAAGATACTGAATTGATATTGAAACATGCAGAAGAGCATGAAGAATAGAATGATAATAAACACTTGTGACCATTGTATATTTTAGTAAATTATTGATATTTGCCAATTAAATACAAATTTCGTCTCTGTTACATAACATGCTTGCCGTTAAATGAACATTCGTATAGAGGGACTTCTGGAGTTTAAGTGTGTCGGTTTTCGTCAGACTTGAAAAAACTACAAATACATAATTAAAATTTTAATTCTGATTAAATAAAACATTATTTAATATATTTTGGGTATATCGATCTTCATCGATTAACACAAACAGTTATTTATGGATCATATCAAGCTTATGTCGCGAGCAACGGCAAACAGCAAGCAAAATAGTTTGTGACAATTGTCAATAATTTTACCATCTAATTTCATGAATTTATGTTTTTCTTGAAAAATAATATAAATATAATAAGCGCCAATGATCCTTTTGTACAGCGTATAAACCGTCGTTGATAATGGCCTTTCAATAAATATAAATAAAAAGGCACAAATAGTAACAGGTCTAAGTAGGTTTAAAGCCAACAACATTATTCGCCAGTACTTTCAAGGATACTGTTGAGATATTTATGCAGGTCGCTTTTGGATAATGAAAAGTGATTGTCATATTGCACTTGATCGAGCGAAATATATTTCAAGTTTACTAACAACATTCTGCTTGAAATTTATTACGATATTTAATAAATCAATCATACAAATCAAAAATAGTTAATTTCAACAAAAATTCAAATTCATTCTTGGCACTAAAAGAAAAAATTGAATGGTAACGTTGAAATTAAAAAAAGGGATAATAGAAATTAATCTACATTTCCTTAATATAATATACATACATACAATTCACAATTAAACAATAAATTATGTAGTGTGTTCTTGCAACGCCCTTTGTACAGCAATCCCTGACAAGGTTATTTTTAATTAGCTTAAAAGGATTAATTCAAATTTGTTACCTAATTAACGCCTGAAGCATTAAACCACATCATTATCTTGAAAAGTATGCTTATTATATTTTTATATTCCATTGTAAATGAAATGCGGTTGCGATTTATATATAGGGTGCTACAGTACGCACTATACTTGGAAAAGTAATACAATATTCAGTCTATATAAGTTCGGTCCTTTAATGTTATGTCCTCTAATTCCTCCTGTTAATGTTCGACCAGACAGACAAAATGTTAGAAATAAAAGATCTAACAGATTGAGTAGAATTTTGGCGCAGTCAAAAACCTTGTTAATTGTTAAAGTTTCGTGTTGATGTTATCAGTTAAACTGCATTATCGTCTAGATTGATCAGGAGTTATGTGGAAGATGGAGGAATGATCTGACTGAGATATGGTAATTTTGTAGCTGATTATGTTTCCAAATTGATTTAGTATTTCCAATATGATCATATTTCTTAAGAATTTAAGGCAAATTTCAAAAGCTTCTTATTTATCCAAGTTCTGATGAGATAGTTTAAACCTTCCAGTTGATATTCTAGTTGAGAACATAAACGTTTGGACGTATTATGCTGTCGCACGTAGATAATTGAATTTTTATACGTTAGCAATGCACTTTTAGTTCAAATTTTATACTCGAATTCAGTTCGTGCCTTTTTCCCAGTTAACCACAAAATAGATTATGCACACTTCTGGGCTAGCGTTTTAATAAGAGTTATTAAAGATTATCTAATTTCATATTTTTCTAATTGGTGAAAATAAGTGGAGCACGATTCGTACATGCTTTTCCAGTGGATATAATGTGGGTTTCACGATAACTAACTACTTGAATGAGACGATGTGTTTTTGGATGATTCCGCAAAGTAAAAGAGAATTGTCCAGATTCCTAACCAGAAATATTATGATTAGGAGTAATTCGTAAATGCACTTCTTATTGTCAAGATCACAATGACAATAAACCGTTTCACATATAACTAGAACAATTATTTTCATTCATAAAGTTCGATTAGGTATTTTATTCTAAAGGAAACACGAATTATCTGTTACGAAATGTGGCAAATTAGTGTACCCATTATATAATTCCTTAATACCAATTTATTCTACATTCGTAGCTAGTTATTGCAGTCACCTGTACATGTGTTGTATATCATTAAGCTCGGCAACTTGGAATATTTTATTTCATTGGAGACATTTAGAGGTGGAATTTGGCTTAATTTCTAAATGCTTTATGAAAATCGTGATATGATTAGATTTCATTTGAGAGAACGCGCTTTCTAAATTAAATAAATCAGTGAAAATCAAATCTTAGATGAAATAAAAAATAGAACGAATGTCGTACATTCGTACGATTCGACATTTATTTTCCTGTGAAAAGTCTGCGAAAATTACTTCATGCTCAGTCTTCGTGCAACAAATTATAATTCGGTTCGTTCTCTGTTCAGCAAATCAAAAGTTATTTTGGTTCTACTAAATATAAAATTCAATCGAAGAAATTATGCTCGAAAATAAACTGGAAATGGAAAATGCCAAAGAAAACAGTCAATCAAAGTGACTAATGGTTTAAAAATACGTTACATTAAAGCATATTTAAATGATTTACTTTGTTGTTTAATTTCAAAGCTTTTTATCTTTGATTCATTTCACAACACACGTTACCATAATACTAGGACGAAAAAGATTGTCATTGAAACATGCAGCGTTTTAACTCGGAAATCAAAAATAAATGCTTTCCTTAAAGAAAGTAATGACCGTGTACCGACCGACAATAACTTGCTTAACGTAGTGTTGTGGTTTTGCTGGTTTAAATACTTGCACCGGCGACTTCCACGAAATGGTTTTAATATAAAAATTCTTAATTTGAAACAGGAACTGTTATCGTTAGTTATGAGGTTCAAAGAAAATGCATGGACTTTTTTGAAAATACATCGTAACAAAATAGACACTTGAAAAACTATATGGTTTGCATTTTTGTACTGCTGCAATAAGAATGTTTCTTAAATAGAGCGAAACGCTGTCATTTACTAAATTCCATAATTTTCTGTGACCTAATAGTAATAGTAACAATATTTTTATTATTTTCAGAACAATAAAATGCCTGCAAACATGGAAAGTCTTGGAAAAAAAATTAATTTGTTAATGAATTCGTCAATACTACATGCAGCTGTAGACAAATACAGACACTTTGTACGTTTGTGAATAACAGACGACTTCTCAGATGTTTTAATGCCTGCCATATTAGATTGTTAAAGTGTTAAAAAATGTATGCTGTTTGTTATATATTTAAATAAGTAAGCCAAAGAAGTGACACATAAAGAAATAGACTAAGAGATTTAAAGTTAAGCAGAAAAGTACTCAATAATTTACAATGGCTGTTATTGCAATACCAACCATTGCCACAGCAGTCAAAGCGGGTATTTCACTGATTGGAGCTGGAAAAATAGCAGTACTGCCATTTATTATTGCTGCTCTCACGTATTTCCATTATGATCAATTTGATCCAGAAAATCGACCAGTAAGTGGACAAACAACAGTAAAAATTTTAAAGCTAAAGTAAAATTTTTAAGTTTAATCCGATTTAAATTTTTAAAATTTTAAGGTCGACAGGGATCCAGATGCAAAATACGATTTTATAGTCATTGGAAGTGGATCAGCAGGATCTGTGATGGCCAACAGACTGTCTGAAATTCCGGAATGGAAAGTTTTGCTGCTCGAAGCAGGAGGACACGAAACCGAAATATCTGATGTGCCGATTTTAAGTCTATATTTACATAAAAGTAAATTAGATTGGGGATATAAGTAAGTGCAAGGTTCACCTTCTCTTTTTTGTCAATCTCTCAGTTTTATTGAATATTTACTACGTATCAAACATTTCAATGCTGAGCAGCACTCCTTTATCATTGGTAATATAATCAGAGAAATTTGCTAGTTTAATTCAATAAAAAAGAGTAATAAAGTAAGAGGAGAAATTATACAATTTTGCATTAATGCTATATACGCGTTCCGATCGTATAATAGATCTATCTACTATCACTATTTTCTCCTAAACTCACCTAGGTCACTGTAATACATGAGGCTACTGGCTTACATGTAAATCGTTGTTACATAACAGTGCTCGTTACATACCTGAAACATAAAACATACATTTATAACTAAATTATCTTGCTGAGTTATGTTTTAACACGATTAACATAATCAATCACATTATTTGTTAATTATCTAAATACCACATAGTTAAACAAACAAGATGAATAAATACAAAAAAAAAAGAAGAAACGAATGCATATTTAGCTAATAAAATTTAGGAATTAATTGGTTCTGAAACTGAATTATTAGGTACATGTTGGGTTTCTTAAAGGAAAAGTTAAAGTTTCTTAAACTAAAACTTTCTGGGGACGCATTCATCTACAAATAAATCAACTCGTGAAGAGAAAGACAAGAGAATATCTATTTTACCATTTTTAAAATAAAAATTTTACGGTTTTATGTATCTATACGTGTATTACTTGTAAAATGAAAATAAAATATAAACCGTATACAAACGTATGATATAAATAATATAAATAAGAAGAAAATACAAAAAAACGGTAAATATAACTCTAAAATAATGGTAAAGGCATATTACATTGAAATAATATAAAATAAGTACATTCAAGGACTGAACCGCAACCGACAGCTTGCCAGGCTATGGTAGAGAAAAGATGTAGTTGGACTAGAGGAAAAGTCTTAGGAGGCTCTAGTGTTTTAAATACAATGCTTTACATTAGAGGAAACAAAAGGGATTTTGACAGGTAATTTTTTTTTAGACAATAGAGTTGGATTTAAATAAATTAAACCAGAACAATCAAGTTGACTCAAAGCTATTTGTACTGAAACCTTCTTAGTTCTACTCCTTATAATTTATAAAAAAATAAGCGAGAGCGTTCAATGTGCTACTTTTGATCTCGCGAAGTGATATTTGTCCACATGAATTTTTCCTAATGAACAAATATTTCTTAATATTAGATTTTACTCAGATTTTACCTGAGTAAAATACATTTAAATTTTTACTATTTGCCATTAGCTTTTTGTTGCTCGTTATTGAAATAATTAAAATACTCTTTACACATTTAAAATACGTCTCATTGAAAATTTAAGCCCAAATGGGGGACTTTTTCTTGAGCAAACGGCAGATATTGAATTGAAAAACGACAATGCACAATGCTTGCTTAACACAGTTTAGGTATATTTAGATTACACAAAAAAATACTTTTAAAAACAATCTGTACACAAAATGTTTTTCTGAGGTTTCTCCCGTACACCTAACTAACATCTGCAGATATGATGCATATTTTCCTTACAACGACCGGGAAACCACGCTCCTTTGAAAATTGATATTATTAATGATTAAAGTAGAAATACCTAAATAGGAAATTTATAACATAAAACATTAACAGAAATATAAAATAGATATAAAATAAAAATAACCTTTTTCAGGTGGTCCCAGTATGGAAATGATGGTTGGTCGTATGAAGAAGTGCTGCCATATTTTAAGAAAAGTGAAGACCAAAGAAATCCGTATTTGGCTAAAGATACAAAACATCATGCAACAGGTGAGGCGCTTGAAGTTTCAGTTCCAATTAGAATTAGATTGGACATAGCATTAAGATAGAGAAGAGATAGATAAGTATTTAAAATAGAAAACCGTTGTAAATTAGTTTATTAACAACCGTATATGTAGACTAAATGAGTTTTTCAGGTGGATATCAAACAGTACAAGATTGTCCGTATAACACACCTTTGGGAATAGCTTTTCTTGAAGCAGGTCAAGAAATGGGTTATGACATAAGGGATATAAACGGAGAAAAACAGACTGGGTTCGCATTATGGCAAATGACTATGCGTCGTGGTACCAGGTTAGTCAAATATAATAAAAAAATACGTCTTTCACAGCGGAATACGCCAAGAAAAATGTTTGATCATCCATTATAGTTGCCGATATTATTTTTAAATCGCTGTTGGTTTCAGATGTAGTACAGCAAAAGCGTTTTTAAGACCCATTAGACTACGACAGAATTTCCATCTATCATTGTGGAGTCACGTAACAAAAATTTTAATTGATCCTACATCTAGAAGAGCATATGGGGTCGAGTTTATTAAAAATGGACAAAAACGCGTAAGTGGTTGATTATGATTAAATATTGCTGAAATTAGGCAATTTTCTCAAGGTTCTTTAATATAGCAGTGAGTAGTATTTTTTATGGAAAATTTGCGGGCTAGAAGTTATAGTGCTGGTGACACCGTTGATTTTATTTCCGATCGAAAAGTGTTGCAATATTTTCAACATAAGTGAATTAGTCGAATAAATTAACAAACGCAATGTAAATGACGATATAGATATAGCCTTCTTTTTAGCCTATTTCTTCATCACCGATATGGTGTTCATCATAATTTAATGATTTTTCACAGAATAACGTTTTGGGTTTCATAATAACAATACTTTCTCATCTTTTATTATGGGGTCGTTATTTCAACTAAATAACCAACAAACTCGGCACTAAAAAACATAAATATTTCTCTGAATATACTGTGATTTTTTCCCAAAAAGGTTTAATAAAAAATATTAAATCAGCGTTTGAATTGGAGTAAGTCAAAAGTTGTTTTTCCTCTGAGAAAAGAATGGGTGATCAAAAGATGTTCTCAATTATATATTTACATTTTTTTAATCAGAAATATGCTTGACAATCAATGACCAAATATGAAAAATAAGGGAACCAAAACGAAATTACGTCAACCATGTTATTAATGTTACTGATAACTGTTTTTTAGACGGTTTTAGCAAAAAAAGAAGTCATTCTATCAGCAGGCGCCATCAACAGTCCCCAACTTTTAATGCTAAGTGGAATTGGACCAATAGAACATCTCCAACAACATGGAATTCAAGTAATTCACGACTCCCCAGGAGTTGGAAAAAATTTGCAAGACCATATCGCTGTACCAGTCACGTTTGTTATAGATCATCCTATCTCTCTAGTAGGTTCAAACCTCAGATTATTAATGTCTTTGGTTCAAACAGTTACTTTTGAGTATATTTCAAGAACATGTACAATTTAATTTTAGGTCATAAATCGGCTGGTGAATTTAAATACGGCAATCAGATATGCAGTGAAAGAGGATGGTCCTTTAACTTCGTCGATCGGATTGGAAACTGTTGGTTTTATCCCGACGAAGTATGCTAATCAATCCGACGATTGGCCTGATATGGAATTCATGATTCTCAGCACAACAATTGCAGCTGATGGAGGTAAAACACCAATTTCCCCAAAAATAAATTACGTACTAACATTCAAATTATTATTTTTTACAGGAACTCAAGTTAAACGCGCACATGGAGTTTCTGATGAATTCTATAACGAAGTTTACTCCGACATCAACTATAAAGACACATTTGGAATTTTCCCCATGATGCTTCGTCCGAAATCTCGTGGAGAAATCAAGCTTCGATCGAAAAATCCCCTTGATTATCCTCTTCTTTACCACAACTATTTAACGCATCCACATGATGTAAATGTGCTGCGTGAGGGCCTTAAAGCCGCAATAGCGTATGGAAACACTCAAGCTTTGAAACGATTTGGAACGAGATTTTACGAAAAACAAAATAAAGTACCAAACTGTAAACATTTACCACCATACACTGATGAGTACTGGGATTGCTTTATCAAGCAGTATACTCTATCAATCTACCATTATTCATGTACAGCTAAAATGGGGCCTATAGAAGATCCCTATTCCGTAGTAGACTCGCATTTGAGAGTTTACGGAGTATCTGGACTGAGAGTTGTCGATGCCTCCATTATGCCCATGATAACAAATGGCAATATCAATGCCCCTGTTATAATGATAGGTGAAAAGGGAGCAGACTTAGTTAAGGGTTACTGGTTGGGGAAGGGAAAGAGACTAAAAAGAGATCTGCAAGACACCATTGAGCCAGTACTGAGGTTTAATGCTAGGCTGAGAGATGAGGGAAATTTGACTAGAATCGTAGTGTAAATAAATCACTACAGATATTTCGCTTTTATTTAAGGTTGGTTGAATTGATAACGCAGTTTCAATTTTCAACAGCTTAAACTTTCAGCACATGTTCGGTTGTTACTTAAGAAATTATAGAATTATAAAAATCATTTTATATAGAAATGGAAAAGTTACAGCAGTAACATGAAGAATACAAACATTTTCTGCAGATTTTCAATGTAAAAATACTGGAATATCGCAAACATTTTGCGATCGCCATCTGTTTGAAAATTTAGTTAAACAATTATCTTATCATTCAGTGTCCAGTATTTGAACTAAATATGTTCGTTTCATTTAGAAATTACTCTAAGTAAGAATTTTGCATTATGATTACCTTATTTACACTATTGATAGTTCCGCATTAGTACTGGGTTGTCTTCCAGGATCAATTGGTAGCTTATTCTGATAATGAAGAATTTAAATGTTGTTTCCAATCTGGTATTGAGATGCATGAAACATGGGTTTCGAAATTATTTTCTGGGTAGAAAATTGAGAATACAACCAAATAAATGAAACCAAAATAGCTAATAAAATATATTGATAAATGATTAGAGTATTAGATGTTGTAGATATTAGGCACCAGCAAAGTTCATGCTCAACACCTAATTTGCTCATAAAATGTAAATAGTAGATTGTAGCAGAGTTTTATATTTTTTGACATTGTAAATATATATTATTATTATTAGTACACAAAATTTGGAGAAATTACTTTTCATGTTGACATTGTGTGTAAATAAATATGATTAAACCAAATTTGATAAAAAACAATAAAAACGAACCAGATGACAATATGGTAATTGAATGATTTATTTATCATTATTCACTAATCAGTCAATTCAAAATCAAATATCTTGTGACTGTATTAAATATGTAAAACTTAATTACGAATGCTAAAGCGGTGCCCATGTTTCCAGCATTTTCTATCGAAAAAAGTTGAAGAGGATAACAAAACTTTATTGACCATTGTTGATGAAAATATATATGAATGTTTGAAAAAAGTGGTGCAAACTGGAATCTTGTGAATAAAATCGCAATCAAATAAAATCAATTAGATGTTTGGCCGCTGATTAATAACTAAATAAATGAAATAATTAGAAGAACCTTTGCGTCCAAAAAGCTATTTTTTTATTAAACAATTCCAATGTTCGAAACCATGTTGAAATAAACATCCTTTCATACATTTTTTAGCATTCCTCTTTTTGCTAACTGTGCTGGCCAATTAGATTCTGGAAAATCAAGAAATTTAATTAATTAATTATTCTCTTATCCCACAAGAAAGCTCGAAAATGTATATTTCAACATGGTTTCGGACAAAATTATCAAGATAAAAATATTTCATAGAAGGTACCTATACGTTTCTTCTTGTGGTATGTAGTTAGTTGTATCATCAATATAATTCCCGGTATAAAATATAATCTACAGCCTAATTTTTATACAAATTTCCTCAAAGACGTGATTGGAACTTCCTAACAATCGATATTAGCGAAAGTTTAATGCATACTTTCATAGAACTTCCTTAAATAAATCAATAACAAATTCTATATACAGATCAAACGCGCATCAATTGCTTAAAACCGTGTTACATAATGTTCAACTTTCTTTTTCACCAATGTTAACCAAACATACACATAAAGTGAAATGAAGAGCCGACTCGTGATTCCACGCTATACTCACGTACAATTTTTAGAATAGAACTTTTCAATAGTTGCAAAACATTGGCAATTAACTTCCACTTTTGTAATATTGAAGCTAATTATTGCCACTAATACAAATTCAACGGAATTTTAAATAACTTTGAATTTTAAATTATCTGCTTATCTCAAGCCGGATAAAGAGCATATTTCTGTAATTTTTTTCGATTTTATTATCCATGTCGAGAATTTGCATTTTATTTATATTAACACTTAAAAACTATAACTATTGTTTATAGTATTTCACGTGTAAGAATATATGAAATGTTTTGCTAATAAATTGTCACCGTTTTCCAATAATAAATTAGTTTCTAAAACCCCAAAAGGACAAATTAATTAACTAATTTTCTAGTTGAAACCAAATAGGCCAGGCTTGAATCATTTTATCTTTAATTTTTAACACCATGAAGCAATAAAATATAAATTGCATTTATTATTTTGCCACTTTCTCCAAGCAAGATTATATTCGCAGTAATATAGTAATAAGCACCGCCAGTAAATAAACTTATTTGAAAAGCTTTAAGTAAATCCAATACCAGAAGCTAAGTGATTCGTTGTAGCGTATAACGTCTTATTGTTGGATGTTTTGGTTGTTAAACTTATGAAGTGCGTGAAAATTAAATATCTAAAATCAACTCCAAACTCAGGTAAGTGGCATACCTAACGTGTAGGCCCGAATAATATATCGAAGTCGAATCGTTAATAAAATTACACGCATTTGGTAGACGTTTTGGTGAAAAATGTGTCTATTACCTATAATTTCCTATCTTATTCGTTACCTCTTGGTTTTCCTTGTAAATATTGTATGTCAATTAAAAAAAAAATATGTAACGGTTCATTCAATGATGACAACCAGGATCCTAGTGAACACTATAAAAATGTTAAAAACGCAGAGGTATAAAAATAGAATATGTGTTTAATGCACATATTTCACATTTGTGAGAGAAAGGCACCAAATTTATTTGCTAAGCTTTTCGAATTAAAAATTTTTGATAATTTACATTGCTTTGTGAATTAATGAATGATTTTCTACTCTTTAATTCTTCACTACTATTCCCCATAATCATCTAAGCAATGAAACCATGAAACCAATAGTTTCTTCGGCCGCAATGAACGACCTTCATGGGTACCTAAGAGGTCGAGCGAAGAATTTTGCATCTTTTTAACGAACCTTTCTTCTCTCTTTTCAAAGGCGCGCACTTGCCCATGCATTGCGGGTTTTACTTTCACTTTATTTTAAGTTACCTAAGTGATTATACCTCTTTACTTTTAATATCTGGCCATGCAAACTTGTTTATTAAATTTGAAGTCGTCTCCGTTTTTTTTTTAGTTAAACGAGACACAAAAATGACAAAATAATTTATTGAATTGCTTCTACATCGATACAAATGTGTCATTTTTTTATTTGCAAACTATTGCAGGAAATGCATATTTATTATACAACCATGATCTAAACGGCATGCACTTCCTAAAGACTCTTGGATTTTGAAACTTGATCACAAAAAATTATGCTCACTGCACATTACTTTAAACCTGAAATATAATTCCAATTAATCAATTGCCTAATTACATAAAAAACAGTGATGTTTTATCTAATCAAAAACGTTATTTAAATTATATATTAAAAATTGTTATAAAAAATGTCAACAAAATTAGCAGATTTTATGCGATAATCTTTGTAATCTAGGGAGGCACTATTTCCTACTCCCCCATCAAAGTCTGTAAGTAAGTATTGACTAATTAGCGATTCCACTTCTTCCTTTCCGTGAACCGAAGCACGTTACTCCGATTGATTGTGAGGAACTGAAGAAAGAGCAAGTAAAATTTCACCGGTGAAAGAAAAGCAAAGTCCGCGTTTCGCCTTTCTTCTCGCTCTTAGACATCAAATTCAATCTATATGCGTGGTTTTGGAACTATCGGAAGTGCCTTTTCAGTGTTTTGACAAGTTTTTCGTATTTTGTGATTAGTAAAATTAATGAAAATAACTTGTGATAATGGATACAAGGAAATATGTAGCTGCTGATCGAAAGGTAAACAACTAAAATCACTATATAGTCACCGAAACCTTCAAAATAACTTTGAATAGTGAAACTTGATAGGAAAATACATAATCAAAATAAAACAATTATTCACTATTGTTATTAAGAACGGCATAACACAAATGTTTTCATAATTCTTAAATCAGCTATTTGAAGAAAAAATTTCGATTGTTAATTGCCTACAATAGCAAAAACCGTTAAAATTTTAAATATTAACAAAAGGAACTGAAACACTCCTTAACTTTTCTACTTCCCGTTGCAGATGCTAAATAATTTAATTTTCATGTAAAAATATATTTAGTAATCTTTTTCATTCAGACCCTCAAATTCGTTACCATTGAAAAACGTTTTCTGATTTTTCAATGTCATTTAAATTATTTTCTCCTATTAGTATTGAGAATTACTTGGACATATAAAAGCATACATGTATGATTTCACTTTATATTTTGTATCCTTTGTATTATTTACAACGGCACTGCATGCATTGATTGTGTAATTTGTATTAGCAGTGCATATTTCTCAATGAGTAAAGCATGACATTTTTACAAAACCGCAATATTCCAAAATTTCGTTAATTAATGTTGCAATGAGTATTTGCCATTTTATTTAGTTTATCGTGTATGACCAATTACATCAAATATTGCTTGCAGCGTAATCTGAAGTAATCATGTATTTTTATGTCAGTATTTAGAAATAACTATATTTCGCGATAATAATAGTAATTGAAAACCTAATCCAAACAAGTATAACGGTGAGATGTTACAAAATTTATCAAAATATTCCCGTAAGAAATAAGACGGTTGAAGGAATGTTTTAAATCTTATAATAGCTTATTAAAAAAGAATATAAACATTTTGACGAAACTGCATGTAGATAAAAAAATTATAAAGTTCATGCTTGAATTATTAAGAAAACTTATTATTAAATTTATGTCTGTATTCTAATCACTGATGGTAAAATTCAACTATCTGAAAATGTAATAATTGTCATAAACATTAGCTGCAAAACAGATTTTTTCTTTGCTATTGTTGCAAAGGCTAACCAATTTATCGTATTTTATTTAAACAAGATTAGTTTACCGTGGATTCATTTTTGAAACAATGAGTACTGCAAACAATTTGAATAAACAGCTTTCTTTATAAATATTAACATAAATAATAAAGTAGACGACTGTTCTATTGTTGCAATCACTCCAACGAGCGTCTAGTCTATTATTAGTGAGACATATATAAATAAAAACACATGAAGCTTTGGCGAACTTGAGTTATAACACATACGGAATAAACAAAAACATTTAAAAAAAAACAAAATACTTTCGTTAAAAGATCAAACACTAATTGGAATTTATCTCATAATTAAAACCGAATTAAGTCATTTAACTGCATAATTAAAAAACAATTAGCCAACTTGAACAAATTTAAGAAGACATACACCATCCGAGGCAGAATAAAAAAAATATGCATCACAAAAATTTCTCTCAGTTGTCGGGAATGATCACCTTAGCTGAGGCATAATTGCTAAACGTAATTAGCTGATCGATATGAACATTGCAAAAAATAATACAGAAATACGGGTTAGTAGTTCTACTTTAAAAACGTAAGTTTAGCGGTTGTATTTGTCACAAACCCAATAATTTAATACGAAATTTGTTTTGAATTAATGCCATGTCCAAAATATGCAAAAATATAAAAAATACTTTAATTTTACAAAATCCAATTGCCGCAAACCTGTATTACTATTATAAGTAATAATCTCAATGTAAGTTTATTTAAATTAAAACTACTAGTTTTCAGAGAATATGCGACATTTGTATGTATTTCAATTAATTAAACTTCATAATTAGCAAAGAACTATTCAAAGAAATAAAAATAATACGAAACCAATTAAAGATAAATAGAGAGAACTTCAAGCAATTGTTGATTTTTGTAGCCACATCTAATTCAATTGTGACCAAATGAAATGGGCAGAAAAGATCCAGGACCCCAAAAGTATAAAGAAAGTAATAAAATTGACACTAGCTTTTGCTTCAAAGTGCTCCATCAGGATAAATATTGGACTGACCTAATTTTAAGGCCCCATCGAAACGAAATTATTGCAGGGTATGTATATAAATTGTTCTACTGGCTAATGCCAATATGTAAATATTAAACACATTCTTAGATATAATACCACACCAGGAGAAAAATTTGCGATAAGATATCCTCCATATAATTGGCAACGATTTACGCGAAGTAGAAGCGAAAATGATTGTTCTATCCCGCAATACGAGTACTATTTGAAGCACAATTTGTATATTAAAAGTGCAGTGGAGACTCAAAACGTAACTGTTTATTGTATGTTTTACGAAACGTATATCAATGATCTATTACTTTGCAGTTATTAGGGCTTCAAACGAAAAACGTAACATTTCGGAACTACACTCCCAAAAGTCTATCTCAAGAAGTCAACATGGGCATGTGGATATAGACATTTAAATTTCTCAATTCCTGTGAAAGCATATTCTGCTTAAAACAAATTGCAGAAGTTTAAATTCAGACTTAAAGTTAGGTGCACACTAGTCATGCCATTATTCGCAGTAGCAGGACAAGTAGCCAACTATGCCGTTGGATTGTCTTTCAATCCTCTGGCCATATTAGGTCTAGTTCCAGTTTTTGCAGCTGGTCTTCTATTTATGCAGTATGTGTCAGTTGATCCTGAATCACATCCTATCAACGTAGATAAGGTAATGCCAAAGTTTCAGGTAAACGATGCGTTTTAATCCAAATCTGATTTTCTTAGATTAGCCCAATATACGATTTTATAGTAGTAGGAGGAGGGTCTGCAGGGGCAGTAGTAGCCTCGCGACTATCCGAGATCGAAAATTGGAGCGTTTTGCTTTTGGAGGCAGGAGGAGATGAGAATGAGGTGTCTGACATACCAACTTTAAGCGGGTAAGCGCAGTTTTAAACATAAAAACTTAGCACTTGCACAATAATAGTTGCAGTTAGTGTTCTTAATCATTAAAATATTTTACTCTGCGTTATTCTACCTTTGGTTACTTTTAAGGTATATGCAAATGTCTCAATTTGATTGGATGTACCAAACAACACCGCCAACCGATTCCCCTTATTGTTTGGCAATGATTGGAGATCGATGCAATTGGCCTCGGGGAAAAGTAAGTTTTAATATACGTACATAATTTAATAACGGATATTATTGTATTCGATTTTAACGATGAAAAACGAATCAAGAAAATTATCAGTAAATTAGCATTAAGTGAAATTTGTAATAGCAGTAAAATATTTGCTAAAGAACCCAAATACACACAACATCCTTATGCTTAAAAGGCGTAGGTTTTTAAATGTAAAACTATGTTGAAAATGTGGAATTTGCTAATTATTACGGCAAGTCAAACATCTGTTGCGTTGATTTTGTAACTTTCACCGATTTTACTTAAACGAACAATGAGTGCTTATCAGTAACACCAGAAATTAAATAATCAGATCTAAGAAACAATTGGGACAAAGAACTGATTACAAATGTCTCTAGCTCAAAATTTTTGAAACTCAAAAAGCAAAAAAGTAACAAAAAAATAAAAAAATTCAAATAAAAAAACGAACTATGTGAATCGAAAAAGCTTAATGGTTTAGAAATGTTGTCAGAAAAACGACATAGTAAACGGGATTTTCAAGTCCATCATTAAATGATAATTAATTATTTAAATTTATAAGTATAGACAAATGAACTGCTCAACAAAATCAACGTTAAACTGACAACTTTGGACTAACTTAGGAATTGGATAACTTCTGACTGCTTAGAGCGAATTGCTTTTAGTTTGAAGCGTTATTTAGTGCAATTAAATTCCTATTAGCGCGTGGTTTGCAAAAAGTTAATGTGATAATGTGTCAGATAAAGTTCCTACAGGGTGGCAGGTCAAACAAAGCAAAGTTGGCGAAAGTTCCACATGCTCTCAGTTTGAAAAAAAAAATTGTTTTTGCATTCCAACATTACAAGCATTAGACACACCTCATATATCAAACAAACGTCTTTAAATTTATTGCTCATCTCGTTTATTTTCAGAGTGGCCTAAAAATCAGCGTTTTGGATAAATAACCTCATAAACCGATTTTCCAAACTTAAGGTCTCCTTATAAATAAAAGAACTGGGCGAAAAACTAAAGAAGCGTTTTCAGTTATTTGCTTGATCCTTAAACTTTTGGGGTTGGGACCCAAAAAACCTGTTTTCTGTCCAACTAGGCTATCTTGTGAAGCTTTGCAAAATTTTGCATTTTTTATTTGCCATCTTGTAGAGAATTTGCCTGATATGCCTAATTTTTTTATTAAAACATTGACAAACAAAAAACAAACGCATAAGGCTTCAAACAGAAAGAAAATAGCTTCAAGCGTACAGAATTTATCCAAAGTTAGAACAAATTTAGATCTGCAACGTTCATTTTCTTGTGCAGTTTGTCTGACAATGAACATGAAATATCGATTACATTATAAAATTTTTAAACGTTATTTTTTTTCTGAAAATTGCCGTAGATGTAATAACTTGAATAAATGGAAGGAATCATTTGGCTGGAGTTAATTAATTAAAAAATATTTAAAGCATTTTACTTAACTAACATCGATATAGTGGAACTGGTACCAAATCGGTCGTAAATCATATTTGAAAATGGAAAGCCAAAAATTGAAATACATATTTATATGTACTTATCATTATCTACACTTTCTGCATAAGGAATTAATTAAACAGTCGGCAAATTTGGAATTGCAGAGAAATTGCTAAAAATTACACTAAATTGATGATTAAATAAATATTGCTACTTGAATTAATTCAGACAAAAAAGGAACACATCTAATTTAAAAAAAATTACCTTGTTTAACTTGTATGTATGTATACATGTATGTCGTGATTTCTTCAAAATTATAACATGATAAATTTTAGAAATAAATTTACAATTTAGCATAAGAAATGTACAAACAACACTAAGACAGAGATTGACATTTAAACACTTTCAACATTGCATAAAAGTTTAAGCAAATAAACCTTAATTTCTAGCCATTCTTAGTTTCAACATGGTGTGGACCTCAAGCCCATTAGATTTCATATTCTAGCCCGACTTTATAATTTAATTTGCGTTTGAAAAGTGATTCTGTTATGAGCATCAATAATGTTGCAATTGCTAACCATTTGATTCGATTACTGACCAAAAATCAAAATCAATAAGTCACATTATATTGGGTTTTTACATGGACACACATGCACTAAACAGCACGCCAAAATACGGATATATCAAGAAAAAAACTACGAATACGACTACACACAACATGCAAAAAATGCAATTACAAGGTCATACATACAATATGTCCTGATTTCAAAACAGTATGCATTATCAACGGCTGATATCTACTACCAACTAATGTGGATTACTTGACAATTAATAAGCATAATTCGCAGTTTATTTTAATTTAAATATTTCCATCCTGTAAATATTTCCTTTGCTAAACTATGATTTAAGTTCCAAAAAAAGTTAAATATTCAAGCAATAAATATCTTTATATAACTTTCATAACAATGATCTGTAAAGTTCTTACACTTATATTCGAATGAAACGCATATTAGGGAGTAGAATGTTATATCCGCAACGAAATTTAATCTCTTCCTGTTCATTACGTTCCGATGTTGATGAGAGTCAAGCGTAATGTAAAAACGTGAAGTTAAAAAAACAATACGAACATTCTGACCTGAAATCACGAAAGTATGGGCTAAAGTGTGACTAAAAATTGGAAGTGAATACTTAGAATTCAGGGACTAATCTCATTTCTGCCATATCTACAAAATTTGGCGAACAAAGCATATGCCTATTATAAGTAGAAATTATTCTGAATTTTCCAGAACAATATTGTGATTGTTACTCTACATCCTTAAAATGATCTTTTAACAGTGAATTAGATTTGAAGACTTTTTTAGAAACAAGCCTAAAATGACAAATTAGTTCACACTAAATATGTTGAAAATACTTTGCAGTGGCAAGAAGAAATAGATAAATAATCAGTTTACAGGTTCTTGGCGGCTCAAGTGTTTTAAACGCAATGATCTACGCTCGCGGAAATCGTCACGATTACGACCAATGGGCGGAACAAGGCAATCCTGGATGGTCCTATGAAGACATTCTGCCATACTTTATGAAATCGGAGGATAACCGAAATCCTTATTTAGCGAATAGTGCCTATCATGCCACTGGGGGTTATTTAACAGTCCAAGAGTCACCGTGGAGAACGCCGCTGAGTATAGCATTTCTGCAGGCCGGTAAAGAAATGGGCTATCAAGTTCGAGACTGTAATGGAGAGATGCAGACTGGATTTATGTTATCTCAAGGTAAAAACAAACGATATCAATTAATTAGTTAAACGTGAAATAAGAAAGACATAATTCCTTAAGGTACAATTAGAAGAGGTTCAAGATGCTCCACAGCTAAAGCTTTCCTTCGTCCAGTTCGAAACCGCTCAAACCTGCATGTCGCGCTATATTCGCAGGTGACCAAAGTGATGATCGATCCAAAGACTAAAATGGCGTATGGAGTGAAATTCATCAGAAACAATAGTCCGCAATTCGTGAAAGCAAAGAAGGAGGTGATTTTGAGTGCTGGAGCAATAGGAAGCCCTCATATTCTGATGTTAAGTGGAGTAGGTTTTTGAGAGTAATCCTGCCTTGGGAGCATGTAAAATATTTTATTATTACTAGGTAGGACCTAAAGAAGATTTAGCAGAATTTAAAATACCGGTTATCAGTGATCTAAAAGTGGGATACAATCTGCAGGATCACATTGGATTGGGAGGTCTTACTTTTATAGTGGATGATCCCGTCACTTTCACAAAAAACAGGTAGTCATGCCCGCAATGTAAAAGAAAATGATTAATCCGAAAACTACAAAAAACGGGGCAGAAAGTTTGCAACGTTCGCTACTAGAAAAATGAAATGTTCAAGATTGATGACACTATTAATATAACATTTATTAAAAAAAGATCTTCACGCATCTGACGCATTTGAATTTTCAGATATCAAACGCTGCAGGTTGCCATGGAATATATTCTAAAGGAAAGAGGACCAATGACATCATTGGGTGGTGTGGAAGGTTTGGCATTTGTAAATACAAAATACGCACCGGAATCGGGCACTTGGCCGGATATCCAGTTCCATTTTGCACCGAGCAGTATTAACAGTGATCCCGATCAGGTACATTAATACCTTAAATTAAAACACGAAGTACAAATAAAAATGCTGAAAAATATTGTCTATCCTTCAAGAAGCAAATATTGAATATATGATACCAATATCGAATTTCAAAATTTCAAAATGCATACAATGCATTTTCTGTTGCTCAAAGCTTATGACTGACACCACGACATTTCTGTAACTTTCAGGTTCGAAAGATAACTGGTCTACGCGACAGCATATATAACACTGTATATAAACCGTTGAAAAATGCTGAAACCTGGACAATTCTTCCGCTCTTGCTACGTCCCAAAAGCACTGGATGGATTCGACTTAAATCCAAAGACCCCAAAGTGCACCCGGATATCATTCCAAACTACTTCACTCATATAGAAGATATTCAAGTATTGACGGAGGGTATTCGGATAGCTCTCAATGTATCTGCTTCAAAAGCTTTTCAAAGATTCGGATCCAGGCCGCATAAAATACCATTTCCGGGTTGCCGAGATTACGCGTTTGATACCGATGAGTACTGGGAGTGCAGTATGCGACATTTTACTTTCACGATTTACCATCCCACATCTACGTGTAAAATGGGTCCGGCGTCTGATCCAGATTCAGTAGTTGATCCAAGACTCAGAGTGTATGGAATTGGAAAGTTGAGAGTAGTGGATGCTTCCATTATGCCGACGATTGTAAGTGGAAATACCAATGCGCCCACAATTATGATCGGCGAAAAGGCGAGTGATTTGATTAAGGAAGATTGGGGTATACGAACAATTAATTGAGCTGATGAATAGTTTAGTTACATTATAGAATTATTTTTTTAAGAGCGTGGCCATACGACATAGGTTTATAAGGGCAACATGCTGTATATCTATTAAGAATTCAGTAAGAAAATGTACAGCATAATCAATAAATATTGAATAAAATTAGCAATTTTCTAAAGTTTGATAATGCCAGAGAATAATTAATGCAATAAGCATTTAAAGTTTAATGACTTTTTCACTCAATAATTTGTAAATAAAATGTATATATGTTTAAATGTATATATATTTAAATAAAAATATGTAGCGTACTTTAGGTAGTATTAGCGGCTCCAATTTAGCTAAATCAACAATGAGATTGAGAGATAGTATAAAGTTTTACACCTCAATCTATCGACTTAAGTGAGTGCCTATTAAACATATAATACTTATTAATATGTAATGTACTGTAAATATAAACTGTAAACCGTTGTACATAAAAACTAGTTTGACAAAATTAAATTTACTTAAAACTCTAACCCGGTATTTATCTAAAAGCTTACATATTCACCCATATAATATGTCAACTGTTTAAGCGATCTGATATCACTATAAGGTAAACAGCGTTTTTCATATTGTCGACTTCGGCTTTGGACAATAATTCGATAACCATTCGATGCAAAATACACCAAAAATCAATAATCTCTTCGATTTACAATTAGCGAAATCAAATTGCAGAACCAATCAGACTCTTCAGATTAAATCACATTGGACTCAAATAAATAGTTTAAACCAATGAGGCCATAATATTTTTCTATTTCGTTTCTTTTAATTTGCAGAATAATTAAAGCACAATAATATTATGCTACATTTGCCAGAATAAAAGATCTATTTCAATCTATGTATTTAAAAATCAAGCCAAATGAGACTCAACTCAACTCTTTGTAGGGAATGTTCTGTCATAAGAAAATAAACAGAAACAAAGAATTCGGATGTTGCACTTCATATTTTCAATAAATAATAGCAGAAAAAGAGTTTTTGATCATGTTTTCCGACCGTTGRGCCTTKAAAAGTATTCTATTACTGAATATTTAGTRAAGCTTAAATAYGTACCYTCTATACACCCAATTMATTTTTTTYACGTAATATATTATGAATACAATTATTGAAATATGGATCTTTCTGATGCTTWTTKCTTKWAATTTTMAATACTTTTTAATTTTAATCGGCCGAAACTATTTGAAAGACTTACTACACCCTACARATTTAAAATGAGAAAAAATGTAATAAGAGMGAGAGAGTCAAGTAAGTAATTTTGATTGGAAGATCTACTTAATAGTTATTTAACGAACAATAAATTTTAAACGTTCCAATCATGTATTTTCATCAGTAACCGAAGAGAAAGTGGTTTAAAAACGCCTTAAGCAAAGATTGCATTTCGACTTCGTAAACCAAATAAATATTTATCGAAATATTTAGAATTCACCACAATAACCTAGTATTAAAAGTATTGAATTGAATATGTATATTTGTATATATTTTTATATAAGTTTTCATATATACATATATTTATATATAAGTTTTATTCCCTCTTTATTTGGCCCAAAATGTATAATGAAAACAAATAAATATACAAAAGCACGTTTTAATCAGAAAATTTACCTCAAATTACCTAAGCGAAGTAGTTCAGAAGGTGTCATTAATCATGATCTATACTATACATATTGTTGATATTAGCACTTGTGATTAAAAGAACATGAGCTTCAGGAAAAAAATATAAAAAAAACAAGCGTATAGTTGTAAATCAGTATAACAGACTGTTAACAAAAGCAAGTTAGTATTAAAATTTACATGGCATACAAGTAGTATTCAGCAAAAGGCAATCGAGCAACTAAAATGTTGAGCCAATTTCTCCTTTTACCATCATCAAGACGGGAAAGTGTGTAAGTATTACGCCTTTGAATGCACGTATGCTCAAGGTGTATTTTTTTCACCGATAGATTATGTAAACGACGTTACAAAATAGTCTTGCGAGCCTTTGTTATTGGTGATGATGTCAGTGTCAGGATGATTTTATAATAATTAGTGGGAAGACGATAATATTACAAGCCGAAACAAGATAAAACAACATAGTTTAGGGTACATGTTGCAATGTCAATGCAATGATAGCAACCTGTTTTAGAACGAAGAATAATATGCAATTTTTAACGTTTAACTCATTAGGACTGATTATCATCGCTATACTTTCAATATCAGCACACAAATATTATAAACAACATTTTGTTAATATAACWTATTTTTTATAAGTTTGATTAACTTTTATTTAAGTTAGCTTTTTGGTAAATTTTATTTACTGTTTTTTTTTTCTCTAACGTTTCAATAATTACGTTTCTCCAAATAATAATTCTTTACCCTAAAAAGCTATGAATATGCCAGACCTGGTACGAATGAATCCGATACATTGCAAGTATTTGCAATAGAAACGCTTTTCGTACGAATTCTTATAAAAATGCGAACATTTCACCAATATAAACTACCGTTCACAAATTTTGAATCATTTTTTAAGCTGAGATTCCGGTGTTTCTCATGAATTACTCAATTAAACTTATGGATTCAAARAAATCAYGCTATAATCATGAATTAAAATTAAAATTTAATGGTTGGTGGAAAAGTTACCTTGCAATGTGTTTATATATTTCAAAATATTCAAGAATTCTATTGAGAATTTACTAAACTATTCGCTAAACATCAGATAAGGTTTTATTCCTTTTTAAAGCTGACGCAAATGTAGGAAACATTTTGAAGCTGTCTTGATATGTATGTCAATATAATATAGCTATCAGACTCCTTTCCACTTTTCTCAATTTAATAATTTTTCTATCTTGCGTCTAGTATTCCAAAGACCAGATTTAGGCCACATATTATACTCTAACACTTTACGAATTAGCGCTAACTGGCAAATAAACAAAACGTTTAATTTGTGTGACTCGACCTTCACATATGAAGACATACCAGTTATTTAACTGAAATCTGAGCATTTCACACAAAAGCTATAAATGGGTCTAAAAACTGTGAATCATGATGACCATTCTAATTCCCTTAATAAAAATGCCCATGCTAATATCGGAATAGAAAATTTGGAGAAAGTAATACTTAAGTATTTATTATTTGTTTGATGTGTCTTATAACTAAACAATAGCATTGCCATCTGTTATTTGAAATGCTGTAATTATTCATTTGTACGTTATTAACGATATCCTTGCATGTGAAAACGTAAACATTTTAAACAGTCGCTTCAGTATTCCTAAGAAAAATTAATCTACAACTAATCAACTCTAAGGAACTTTGATTAATGAAAATCTAGTTTAAAAAATTCGTGAAGAGAAAGCAGCATGAACAAAACCGGATTGCTATTATGACCTACGAAAATAATTATTTAATTCTAAAATTTTAGAACAAAGGATTAAATGAAAAGTACAGCAAGTTCAAGTGGATATAATGCTCTAAATTAGTTACCAGCCTCAGAGGCAACGTGAATAGCACAGACATTATGTAAACAAACTTAAGCACCTGGATAAGAATGTGAAAATCTAGTAATCAAAATACATAAACCAAGATCCAAATAGGTGAACCTTATAAAGCAATGAAATGCCAACCTGGGTGAATGAGAGACGACAAATTCTTATTAAAAGCACTTTGAATATAAATCCCATTTTTACCACAAATAATTAACAAAGGGCATCAACAATTAAATAACGTTATTTCCAAATAACTTTTAACTTTTGCAATACAAATCATGTGTTCACTATCACGTATTCCACATAGATATTACTCAAGTGTCCTAAACACACAATTCTACTCGCCTTTAGAAGAACCCTGCTGAACATGTTTTCAGCACTTCCTGTAGTGCGCAATCCTGCCAAAGTCGAGGTCCAATTTACTAAATATCTCCCACCCGATGGGACCAAGAAGTACCGTCACTAAGAAAGAACCACCCGAAATCAGTCGTTTCGACGTCTTTGACTTTTACTTTCGTTCAATATCGGGTTGATCCAATTAAACAGTGAGTTTTGTTTTGATTGAATTTTATACTTTGATTAATCGATATTTGATTCCCTCGGTATTTTTCAGGGTGAAGTGTTTTTGAATAGAAAAAATAGTTGCCTTTGAGACGGAAACGATTTATAGAGCATTGTATGAAGCAGAATTTTTACCCTTTGGAAAGAATGGTAAGAATTACTATTACATTCTTTTTCTTTCTTAAATTATATCAGAAGTAAAAAGGAGCTCCTGAGTACAATTGAATATCGAAAAACTAACGACTAGATTAAGTTTGATTATCATCTATAATATTTTGTTAATGGCATAAGACGACCGCAGAACTGACCTAAGAAATGAAGCATCGTCAATTGTTATTATATAACTATTACAGAGAAAGTGCAGATTTATATAAAGCTTTTATAAATTACATTAAGATTTACACATATCTTTAATGTACGACCACAAGATGAAACAATAAACGTAAAAAGTATGTATCATTTATGGTAATAATGCGGTCTAACCAACTTTATGGAATAAAACTATGTGTGAACAAATATGTAAATATTACCCCAAATATTAGCATCATTGATTTCAAAGTTACAGACTCAAAATTTGCAATTTAGTTAATATGCCCTAAATATTTCTTCAGCATGTTTTACAGTTTTATCCAAATTACATTTACTGCTTCTACACATTTAACCAGCTTTATATAAACAAGTTTTATCCATAAAAGTAAAGAACAACAAAACAAAAAACAACTTAAACAATGTAACTCTGACATAACACCACCTATTACATGAGCACGCTTAATTCCAATTTGGTGATGAGTAACCAGTTACATAATCTGAAGAGTAAGAAATAAATCTTACATAAAGTAGTCAATTAAGCCTAGCTGGTAACTAGTGATTCCAAATGTGATTCGGGGCTTTTGAGAATTTATATAAATTTATATCTACTGGATACTTTCAAACATTTTTGTCGGGAAATTTGCAACATACACAGTGTGAATTTAAAAAGAGACGCAGAAGAACACAGAAGATCATATCGGCAAACACTTGACTTCAAGTTGATGTTTTTTGCACAAATTTCATTTAATCTGGAAAAGACGATAGCAAATTTTAAAAACTTATTTGAAACATAAAGATTTAAATAAAAATATACATTGAAAAATCATTGTTTACGAATATTGACCGTTTGATTCACTTTGAAATAATAATGAAAACTTAATCCAACTATGTGAAACAATACTGATTTGCGCCTGCTTAGTACCTCCTTATATTAATTCACTAGCAAAAGGTAAATAATTATTACGTTGTAAGACAATGCCGCATCTCGTCATTACGTGTTGGAAAAAATTTGGGTTAAGAATTTGATTTAATAAATATTTTGGTAAAACCAGATGCGAAGACTAGAAATGTTTTTAATGAAAGTGGGCGCATACATACATCACTCTTAAAGATCATTACATAATAAACACCATATAAAAATCAGAGATTATGATTATTGTTTGCGCTAATAAAATTATGCTTTGCTTTCTTGTTGCTTTACAATTGCTTTTCACACATCAACTATAATCAGATATAACGAATTTTGTACTTTATAATTAAACGAAGATCTCACACGAAATAAGCAAGTAAAATAATTAATCGTTTGTAAATGAAGCGTTGAAACAATTATTATCATGGGATAATTGTCCGTTCCTCTCTTCACACCAAGGAAGAAAATATTCTATAAATAATTACCAAGTTAACGATCTTCGACCCACAAAACTATTTCCATATCGTAAATAACTTGCGTTATTACACAACGAAAGAAAGTAGTACCTTAGCTCAGAACTGTAGCACGGAACGGTGCCACAATCAAGTTTAAACTCACGGATAGGAAGTGCCCATTAACCAGATAGCCTTTTACCTGTCTTATTACTGGAGAACTCAAGCAATTTCCTTTGATTAGAATAATACGTTTTGTCCACTTGCAAGTGTGATTATGATTTCACAGCCAAATCGTAAAACAAAATTGACTTTATTTTATGACAAAATCAGCAAATTATTATTAAATACAATACATAAATGAAGTAGATGAGAAAAAATTCGAATATTTGTAAAAAGTAAAATGGTAATTATCTGTTACATTTAGTATTCACTATTACTTCAATTCGCAAAGAGTATATTCGACATTAACAGAAAGACGAAAATCAAATTGTAGGTGACAAATATAGATTTTTCTAAACATATTAATAGCATTTCAATTTCAAAGTCACAATCTGCAAAAAATGTGTATTAACAAATCGTTTGAATCAGTTGACTGCTTTCTCAATAGCAAGGCTGTATCGAAATCGAAAGGTCGAATTGCTTCATAATAATAAAATGTTTCGAAGAAAGCCAGAGCAAGCCAAAGACGCGAGATTCAATCGACTTGTATAATAACTTTGTCCATTGTACCGTAGTAACTAGATCCCAGCTCAAAGAGAAAATTTCAATTTCTTAGCGACTAGTGCTCAAACCGTGAAATGTAAATTATTGTTCATTAATTAAGCAAAGAAAAATTAAAACAATTAGTTAAAAAAAATTTAACACGACGACACAAAACTACAAAAAACGAACATAATACGAAATCAATGACCTAGTGTAACTTTAACGTTGTTAATCTGTTTGGAAATTAACAATTATATTAAAACATAATGATACAAGTTTTAACAAAATCTATAAATAAAATTAGATTATGTCTGAACTAAAGATTATAGATAGTATTTTATTGAAAAACATAGATTTAGAAATTATTAATATAAACAAATTTGATCATTAATTTTCTTTATAACAAAATTAATTTTTTTAAAAGCTTTTGGCTTTACGTATCCATAAGACTGAACTAAGGGCTTGCATCATAAAACAACCAACGTTTATTTTAATTGAAGAATCATAAAACATTATTACACATATGCATTTGTTTCATTCCAGCCATATAAACAAGTACTTTTACACTTATCCACAAATTAGTAAATTTTCTATTATGTGTATATTATTAAATAAAAAAAATTTGGCATTAAAGCATTTTCAGAAATCTATTTACGAATAGATTCAATATTCTTTACAGTACTCAAAAGCAGTAAAAAAAATTGCAACACAACCAAACAAAACAAATACAAACTTGAATACATAGGAAGAAGCTGCTATTAAAATGTGTCTTTATGTTTACTATTTTATATTCCAAATATAATTCCCAATAAATAAAAATCCTAACATTAGACTTATCAAAACAATGTAAAAGTATATAACAATTTACTAGTTTATTAATGTACAAAAATGTATTTCATCCAAAACTTGGTGATTAATAAATAAGTTTATGTAGCAACAAAATTTCTTGATTTTTTTTTAAATCTCAATGAACCCACGTTTACCATTCTTAAACATATACAAAATATGTTTGTTGGAAGAATAAATTAGAACTTTTTCATAAACAAAGAATGGTTGTTGATAAATGCCAGAATAATTATATCGGATTTTTCAGACACTAATACTTTCATTAAAATCTAAGCAAGAACCAGATTAAAATCTAAGCAAGAATATAATACCAATGTCGTTAAAAATAGAAGCATTTTAATAAAAAAAAAACTATCTTCAGTAAGGTACAAAATGACATAACTATTTCCTACAATTTAGGAATTTTATAATGTTGGCAACAATTGAGAAATTACCTTTTTTACTCCCGGTGTGGTCTTTTTATTTCTACAAAGTACTTTCTGGAAAGTCTAACAAAGAAAGTGGTCGACTTTGACCAATAAAATATTATATTTTTTAAAGGAAACATCACATCTAGGAAACGGTTTTATTTGATCAGATAATTTCTAGGCAATTATACCAATTAATACAACAATAAAAGATTTTGATTTAAGTCAATTCTATGCAAACTTGATATTGTTTTAGTTATAAAATCGGTTGAAAGTGCTTAAAACTTAATAAAATGGAAAATCGTGACCCAAAACGCAATACCTCTTCGTTCGATTTCGGTAACATTAAGAATTTCGATCCCACTGCCTTTCTCTGTTAATGTTAGGATGCAAACAATGCAAATGTCGTGCAACAAAATCACAAAATTACTTCTACAATGTCTTCGATAATAAGTTTGGAAACAGAACACAATTGAATTAAACCTACATATATATATGCAACCGGATTTCTGCTGTAAAAATCAGATAATTTAATATTTTATATATGTGGTGTGAGCTAATGGATTTAATAATCCACGATTTATCTTGACAAAGGCCGCAATTAATTAAAAGCAAAGAATATTGTGCATTTGAGAATTAATTGTTGACAAAAGTTATAATGCTAATGAGAAAGATCGAAAGCTGAAAGTTTACATAAAAAATTGTGCTATAAAATAATATAAAAACTGAGTTATTCAGACCAACTAAAATGAACGGGAAGAAGTTCGTAAAGAAAAAATATTATGAATAGTATACGATTAATGATTTGGCAGACAAATGTCTAAACGAAGAACATTCTCCTCTGGTTTTAACTTTTAATACGGATTTAGTCAAATAATAGCAAGTATGCGGAAAACACGAAACCGCTTCTGTATTATAGTTATACCTTCTGAAGAACAACTAATATTCAATTCAAACAAACCTTGTTTAATGAAAATGTAAAAATCGAGCTTCAGCAACCGAGACATAAAACACTCATCAATCAGACGCAAAATTAAGTAATAATTTCATCCAATTAACAGTAAGTAGGTACATCGGAAATATGTTGGTACGTTGCCAGTGGAGAAATTGTTTCGAATTCTAGGCCACTGGGAAGTAGAAATCAAATGATTTGAGTTTCAATTGCATAATAGGTGTCAGTTTGACTATAAATGGATGGAATTTTCCTGCAGTAGCAGGTTTCCAATTTTAATTGAGACAAAAACGTATTTTAAACCTAGCACAAAAATCACATATTGGGATACATTCCACAAACAACCAGCTAAATGTGAAAATGTTTGTTGCTTACCGACATAATGGCATGAAACATTCGCAACAGCAACTTACCTGAAATAAAAGTTTAAATCAATATTCTACAAATAGGAAATTTCAATAAACAGCTCCCTTAAAAGTATCAACCGAATTACTAACTTTTATTTCCAACTCTTACGCTGTCATCAAGTACATTTTATAATTACTTCTTTATTTCAGATTACATGTAGAATGAATCTTCGAGTAACAGATCGGTGACACAGACATGGTCCTTTCAGCCAATCATTCACAAAAGAACAAGAAACTCAGATATCGTTTGCTAAAAATGAAAATTCGTCCTCCGGACTAAAATATAAGAAATAATTTTTGAATTGTTCAGAAAAGGAAGAGAGTTACATTTCTAGTCCGCATCGACTATAATATTAGGTAAGAACGAACACCAATTGTTACTTGTTAGAAATCAATTAGTTACTTAACTTTATAGAAAAATCCACAGTAAAATATATCTAGTTGATGTTTTTAACTGTTAATATATATGAATGAAGAAGCAAATGAAGACACAGAACAGTTCAGTCAGATAGCGTTTTTTTTTTAATTTTAAACGGAGGTAGAAATTATTTTTAGTTTGTCAACGCTGGCAATAACGTTTCATTCGTTTTTAGTAATGACAAACCGTATTGTTTCGACTACTGGTGTTTCTTCAACACCGTGAACGTTTACCATTAATTCAGCCTTCAATTTATTTGCCTTTATCAATTTTGTCTAATGTTCTTGTAATACTTGGTTTCGAAGAGTTTCGATAAATTTTTTATAACTTCGACGAATATATTTCCATTGCCATCTCTCTGTGTAAATTCAATAAAACTTACTAGAGCTTTCTGAATTATTGTTACTCGCTAGCTCATAAACGTATAGAAAAACAATTATGTAAATGAAAGTATAATATGGCAATACTTAGAAACCCGAATAAAACTGGTGCTTAAAAATAATTCGAGAACACACAATTCTGCTAAAGTCTGCCATAATATTAGAAATGTGTCACCAAGTAAAATAATGCCGAGAAATGTTCATTAACTTGGAGAACTTGGCAATTTAATCATTAACCTACACTATAATTTCCTAATAAAGACAAACGTTGATTTTCACTGATCCATCAACTTTTTTCAGGTTTTTAGATATCTGTGATAATAGTAATACAACCACATTCATATATAAATTTACTCATTGTAAAAATAACTCATTGTTAGGAGTAAAGCTTATTTAGACCGAAAAGTCTAGAGACAGTTTTAAAAAAGTGAACTCAGGAGGTATGTATTTATATCTACAATGTAACTAAAAGAATATAAGCGTATACATATTTGTAGAAAACCTCTGAAAATGGCTGTGGCTCACTTATTAGCTGCTACAGCTCTTAAAACTGTAGGAATTGTTGGATCTACGGTGTGGATTATACCGTTAATCCTAGCCAGTTTAACCTATTTAAACTATAACAAATTGGACCCAGAGTCTCCAGTTTATAATCAAAAAACCCTATACAAAGAGTATGACTTTGTGATAGTTGGAGGTGGATCTGCAGGAGCAGTGGTAAGAAATGTACTTTCAAAAACCTGTTGATCATCAATACTTTGAAAAACGACATATTCAGTAAAAAAGATTAATAAATAATATACACAAAATTTACATTTTAGGTGGCATCTAGACTTTCTGAAATTGAAAACTGGAAAGTCCTACTTTTAGAAGCCGGCCCAGATGAAAACGAAATATCGGACGTACCCTCGTTAGCTGCTTACTTACAGTTGTCCAAACTGGACTGGTCATATAAATTGGAAAGTACTGGAAGAGCATGTTTAGGTTAACAACTTATATTTCTCACCATATAAGTACTAATTTGATTCATGAATTATACTTTAGGAATGAAAAATGGACAATGCAACTGGCCAAGAGGAAAAGTCCTTGGTGGATCCAGCGTTTTGAACTACATGTTATATGTTCGCGGACATCGGAATGATTATGATCATTGGGAACAGATGGGTAATTGACAATTTATATTAACATAATTACGTGATTTTGTTCCTTTAGAATAAAACATGACACGTTAATTAATAGGTACGCCCGAATGGTTGTTAATTCTCTCTATAAATAAACGGAAATTGAAACCATCATTAATGCAATTATAAAGAAATACTTCAGCTTCTGTTGTCCTAAAATACAGTTTAAACACGATATTATTGATTCTCAAATGGTTTATTTTAATTAATTATTATTTTGCATTAAAAAAGGGATAAATCATTTATACAGTTAAAAAGTGAGGAAGACGAAGTGACTGACCAAATAAACTTTAAGATTTAAAATTAGAATAATCTAATAACATAGTGAAAAGAAACACGAAAAATTGCAATAAGTTTCAAAAAGCATACAAAAAAATTAGATTCCGGAAATATTGAAATTATTTTAATGCAAGATAAAAATAAAATGTAAGTTATATTTCATTTGTCTGTATTCATTAACATTCATACGTTTTAATACGCTAACTTGACAAAGGAAATAAGCTATTTATTCCATAAAGAGGCTAAGGTTAATAATTGTTTATTCTAGGAAATCCCGGTTGGAATTACGAGGAAGTACTAAAGTATTTTATAAAATCAGAAGACAACAGAAACCCGTATCTTGCAAAAACTCCGTACCATGGAACTGGAGGACTTCTTACCATTCAAGAATCGCCCTGGAGAACCCCATTAGTTGTCGCATTTGTAGAAGCAGGAATGGAAATGGGATACCCAAATAGGTAAGTATTAATATCTAATTGTTTTGTAATATATAAAGTTAAACTTTTTGTTACCATGGCAAAAGACTTTGAAGATTAAATTTGAATACGTAATTAATTTTCGTCTTTCCTCTTCTAAATTACAACAAATACCATTAAAACATGACATAAAAATATTGATTTATACTGAGAGAGGGAGATAAAACGTCACATTTTCGCAAAGCTCATTCAAATTTTTTCAAGCGGTTTAAATATGTATACAGTAATACAATTAAATGAGTTATTTGAAACTGACATATTATCTTGAGCTAATGGCGAACGATAGCTTTAGTTTAAAATAATAACATTTTTAAAAGCGTCATGATCAGGTAAATGGCACTGTTTAATTACGTTGTTTAAGTCCATCACGTCCAGAAACTTAAAAAAAACTTTTTTCAATTAACGTCTGGGTCCAAAACCATTTTTAACAAATAATATTCAATATATCGATAGCCTTTTTCTGTAGGAAATAAAGATTATTTATATATATATATATTCAATATACTAACACTTTAATCTTGAATAACATCTCCTCCCATTTCAGGGATATAAATGGTGCCGATCAAGCCGGCTTTATGATAGCGCAAGGAACGTTAAGAAGAGGCCAGAGATGTTCCACAGCCAAAGCATTTTTGCGACCAGTTAAACTAAGAAAAAACATTCATATAGCACTAAATTCGCATGTCACCAAAGTTCTAGTCAACCCCACAAATATGAGAGCCTTTGGGGTGGAATTTTATAGAAACGGTACAAACCCATATAAATTTAATTGCAGACTGTCGGCTAATGACCTCCAAAAACCAAAGCAGCTTAATTGCGTTCCTAATCTAATAAACGTGAGCCAATTAATAACTCACTAACAACAATGGATTTGAAAACGCAGCAATTAACGTTCTTATTTGCACAGGATAACATCTATCATCAAAGCGCATATAGATATTCTGTTAGGAAATTTAAAAAAGAATTAACGCCCAAAATAATTTAAATAATATAGCCTCGTTTCTAGATTCTAGGCGTTTAATGGCTTTAGTTTGGAAGCAGCAAGAGTATGTTGTTTAAATGTAAAAAAGGGTTTTAACATTTCAGGTCACCGCCAAATCGTACTAGCAAGAAAAGAGGTGATTTTGTCTGCAGGTTCCATTAACACTCCTCAGATATTGATGTTATCAGGAATCGGACCCAAAACAGAGCTAAAAAAGCACAACATTCCAGTTCTAAGAAGGTGGGTAGAAACTTACAAGACCATGTTGGAATGGGAGGTCTTACTTTTAGGTAAGTATGACCGTTTAAAATATATGCAGTTTTCTTCCAAAAATCTACTTTTCGTACACAGAATTGACAAGCCAGTATCCATAGTCCAGGACCGGTTTCAAGCATTCCCCATGACAATGCAATACATTCTTAACGAAAAAGGACCAATGACGACTTTGGGCGGCGTTGAAGGACTAGCTTTCGTTAACACAAAGTAAATATAAGTTCCATTAACTAATATAAACTAGTATGACTTCTCATGGCTTCATATTAGATCGGGTGATTTAAAAAAAATGCATTATAGGTATGGAAATCGATCATGGCCAGATATCCAATTTCACATGGCACCGGCCAGTGTGAACTCAGATGCAGGAGCTCGAGTAAGAAAAGTATTAGGTCTAACGGACGAACTATACAACGCAGTCTACAAGCCAATAGCCAATCAAGACGTTTACACTTTAATGCCTCTACTGCTGAGGCCCAGAAGTCGAGGCTGGGTGAAGCTAAGAAGCAAAAATCCGTTTGATGCTCCACTGATAAATGCTAACTATTTCCACCATTCGATAGACATCAACACTCTTGTGGAGGGAGCAAAGATTGCAATAAAAATTAACGAGGCAAAAGCTTTCAAAAAGTTTGGTAGCCGAGTACATGTGATTCCATTTCCCAATTGTAAGCATTTTGAATTTGCCTCTGACAAGTATTGGGAGTGCCATATCAGAACGATTTCAATGACTATCTATCACCCAGTTGGCACATGTAAAATGGGGCCTGAATGGGACGAGGAAGCCGTGGTGGATCCTCGATTACGGGTGTATGGAATTACAGGATTGCGAGTAATTGATGCCAGTATCATGCCTACGATTCCAAGTGGAAATACTAATGCTCCAGCTATAATGGTAGGAGAAAAAGGAGCTGATCTAGTCAAAGAGGATTGGTTGAATAATTATTCTCATGACCGGCAAGGCTTTTGATTTCATCAATTCATCGTCATTCGTCATTCAGTCATTCGTCAATGGATCGATGAAGTATGATATTTTCCATTTATGTTCGATGTAAAAGCTGAGTATGATAATAAAATAATAATTGACGGTTAATACTAAACTGAAGCTTTGTCTACATATGAATTAATTGGTCCACAATTGTAATATTGATGATTTAACTGAAGAAAGCAAAAGTTTTCCAAATTGTATACAGTATCTGTAAAAACTAATGGCTTTTTCGAGTTTTTAGGCCGTCGTTCGGTAGAACTCGGAACAATGTAAGCGTTCAAGCAAACCACTTCTGAAGATGCAAACCACTTCTGAAGATGCAAGCCACTCGTGCTTGCGAAACGTCAGGAAGAATTTCTACCGAACGACGGCCTAAAAACCCGAAAAACCCATTAGTTTCAAGGAATGGCCTTAAAAGTATCTGGAGTAAGTTGGAAATAAAATGATTGCCAATCTATGTATAAATCACGTGTCGGTAATATATATTTTAAAAACTCATCAAATTGAATAACGTTAATAAACATAAGTGACAAATTTAAAATATAATAACTTTTGTAAATACAGATGTATATATTTGTAGGTATTTTATTAAGATTAAGTAATTTTGTTGAGATATGTTGTCAACTAAATAAATTTTATGTATATGTAAAATATTACATAGGATGAAAATTATGTTTAAATGTGCTATTTTTGTGTGCCTACGTGAAATACGATGAACTTATTTAGATTGATAGTAATGCTAATGTCATTAAAATAAATAAAGATAGAATTTGTATGGTAATTTTATTTATATATCTGTATATGTGAAGTAAAATGCATCGTACCATTCTTCCGATATTTCGAAAAAGATAAATTTTTTGAAGAACTTTGATCATCAATAGCCAGACATTTTTTTGCCAATAAAAGTTAGTTCAGATCGTCTTCTTTTGGTCCAAAGAATATCGCAGTACCCTTTTGATCATGAGCTTGCGGGACACAAGGTATAAACTTCGGTTCACATATCTCGAAATTGGTGGCATTATCTTACATTCAAATGATTTTATAAAACCCGAGATTGTGTTCGAAAATTGGATCAAGTTATCGTTAATGTTTCAGAAATTATTTTATGAAATATTCCTTTAAAATGTTCCTTAAGTAATATGGGAGACAATAGTTTGTATTTCCGGTGAAATACAAACTGTAGTTTATTCAGTTATGAAATTGACGGAATAGACATAAACTAAAACCTCTAATATCAGTAGATTATTCCCGATTACCTAATAAACACGACTACACACAGTATTTCCTGAAAATCCCTTAAAAAAGGTGATTAACTTGAGTACAGCGACCAAGGAGTTGAAGTAATTAATATTGATTATTAAAAATGAACCAATCCAAAACCTTTTATTCAGATGAATCTCAATAACAGATGAAAACTGCAGTTGAACTATTTTGACAAATATTAAAAATAAAATTTAGCCACCTTTCTCCAGAAAAAAACCGTGTTAACAAAACCAACAGACGCCCCAAATAATAGATATCTTATATATTAAGACAATTGACGACGCAACGTTTCAGCCACTAAAATAAAATTTAAATATTTACTAATTACAAAATATAACAAGAACAGAGATCCAATCTAGATTTTCTCTCTACCGCTACCGATCTAAAAAGTTTATTAAATTACGTAGTATAGTTTTGCTGCCTCGATAGATTAAGTTATAATTTTTTACGACGTTAAAGTCCTAAGCTTGATGCTATAGATTTTCTTTGCTGGCATATTTTAATTACTGGCATTTTAACAAATTTAACATTTTACTAAAACTCAAGCAGTGGACAATTGTTTGATCGACTTTTGAGTAATTTCATATTTTTTTTTATTTAGAAGTAAAACATGTTTTCAAAACCAAATACAAATACAGAAATGCATCTGCAAATTGTTAGCAGTTGAAGTAAAAGAGGCCGTAAATCACATTTAAATAATGTCCAAAAGGATGATGCGGAAAATTCTAAGTTAAAGGCAAACCAAGTATTAGTGAAAGTAATGTGGAAGCGTTTTAATTAAAAAAAAAAACAGTTTGTTATTCAAAGTGTCATTACCAGTGGAAACCTGAAAGGTAAAACAGCAAAAACAATTACAAAAATATTTTTTTTAACTGAATACCGATACTGTCCGCTAGTTTAAACATATATTTATAATAAATATTGTCCTTGTCCTGTCCTAACAACTATCAGCCGATATAAAAATATATATATAAAATTACAGTTATTTGAAATATCATTATGCACAGACTGCCATTGCCATTGCAATTAAACATTAACCATTTAAATACGCTGCTCATTGAAATCAAGGAAAAAAATAATGACAAAACAAAAATAAAATAATTATTAAAGTATTCAAGTAATAGGCAATCAATACGTTCATACCAAAAAAACAAATTAATGAAAATTGCAAAATTGGATCAATCATTAATCACCTGGGTGTTTGCATTTACACATTTAACCATTTATATGTAATTAATACTCATAAGTAGATCTTGTCGTAAAAGTGAATTTCCATAAAAAGTTCCTGCTGAATAACGTCAGGAATCTATCTCGTCATACACGTAATTCGAACATAATAAATAATGAAGTCATACATTCTACGGACATTGAATAGCCCTTAAAAATTCTACCGGTAGCATGATACTTTCAAACAATAAAAGATATTTGAAAATGAAAATGAATTCTAACAAAGTAATTGGAATACAAATAAAGATTATTACCGAAATGTTTTATTTGCTATAAGAAAAGATGTTGAATTCCATATTTATTTTAAAGCGCTTTCTAAAGATGAAAAGCCACCCGCGTAAAAAAGTCCAGCTTACGGCAAGGAAAAAAATAATCGAGATGTCGCAGATGTCTCGAAGTTATTTTATTATTTCAAAAACATCACTATTTTCGGTAAACCACTCTGTATAACAAAATAAAAACAATTCGAATTATTTCCTGCGTGTAACAAAAAATGAGAATTTATTTTTGATATTTTACGTTGATTTACTTAATTCTTTGTCAATGTGTGCCATATCTGCAACAAAAAACTGTAACAAAATGCATGTTGGGTACGAATTCCATGTCATTTCAATAAACAATGTAACTTTCCGTTAAACAAACTGTAAAAAGTAATAAATCGTCACAAAAACAACGGGCAATTAAAACCAAACTATTGAATCCTCAGAGAGTCTTTTATTGGCCATCTCCAAGAAATGCTGCTGTAAATATTCTTTGACTACTTAAATTCCTTTTCTTCAAGAATATTAAAGCAAACACAAATAATACTATCTGCAAATCAATCACTACCGTGGCGAAATGTAATTGCTAAATAACGTATAACTAAATCAAATTTTGCAATTGCACATTAACAATTTGAATAGGTTATTCGGAGCTAAATGAGTTTAAAAAATGTTTCCAATTTCCACTTACCTTTCCACCTATCGAATTCGCGTAAAAATTATCAGCATGAAACAGCCCGGCAAGTGTTCTAAATAAAATACGACTACCATGTTAGATCTGGTTTTTGGTTGCGAAAATTTTGCGATAGTTATTAAAGTGGCTGCTGTGGACACAGCTGCTACTATTTTTTTATATTTAATGCTGATCAAATATTCAGTAGAAAACCCTTCAGAATTTTTGAACATTCAGAGCTTAAAGTAAATAACGGGACATTAAAAAAATCATAAATTTGATTAAATATATATGAAATTATTTTGACCGTGCAAGTTTAGCTCGACAACACACCTTCTTTTAATAAATCTTTAAAAAACGCATTAGAATCTGTAATATTTCTCACGCCTATAAATTTAGTTCTATTGCCTTTTATTTAACGCTCGACAATATTTACGTCTAATTTCTAGAATTCAATCAAGCAATTACCTACACATAAGGAAAACATTCTAACGATATATTTCCAATTGAGGTAACATCGTAGCAATGAGTACTCTATTTGAAATAAGTGATAATTTAAACGAATGGGATAACAGAACAAATTGGTCGTACGAAATAATGGTAAATTTCCTAATAGCTGAATTATTAATGTTATGTACAATATATGATATAATTTCAAATACTTGACTTACTTTTAACCAATTTCAAATGCCTCCACCGGCGACTTTCGACGTTAATTACTTACTACTAATTTTCGACAATAATTTAATTTACTTTTAATAATTCCGCTTCTGTAATACGTACTTTGCTCCATCCCATCTGTCTTTCTTGTTCTTTTGCAAACGCGCATTTATCTAATTGATGTGATTTTGTTGTGACCCATTCCAACTACAAACTTTTAACAAATTTGCAAGCCAACAAACAAGCCAGCAGAACTTATACATATAGTTTGGGGTGACAAAGTGGAATATGCGTTTTGTTATTACTAAATTGGCATTGACATGCCTAGCGAATACTTGTTGTAGGCCTTAAGTTTTCTTTATTATTCTATTACTCTAGCAAACTATTTTAAATAATAACTAATTTATAAATCAGAAAAATAATTGTAGGAAAACCATGGGTTTCTTGAGCAAATTATAAATATATTATTAGGGGTATTAAACTATAATAATTTGAGCATCATAAGATTAAGAAAAGATTTATTAATATTTTAAATCCCATTGACGTCCACCGACGACTACCAATCTTAGATCAGTATTTCCAATTATAAAATGACAACAAAATTATAATATAAAACAGTCGCGGTTCAATAGCTAATTAATACATGTCAAATATAATAAACAACAATATTAGGAAAAATCAGTGACCGAAAATTTTTTCTTTAAACATTACTTTTAAATACATCTTTACTAAAATTGACGTGCGCATGTTACATTGAAACAATTATTCCTTCCAATCCAATTATTTCTGACTGACAGGAAATATGCAGCTCCACAGTCATTTTTATTATTGAAGGTGAATTATAACTCTATATTGAAATTCTGCCAAAACTAAAAAGCATTAAATAAACTTTTAAGACGCAATTTCAAACGCAGAGACAGTTTTCATGTTGCTGATCAAAAATACTCAAAAATTTTACAAAAAGATTTCTAAAGTAAGTGTGAAAAATTTTCCACAACCCATTATTGTTGTGCATTTATTATTGTGTCCCAAAAAACTTACTTCTAGAGACTGAATTTCGAAATAATCGCTTACACAGCGCAGATTTAGCAAAAATTTGCTGTTAAGTATAGAAAACAATCACCAAGATGCCGGATTAAAAAGTACATTGAAACTTTGAAATTGGAACTTTTCCAATTTTAATATCAAAACAATCAATTTAAGAGCTTACTGCTGAGAATTACTGCTTGGTGAGCACACACTCGAAATAAGAAATAATAATGTAACATTGGTTCTTCAACATGCAATGTAATGTTTTAACATTTATCAAGACAAATGAAAATCAAACACACCAGGCCGATCTTTAATGATTTGTTTAAATGATTCATGGATAATAAATTAATAAAATATATTTTAAAGTTTATAACGTACGTATTCTTGTTATGAAAATGAGGTATGTTTTCGCTTTGAGTTTCTTTGGCAAATTCAATCTTGGCATTTTTTAAAAGGACTTTTCTCCCAATAAGTAGTTGATCGATATCAAGCTACATTTCCACTACAAAATGGACATTGTCAATATCACATGTAATTTTACGACTCATACAACGACTTACACCATAAGGAAAGGAAAATCCGAGTTAATAAATGACAACGTGTTTTACACCATGAACGAATCCATTAATGATGATCTGATAAAATGTACTTGCAACCCAAGAGAAGCAACTTCAGTTCTGACCTTCTGTAACAAAGTGCGAATAGCACATGCAGTTCTGATGTTACCTCACTTACACACGTATAAAATGACCTAATGCATATTGTATCATACAAAAGGAATATCCAAGTATTACAAAGTATCAATGCACTTTTTCGAGACCAATAACCTTGACCTGTAATAATGTAAGTGATAAGCCATCATCACAGTTATATAAAGAACTGTAATCGGTGTTGATCCAAGAGCATTTTATCGCCTTCATTTATTTGCAACATTTTTTAAACCTGAAGATTTGCCATGAATGAATCAACTAAAAAGTACTAAAAATTAATAAAATTAATACTTGATATAGATTTTGCATAAGGCTCTCTTGCAATAAAGCAGATATAAACCGGCAAATTGGTAAGTGCGCAAATATAATTGACTAACAAAAACAAAAGCATTTTTCATTGTTAACAATGTGCTGTCCTCCTTCATAGATTTAGGAACTCCGGTAGAGCAAGTAGTAAAACAAACAGAGAAACAAAAACGATGATAAAGTTATAAAATGTAAAACCAATAAAAAACTCGTTTAGATATTACGCGTAATTATTCAAGCCTTTTAGGGTACTTTTAATTTCCATTTTATTGATGCCTATGATTACATACTTTTTGTATGTCAAAGTAAGACATGTGAATAACCAAATATAAACTGCAATATACACATAATTGTAAACATACACAATTCAATAATAAAATACAAATATTTGAAGCATACTTATAATATACTAGTAGATGACATTAAAAGTTGCATATTCTAGCCGTTTTTTCTTTTTTGCTATGCACTTACCGACTCAATAAATGAAGGCACAATCAAATAAATATTCTATTTATTTCTGATGAATCAATGGGTTCTTTTCGAATTTCTGGTCTCAATGTCGTAAATTAAGCATACGATTTGTTTAGTCTAGTAACTTGAACTGTTAATCTTGTATCTATTCACAGAACCAAAGAAGTTCTCTAAAGTCTAAAAACAATTTTTTGTAAGATATAGTACAAGATGTATGGCAAATATTTAGCAAATAAAACATTGGCATGCGAATGTCGTCTGGCAACCCAGATATCGAAGGCTGAAGTATTCACAAAGCAATAATAAAAATAGGTTATAGAAAAAAAAAGGCTGGACTACTAAAAGAGAATTTAAATAGCAACATATGCAAAATAACTGAGTAATCCTATAAAACGGTACACGTATTTCACACACTTGCAATGCTAGCAAACATGAAATAACATTTTGACTTGCAAATCGTTATAATTTTGGGCCTTAGTTGCTGGGAAAGTATGAATATTACATTCATGACAATGCATCACTAACCACAATTACAAAACGACTAATTAAAAGTAAACTTCTTTATATTATGCTATAAACATAAAATTATTTGTTTTATGCAAATCGTTTTGTTCTTTACTTCGTTACACGTAACTTAAACAATAATCTGACTAATATTCTGAAAGAAAAAACAGGAAACATTCGTTGTTTTTTCTAATATAAGTAATGACTCAAAAACCAGTAGTGGTTTTCAAGTTAAAATTAATCCTTCAAACGGAATATTTAACATTGTTAATTAATGAGCGGAATTATTTCTCCTCTAACAAAGATTACTTGTTATGTTAAGTCTCGTCACATGAAATCGTTTATAATCATATATAAATTTTACTTTCTCAGCTTTGCCCGGAATTACTTTAATAATTTGTACAAATCGTTGCTTTTAACATACATTGCAGATAATTTCAAAACTAAATAAAAATTCCCGGTGATTTGAAACAGTTTATCCACAAGCACTTCTATGTAAGTGATTTTTTTCAAATGCATTAGAATATTGTGTTTTTTAATAATTACTTTTATACAATAAGTTTGTCATCACAGACATGAACGTAAAATTGTAATGAGCCGATGTATTATAGAAAATCAAGTGTAATTTCATAAACCAATGTTTCAAAAGTTCTAAACAATGCCCTCAAGAAAAAAACTAAATAAATCTAGACTAATTCCAAAATTTTCGCGCGTATTTGAGATTGCGCTTTATTGGAATTTCTGATAATAATGTCAATGACACTAATCGAATATGCAATATTATGACATTCACTCATGCTCTCAACTGCAATTCAAGCCAAACGTTTTACTACGTTAATATATTCAAAATTATTTTATATGGTCACACTGCGGAACTTGATTAATATGACGTAAAAAGCTTAATATAGACTAGTTTAAAATATAGAATTGCAATAGAGTTGCCAAAGATTTGTTAAGTAAAACCGTTTTCTTCATATAAACAACTGAAAATTCCATATAAAAATATATTCGTACATCAATCACAGAAATTAGTACACGGTTGACAAACGATAGTATTAAAGTCTCAACATAGCGTAAAACAGATCGATTTAAATGTTTCCAGTAAAATAACATTTTTATTAGTTCCTTATTACCACAGATCTAAAAATTCAAACCTATGAGTTCAAACATTTTCAAATTTTTTGCCATCGTATATCGTCCTTTCTGTTTATGTGAATGATATTCGCTATATGAAACAAAAATTTTAAAATGCAAAATACCATCTGAAGAACTGAAACAAATCATAATCTATACCAACATTATGTAATACAGTTTCCAAAGAATCAATTTCAGTCGTTGTACGAGAATTTCAGGTAAATCAAGTAGTGGGGAACACCCGATCATTATAGAATGTTTTAAATAGTGTAAAAATTAACCATTACGCACCCAGACAGAAACTTGTTAAGAATGATTTTAGAAAACGTCAATATTATTTGAAAATTTTTGGTATGATCAGTGAATGCAAAGAGTAATACTGAGTAAATACATTATATTTTATTCGGTTTAGATTCGTTGTAATTGATAGAAAAAATATTTTAAAATAACTTTCGTTTTGTAAATACTTGTAAATAAGGCCCGGTCTACAAATCAGTGGTTGTGCTGGTTCATATTGTGAACGTATCGGATATTCTCCCTTTGAGGTAAGAAAAACATAGTGAAACTTATACCATTGAATTTTGTATGTACTATATGAAAATAAGTGTTAGTTTGCGCTAGTATTTATCGATTGATTTTAAGAGATAAGGTGATAATTTCAATTTCAAGGGAAAACCTTGCTATTAATATTCATTTGTTAAGGAAAATCTATGCGAAAATAAGTGGGCATGTGAACAAATATGTAAAATATTCAGGAAAAAATTATATATTTTTCTGGTAATAATACGTAATTTTCTAGTAATATTTCTAATACTAAGTAAATGTACATTTTTAAAGTTCTTAATTTGTGAAATTCGAATTATTTTGGTCTCAATGAGTTACATTTTGTCAAAATATAAAACTACCTTTTATATATCATCACTACATTAAAAAAGTAAGATTTTTAGTTTCAAAATAATTTAATTTGAAAGAAATTGATTCGAACAAGAATATAAAAAAAAGAAGCAAGGAAGAATATTTAATTCAATGTGTCTCATTACAATCTGATTTCATTACATAACATGTGCAAAAAAATTGTTTAAATCAAGTATCACAAATGGATACAATTTTGGAGCATCAATATAATAAAACATTTCATTCATCGATGCTTCTTTTTTGCCGATAATAAATCTGATCCTGATTGGAAAATGAACATAGAATATGTGATATGGTCGTAAATAAAACACTCGGAAAAAATATGTGAATAGAATCTAATTTCGCATACAACATAGGGTTTTTTGGGTTTTATAACTGTAGAATTGAATATTTCTTGGAAAATGTCTTACTTCCCAATTAGTTAATTTTTAGTTTTTATTTTTAAATTGGGGCACGTCTAGTTTTTATTACTTCCGCTAATAGTTGTTTCAAGTTTCAAAACTTGTTCTTTACTATTTAACAACCCTAACGAAAAACACATTTACTTTGAGTCAACTTTAAGCATTAAATAAAATTATTTTCGAAATGTGATTGATCTCCGGCGAAAGTTCTCACTTCATAGATTCAAGTTCAATGTGAAGCCTTGACAAAAAAATAGTTTTGTTATAAACTTGACCGTAGCCTCAAAACTATACGGCATTTACTATACTAGTTAGTTATATAAGATGAATTCCAGCCGAGATTGATTCATTATACCACTTTCACGTTACTGATTTTCACGAGCAATTACATTTATTTGTGGTTTTAATAAGCACATTGATGACTTTACGCATATTGGAAGTTACATGGCCTTAGGTTTCAACAGGTTTTTGAAATTCCCAAATAATCTGTTATTGGGCGCTTTCAACCTTGGTTTGTTATAGTCACGAAATTTTGCTTGGAGAATATATTAAATTAAATTAATGCTATGGATAACTATAAGTGAATACGAATGAGCAAAGTTATATTTAACGCAAAGCCCAAAGAAGAAATGCGCCACATTCTCCAAATCAAAATACTTAGTTTAATTCGAGAATTAAAATGAAACGGAACAGTCCGTTTTATTTTAGTCAAAAGAAAGAAGTTAAGTTAAAAAAGTTAAAGTATTTAGTTTAAAATATCTCCTCGATCGATCGAGATTTCATGATCGATGATCTTAAATATATTGTTCATAAGCAATATACGTAACTTAAGTGTTGCTCCTTATTTGTAAAAACTAACCGAGGACAAAAGTAACTTGAAAGACTATACTATATTTGTTTATTTGGTATGACCTTAACTTTAATTAAAACATCGCATATTGTCTTTTGCGTCTGCAATTAAACTGCATTGAACTTTACATTGGCATTATCTGAATCTGAAGGATGATGTTGATTTTCGCTCATTTCGCTTGCGCCATCGTTACGAGTTTACCTTCGTAGCGAAAATGCAAAATAAACATTGTATTGCACTTACATTAACTGGCTTCCGACTGTACATATTGTTTCTTTCTTGATCTTTAGCTCACAACAAACATTATAATGCAATTTCTAGAGCTTAATCGCAAAATTTCCTTTTACTTTTTTAATAATTTAGTTACGAACGTGAGCTGGTGTTTAATCTACTTAGTACCCCTGAAGCTAATTAGCTAATAGCCACGCACCGCTCGCATATGGCATACATAACAATTGCATTCAAACGGTGTTTTTATATCAATTATACTCACTATTAACCTAAAATTGACGATGTCAATGTTACTAATCGGTATTCTTATATTGCTTAAGACAGTACCAATGTAACAAGACATCATAATCCATCGACAGTTTCTTAATAGAATTTACTTCAATCGCGAAGTAACTATAATTAATTAATTTGTATTTTTACAATATATGCATAATTAAATATTCACTAGAATTGTTTTCCGGTCACAAGAATGTCGTTTGGAACGCTTTATATTCGTTTTAATATGTCTATCATTTTTCGCAGAATAAAAATGTTCAAGTTCCTGATTCTGCTGCTGATATGGGTGTCATACAGCCATCAACAAAGTCTTCTAGATGGATTGATCAAATTAATTCAAGAAGGAGAAGATCAGATTTCCGCCGAACCACCCGATATGTCTGCTAGCAGAATGCTAAAGGAGTACGATTTTATTGTCGTTGGTGCTGGTACTGCTGGATGTGCCGTGGCAAATCGTTTATCGGAAAATCCCAATTGGACAGTCTTACTTGTAGAAGCAGGTAGAAATGCAATCAACACTTAAAATACAGTTTGATAAACATCCGAAACTCTTAACGATGCATTAGTACAATTAAATATCACTTAAAAGATTGTACTATGTTATTTGATAATCAGTCTGGAAACCTTCAATGTTCTTTATCTCGCAACTACTAACTAAAATCATCAGAATATATAATTTGATGATTGTAGGACGACCTGAAAATTTTATAATGGACATGCCTATACTAGCAAACTACCTACAGTTCACAGAAACAAACTGGCGGTACCAAACTGAACCAAATGGAAACGCTTGTTTAGGATTTGATGAGCAGCGTTGTAACTGGCCTCGAGGAAAAGTCGTCGGTCAGAACAAATTTGCATTTTTGTTTCGTAATCTTTACTGATCTTTGCACCGAATTAGGTGGTTCCAGTGTTCTTAATTATATGATTTACACACGAGGAAATAGAAGAGACTACGACCATTGGGCGAAAATGGGTAACGAAGGTTGGTCATTCAAGGATGTTCTGCCTTACTTTAGGTACGAATTTTACATACAGATAAACATTGAGAAAGAGTTTTTTCTTTTCGTTTGTCTGAAACCGATGAAATTTGCAGAAAAATAGAGAACTTTGCAGTACCTGGAAATATTTCAGCAGGCTATCATGGAAAAAATGGATACCTAAGTGTAAGCTATGCTCCATACCGTACGAAAATAGCTGATGCCATTGTAAATGCCAGTTTGCAGTATGGATTACCTTATGTTGACTACAATGGACCTACCCAAGTAAGACTCAAAACTCTCTTTTCTATTTCCTTGATTTCTTATATGGAAAAGCGATCTGTTATAGCGTTCTTATATGGAAAACGACAATTTGGAAATTTAATTTTTGCTGTATATTGAAATGTACACTCAGAGTGTTTCTAAATACATAAGTATCACAACTATCCAGTCTTCATTAAAAAAAAAAACAATATATCCGTCTTCCAATTTTCGTTTTCCAGATACAGGGTAACAAAAACCACTTTTTTAACTACGGGATGAACTTTTGTACACAGAATACCACGATTAATAGCAACTTTTTCGCACTCTACTACAATTTATTAGACGTGTCAGTGGTGGAGCTTCTAAGGTATCGTATTAAAGCGCTTATGAATTTTACATAAAATAATAATCTCATATATCTCAAGATGAAAATGGCTTTTTATGCAAGAAACCAAATATGTTGCTCATGATTCCCGTACGCTATCATTTTTTATTGAGAATTTAAAATTTGAGTAGGGTGCGAAAAAGTGGCTATTAATATATGCAATGTGTGTACCTCTGTATCTCATCTCTCATCTTGGACACCCTCTATCTCAAAAAAGAAAGCTCTAAGAAAAACGGAAAATAGAAATTAGTTTTAGTTTTTTATGAGGAGCTTTGTTGCGTTGCGAAACATATTTAGGACCACCCTGTAAATTTGCTTATAATGCGAAATAATACTGTATATCCAATCCATTCTATTTTAAAATATCTGACTAAACGTGTGAGACGTATTTAGCAGATATCCCTCGAAAATCAGAACTCATCAGATAATGGAAGCATAAAATTGAACTAAATATCAAAAATACAGAATCACGGAAAGATTGAGAATAAAATTGAGAGTGAATTCTTTAGCACACAATTATTTTTTTCTCTAACGATATTTTCCTCTCTATGAACTTTTCTGAGTAAATTAGAGAGTTTAAATTAAAAATATAAAAAAGCATCGTTATGGCAATATCAATTTTTCGATTTTTAAGCACTAAAAGCAGTTCAAATGTTGACTAATCATTTATTATCATACATACCAAGCATTTATCAATGCGTTTCCCCATGATATTTGTTATTCGCCCAAAAATATCACGTATCTTTCGAGCTTGCCAATGCTCCATTGAACTTTGTTTTACACACGGTATATTCTTAAATTGCCCGTTTCTGTTTGCACAATCATAAACTAAAAATTCGAAATTCAGGAAACGAAAAAAAACTGAAGGTATTGAATATTGAATGGATACGCGAAAAACAGAATCAACAGGATTATCGATATTATTTTTTACAATAACGTCGCGTAAAAACCATTTTATTTTCAAAGATTTTCATCGAATTTGCCTTGCCGAAGTATTAAAAACCTGATATATTTGGAGATTTATGAAAAAACAAACCGCAAGTTCTCAATTACTATTTTAAGAAAATTAAACATTAAAACGGATTCATTGTTAACTTTTACTAGAAACTCGAATTTTACTAGAAACATTTGTTAATCAAATAAATATAATTGTTCTATCACGATAAATTAATTTTTCAATTTTTTTGTAAACTAGACACTTTTTCCCATAGAAAAAATATTCTTTATGAGCAACTTAACATGTCAGCTACTGCCATACCGTACGAATGTAACTAATCAAAAAGTGATAAAAAAAATCATGAAATAATTGGATAAACATTGGAAATCAAACTGTTCCAGTTTGTTTTTCCTTCTATAATGCTACAGTTTCCATATTACACCGTTTATACTCTTTGCAATATTACATAATCTTTATGTATGTAAAAGCAATGAACGCGAAACCGTTTCCAACTATGGATGGCTGGTTAATTTTGAACTTCTAAAATTAAATAGATGCTACTTCAAATTTCACAATAGCTTCGTCCTGTACACATTAGCGTTTGTAATCTTTATTGCAAATATCACTCATCTATCTCTTGAGAATCTTGCTGATTAAATAGACAATTTTCACGAACAGTAATTAATCGAAATAATAAAAGCATAATGTATTTATCATCATGCCAATTCTAGGTTGGTGTTTCCCACCTGCAATTAAGCTTAAGAGATGGTGTAAGAGAGAGTTCAAGCAGAGCTTATTTGCATCCGATCAGCAATCGGCCAAACTTGCATTTAACCAAGTATTCCATGGTAAAGCGAATTGTAATAGGTCAGACATAAAGGTGCTAATTTTCCGCTGCACATACTGATTACTGGATAATTTCAGACCCAAAGTCGCAACAAGTCAAGGGCATTGAAATGGTTAAAAACGGTCAAACTTACTTCATCAAAGTTAAGAAGGAAGTTATTTCATCGGCTGGTGCCATTAATTCTCCGCAACTCTTAATGCTAAGTGGCGTAGGACCCAAGAAGCATCTTCAAAAATTGGGTAAGTTAAACGAATGCACCATTTACCTGAAATAAACAGTTGAACATTAGTAATTATAAACGCTGCATTTGAGTGACTGCTATTTTTAATTCTATAAAATTGAAGTGTAAACGAATAAACAATCATTGCCATCAACAGACTTCTTGAAATACGCAAATGGCTGATGTGCTAATTGATGGAAATATGTTGTTATAGCCTACGAGCAATTAGAACACCTTTGAAAAACAAAATTTACATTCCATTACCATATTTCTCCTTAATGCATAATTTGGTGGAATAGTACTCGAAAAGCACATATTCTGTTGATTATAATTTACGAGTGTTATGTGCTGGTTTTAAAAACTGTGTATAATTGTACAAAATTGATACATCACCTCACGATTATTACTGAAGCAATGAACATTATAGAAGGAAATTGACTCATTTCTTGCTCAGAACGATTTTTTAAAGTATGCTACCATTTGAAATATTCACAGATCTCGAATGAATATACAACAGTTCTTAGTTTGTATATTAATTTTGCTCAAAATGGAATTATTCTCGCGTGGAACTCACATTGATAAAGGTTTAGATTTCAATTACAAAAAAAAACGGAAATTGACCCAACCCATTATTTAAAATTTTTCATATATAAATTCGGTTTAAGATATTTCTTAACACATTTTGTCATTTAAAAAAAACTTTTCAGGGAACTTTTATAAATTTACATGTTATAATTAACATTTATAAAATGACCCATATTGGACTAAAATGATATTCGTCTCGACTGTTACGGAATTAAAGAAATGACAACATACAATAACATGCTTAGATTTATAAAATTGAAGAATTTCGTCAAAAGAAAAACGTCGAATTGATTTCTCGAACATAATAAGAACAAAAAATGGCAAATCACAAATTGAAAAATAGTTTTGTATTATGTGCAACAAGCAACTTTAAAAAAACACATTCTCTCAATGATTAATGGAGATCGATTTATGAACTCATTATTTATGTAGCATAAGAAGAATCAAATAATTAATTAACAGCAACTCAAAAATATAAATATTTTCCATATGGAATAATTAGCACATCTCATTTACAGGTATTCCAGTAATAAGTAATCTACGAGTTGGATATAATCTAATGGACCACATAGGAATGGGTGGTCTAACATTTTTAATAAACGAAACTGTTTCTTTGAAAACTGAAAGGCTCATAAACAATAAAGATTTGGGAGATTACTTAAACAATCACCATGGACCTTTATCAATTCCTGGAGGCTGTGAGGTAAACCATACCTAACTGCTTTCAATCTTGACAACATTAACGAAATACTTATAGGTATTGGTGTTCAATGATTTCGATCATCCGGGAGACTCAGACGGATATCCCGATATTGAATTACTTTATCAAGGAGGTTCCATAGTTTCAGACATTGTACTTCGAAAGGATTTTGGCATTACCGATGGTATTTATAACAAAGTCTTCAAACCAATAGAAAATACAGATTCGTTCATGGTAAGACGCCTTTAAACTACCTATTTTAAAAAGTGCATAAAATTGTATCAAAATTACAAAAAATACAATCAAACAAAACAGCACCCAATAATTTCGTGTTTATAACAAAGCACCCAAACAAATTACTTTCGTGTTTATAACAAATAAAAAGTTAATGTTATGAAGACTGTATAGAATCTGCGATTTGGCAGCTTTTTTAACACATTTATGATGTTGACTTTCAATATTTTCTACACAAGCTTCATATTTTTATTTATGTAGTCAACTACAGATTCATATAAGAAATCATAAATAAACGATCTTATACAATGATACTGTTCTAATAATTTCTAGTGTAATGTGCTAACTTAATATAATTATCAATATTATATTTCACAGCTTTTCACAAACATACCAGCTGTCACTACTTAGTCAGTAACATACAGTTCTTGTAATTTTTTAAAAATGTATATCCTTTATCAATTAAATTAAATATTAATTATTTTAATTAGTCATGTGTATTTCAAATACCAACAAGCATTCCGACGATTCTACCAAGACTTACCACGGAATCAAATTGAAATAAAAATTGTTGTTTTGTATAATATATTGAATACTTGAACTTTTGAGAGTTCAAGCCTTTAGTTCTCTAAAATTAATAATGTGTTGACTCATTACTTAACAATTACATTCTATACATGCGTTTAATTTCTAGGTGTTTCCAATATTGCTGAGACCCAAAAGTAGAGGAAGGCTGATGTTGAAAAGTGCTGATTACAAGCATAAACCTTACATTTTTCCTAACTACTTTGCCGATCCGAAAGATATGGAAACAATTATCAAAGGTGTTAAATTAGTCATGGAAATAGCAGCTAAGCCAGCTTTACAGTCACTGGGTAGGTACTTTATAGTCACTTTTTAGAAAATATTAAATGTAAATTTTTTCTTTAGGAACCAGATTACATAATATTCCAATACCACAGTGCGCTGATCGAGGTTTTGGATCCGATGCATATTTTGAGTGTATGGCAAGACATTTTACATTTACTATATACCACCAAAGTGGAACATGCAAAATGGGTCCTTCTACAGACAAAAAAGCAGTCGTTGATACCAGATTAAGAGTTTATGGCATCAAAGGCTTAAGAGTAAGTAAACGTTCATTTTCAATACTACAATAGTTCATTTTAACTTCATGGAGTTGGTTATTCAAATAATGTTTTTGTGTAGGTTATTGATGCTTCGATTATGCCAGAAATTCCAGCAGCCCATACCAATTCACCAACATTTATGATAGCTGAGAAAGGATCAGATATGATAAAAGAAGATTGGGGATTTAATACTAATTTCGTTTAGGTTTCAATGTGACTTTACTCTGTGATATTATAGTTAAATTCAATGTAAATATTGGAACGCTTGTTAAACAAAATGTGTTGGGTTGTCTTTGTTATATTTAGTAAGTACATTTATTAATAAAAATGAATATGTTTTAGGAAATATTTCAAGCATCATCACATAACATCGCAGCTAAATTAGGCAGCTGTAGAGTTGGACTGTTAAACAAAATATTCATCAACGGAACACGTAACCTATTTAGCAATCAAAAAAATTACACAAATAAACAGTACAAAAAGTCTTCAATGTCGAATTTACAGGATTAACTAGTAGTCCTGTAAATTCGACACTGAAGACCGAGATGATGTGTAGTCATAATTTTAAAGATAACTAGTGCCTTTGCCATGGGGATGCATTCAATTAACTTAATTAGACATAACGTTCAAGCATGATTTGAGCCTTGAAGAAGACCCCAATAAAGGTCGAAACGTCGGCAAATAATTGAATAGTGACGTTTTCATCAACGCAAAGGAACTGAAAAGCGAAACGAAACTCTTATATATATTTTCTTAATATCTACTATTTTTTGATAAAGAGCATTTTTCATGCTAATTAACTTGATAAGTAGTGATATTATAAAAAAATTATACTTTCGAAATACCGAACTACTTTTAGTCCAAAGCAATATCTACCATTAAACATAGCAAATTAATTGAAGGTAAAATACTTTGAATTTTTGTGCCATAATAATGGCCACCTTCACTGACAACTTTCTAAATCCATAATGAAAAATTCAATTTAGTACTAAGAGCTCTTCCAGCTTTATGTATGTATATAAACAGTAATTCACCGTTGTTTATGTTCAGTCTTCTACAGAATTTATCATCAGTACATCATATAAACTGTTAGAAATGATGAAATTGATTGTAAGTGTTTTGATTCCAAAATTTGCTGTTTATGAAAATCGTCTAAACATTTTGTTGGTAGAAATTGTTCAAAAAAATGATATACAATGTATATATTGCAGGTTGTTTTAACTGCAATCGCTGCATGTGCAGTAGCCATGCCGCAAACAACAGCAGTAAAAAAACCACCAGGGAAAAACTACGAACCAAATGAATACGAAAAACTGCAAAATGTGGCTGCCAGGTAAACATTTTAGTGCAAATACTAAAAAGGAAAACCCATATGATAACTACTGATTTTCAGGTACAAGTTTTCCTCAGACATTGATGATCACATCAGCGATCTGACCCACCAACGATCAGAAGAAAGAAATGGTCTTTCAGTTAAGGGCATGTATGCCTACAGCGATGGATACTACAAAAGAATTGTGCATTATGTAGCTGACGAAAACGGATACAGAGTAACTGGGTAACATATTTTTCATACAAACCTTTAGTTTGAAACGAAATGAAAGTAATTTTTGTATTTTCAAATTAGGATGGAGGCCGTTCCTCTTGATGGTCCCCATGTAGACCTTACTGGTACTGCTTCGGTTCAATCAGCTGCCCATGGTGCTCATGTAGCATACAAAGTGCAAAGTGTTCCAGTCGAGGGACCGATTTCAAAAGTAGTTGGTGATAATGGTGCAGCCGCAGTTCCACTCATCGAATAAACTGAGCGCAATACAAAAGTACATAATGTTGCAGATTATTTATTGAATGAAATTAATAAAGACCTTAAAACGAGAATTGGGAGTTTGAGTTGTATCCTTGGTATTCACTTGAATGACATGAAATACCCGTTGATATGATGGTTATTGTATCAATTTAGGAAACAGGCATAGGAAATCACTGCTTCCGCAGAGTCAACTTTCAAGTCATTTCAACTTCAGTTGTGTTTTAAATCGTTCTTTTAACCGATGAAAACTATTTGAGTAAAACACATTAAAACATATGTTCTGTTCTGATCTTAAAGTCTTATTGAACTTTTTACATTATTACGGATTACATTAATTATTATGATTATCCAAATTAGCTTTTAAATAACTAATGTATTTTTATATTAATTCTATTATCTGACATTCTTGTCTGCATTTTTCTTCGGTACTTCCTAATTGTTTCGTGTTTATTGATATATCTAGCTAGATGCAGCGTTATTTTCATATTTTTCAATTGTTGTCAACAATATTTTAAACAATAAATTTAATATAAATAACAAGTAAATACGAATAAGTTGATAGGCGGATTCTTCAAAAAAAAAAACATAATAAATACTTTCACAATTAAAAAAATGTATTTATTTGATTGCAATTTATATGTTTCGAACGCATAACTTCAGTTCTGAAGCTTCAAGTTTATAAATCTACTATTCAAGTTAATGAAAACCTTGGAATTTCTCGGTTTACAAAGTTTCCACATTTCCTTACTGATGCCTTTCAAAGAAAAAAGATTTGACGCAATGAAAAATAGAAAATATTTTTAAAACATTCACAATATCTAATTTTTTGAGTGGTAAAAATTAACAAACCGTAATACCAAGAGCAAAGAAAAACATAAAATGAAAATTTTTGAGGCGAAATACCCAAAAAGAAGTTTGTAAAGAAGAAAAACATAATACAATAAAAATAACAAATAAATAACAAGAATATTTGAAGTCGCTTTAGAGTATATTGAGGAGGTTTCAAAGCAATTAAAAAATATATTAAAAATATAAAATCCTGAGTTTAAGTCATTTATTTCGATATCACAAATTATTCATTCTTTAAAATCGATTCGATCGTCTCCGAATCGATCGATTCGGTTCTTAGATAAAAGTTCATTTTTGCTAAGTGGCATGGCATCGACATATTTATAGCCACACAAAATAGCATAAAGGTACCATTCTCGAAAGAAATTAATACACGTTTGATAATATGGTAAAAACGCAGAAAACGGGTCTAAAGAAAGACGCAGAGCATTGCGATCAGCCGATCAATATGTGTTTCTGTAGATATTTGGACATTAGTTTAGCCGCAAGCTTATCCTGGATGAGTTTATTCTATATTTAAATGTCACCATTATTATTACCAGCTTTTCAATTTTTATATGAACCAAAAATATCGAATACAATTTCAATGTTTAGGTTTATTCAATATTTTTTTAATACGATTCTAGCTACGCCAGCGGCTAATGAAAATTTCCATATTTCCATATACATAAACGTAGTGCGAAAGCAGATGTGGATTTAAAGAAAATTACCGCTTTACTAAACTATCAAGCAGCAACTTTCTAGCAAAACCTTTCAAAAATTTTACACTTACCGACATTACATTAAAATTGAATTAAAGGTAACATCTAGTTTCTTTAGGCGCTTATAACTGGACTTGCTAATTACTATTAGCTCATTCTTGTCAAAATGATTCAAGTAAAAGGCCTCGTTCTTTTGTGCTTTTGTTGTGCTCTGATCAATTCCGAACTATCCCCAAATGCTGAAGAAATGGTGAGTTATATACATTTACTACAGTTAAACTACGCAGTCAATTTACATTTACTAGATTCAACTAATAAATAAGCATTTTCTAGATCGGATCGCCTTTACAACACATGGAAATCTATATCGACAAATTCCAACAAAGCAGACGCAAATTTCATATACATAAAAACAGGAATATCACAGGAAACTTGCATATCAGGACAAAGAAGCAAAGATTACAGTTGAAAGAAGGCCTTGATCAACAAGTAACAGTGCACCAATACAAAAGTGAACGCCACAACAATTTAAAAAACATGTTTTAGGTCTATTCTTCAACAACTGAAAGTACAGATAATTCCCTCACATTTACGAATCCTGCAACTGCTGTTGAAAAACTGCCAGTCTCTGAAACTATTCAAGAACACAAGCCATATATACTCAAGACAAGGCAGTCTACATTAAGTCGTGAAAAGTTGAAACCCCAAAACACACATTCCCAACTATTTCCCGTAAGGTCGAGACCTAAAATGCAATTATTGCAATCTAGATCAGCTGAAAAACCGGATGTAGATAACAAAAGTAATTCAGGCAGTACCGTTCTATCAGAAACTAGCAAAGGCTCGCTCCTATCTGAACCAACCACCCCTGGATTCTTGAGAAAATCATTGAGGAGAAAACCGAATCCCATCATATCAACTGAAGCGCCAAAAGTTCCAGGGATTCAAACAAGAAGAAACCTGCTGCTTAGGAGCCAACCCCTTAAAACAGAGACTACCCAAGAATCTGACATTGAACCGACAACATATCATCCACCACTAGGTTCGCATTTGTTTAATAATAGAGTCGAATTAACGCACGTCAATGAATCAAAACAGGATCAGCCAAAAGAAACTGACGCGAATAATCAACAAAGGTCGTTAAAAAATATTGACAAAGTTCTGAACAAAACTTTCGAATATCAGCGGGGGCTTGCGGAAGAAGTGTTCCAACGTCAAGCTCAGAATGCAAAGTATCAATTTTCCAGTAACATTGACGATGGAATCAATGGCAACTTACACCAAAGAATTGAAGTTCGGGATGGTTTAAGTGTAAATGGAAGATACAGCTATAGTGACGGCTACCACAAGCGAACAGTGTTTTACGAAGCTGACGACAAAGGATACCGAGTTGTAAAGTAAGTTAGTATTTTAAAAAAATTGACGAATTTAATTAGAACACATTTCAGGGAAGAAATTGAACCTATTCAAAACCCACTAGGAATTCCAGACGGACATGCCAAAGTCAGCTCTTATATTGCTGGAAAAACAGTTAAATATGAAATAAACAAAAACGATGGCAGAGACAAAATAAAAATAAGGTTTAAACAAGTAGAAGAGGACTGATGGGACAATTATGAAATAAATAATGCAAACAATTTAAAGTGTCTTTGTATAAAAAGTAACTACAATTTTGTTTAGACCCCATTCGCACACGCAGCACCTTTAGAAGAAAATACAAAAAAATAGTTCTTTAACCTTGTGGCGAACAGCAAGCACAACCTGTTGACGCTTCGAATCAGTATAAATATGAAGCAAACTACGTCTTTTGTGTCTTTTGGCCCTCCAGTAGCGTTTAATTTTTAAAGCAGCGAAATGGCAATAACATCATAAACAATCAAATAGCAGTTTAATGACAATGAACAGTGAAGGCGCCAAACAATTATCATCAGAGTATTTATAAACTCAATTATTTCTGCAAATGAAAATTTAAAGCCGAAGTAACTTGCTTCCATAACGCATTCTTAAATGTTTATAAATTCTAACTAACGCGTGAGATTAATCAATCCAATATAATAGTATCAGCAATTTAAAACATTTATCCAGTTTAAGTTGGTTTGAATTTGTAAACTAAAAATGATTTTGTTATTGCGAGCATGCCCTGTTCGCTAATTTATATATTTTACTCGCGACTTTTACTCTACAAAACGTTTCATAATTAACTTTGCAATTCTCCAGAAAGTGAGAAAATTAAGGACAACACTCTGCGCCTCTGGTGATGTTGATTGAACAGGTTCTTTAATCAGTTTCGATTTACGAGAACCCAGAATATCTTTGACAACTTAGCTTCAACGGATCAGTGTTTCTGTTTCCGCTTTATCAACAAAATGTTTGTAAACAGGAAAATTATACAATATTAAAGTGAATAAATAATGTGTGAAATTTTGCATTATTTCAAAGTTTATCCAGTGCTATCAATGAGGAAGTTTAACTCTTCACGGCAAGTATTTTTCAAATAATTATTTTCACATTTTAGATTATTATCTACTGAAATTATTACAGTTGATGAATTTGCTGCGAGATGTTGAAAAACAATACCATTTATTGGAAAGTGATTTTGCATCTTTCACTCACAATGGAAACATCATATATCAACTATATAAAAAAATATATATAAACTACTAGTAATAAAAAAAGAGCTACCTAATATAGCTACCTATATATGTGTCAATTATTTATTATTGTTAAATGTTAAACAGACTTAAAAAATCGGTTCATGATTTAAAAAACAAATTATCGTAAATTATATAAGTTATAAAAAGTTTCGTTAATATGTCTGCAACGGGAGCAAAATAGTTCCCAATCCCTAAATAACAAGCTAATTGTGCTTTTTAAACGCACGATTAGGGTACCAATGTCATGAGTCATGACCTCCATGACATATTGGTATCGTTGGATAGAGAATTAAAATTATATTCAGTCATAACATGTGTGACGAAATTCGGACATTTTTGACCCAGGAAGCGAAATTTGTATATCAGACATTTACAAGCAACATTAAGCAGCGAAAATCTCATGTTTTCCTTCCCGTTTCGGCTCATTTCTCGGAAGCAAAATGAGCAAAAACTCTCGTTTTTTCAATTCCAGAGAGCACTTAATGTCGATTTCAGAAAGTGAACCATCGATAAGGAAATGTTGTCAGTTTTCTCAAAAAAGTCTTGGATTCAAGAAGTTTTAGATGTTCGTGTTTCTTTTTGAGTTGCAAAAGCGATTCAAACATAACGCTGCTTTTTTCGAAGTTTCTCAAGAACCATTTGAACCACAGAATTCGTTTTGGTATAGGTGGACAGAGAATTGAAAATTAGATTCAGTCATCACAACATGTGAAACAAATGAAAAAATTCGAGTAGTTTTGACCCCGAAAGCGAAATTTGAATATCATACACTTAAGCGCAAGATTATACCAAAAGTTTATGTTTTCCGTCCCGTTTTTGCTAATTTCTCGAAAGCAAAATCAGCAAGAACGCTCATTTTTACAATTTACAAAAGACCGATAATGCCAGTGTATCATAAAATAAATAAGTTAAAAATTAATGTACAAATAAATTATTTTTTATTTTTAGGTTCTTCCTATGCTACTGCACCCGAAGTCATTTGGTTACTTAAAGCTTATATCGAAAAATCCTTCTAAATGGCCGAAATTCTATCCTAAATATTTTACAGATAGAAACAACGAAGATATTAAAACTTTTATCGCCAGAATAAGAGAGATTCTCAGAGTTATGGAGATGCCGGTGTTTAAAAAATACAACACGACATTATATGACAAACCGATTCCAGGTACAGTAAAGAAAATTATTTCACAAAAATATAACGATCAATCAAAAATGTACTTACAACCAAGAACCAAAATGAATGTGTATTGCAGGTTGTGGTAAACACAAATTCACACATATTCAGATGCATACTGGGAATGCGCCCTTCGGACCATCGCCCCAACCCTGCATAATCAGATTTCGACTTGCAAAATGGGGCCCAGAGAAGACCGAGAGTCTGTAGTGGATCATCGATTAAAAGTGCATGGAATTAAAAATTTAAGAGTAGTAGATACGAGCATCATACCAGTGACTTTAAGTGCCCATACCAGTATTCCTACAATAATGATAGGCGAAAAAGCTGCAGACATGATCAAAGAAGATTGGAGTTTGTTTGAATCATCAAGCAACAAACAATGAGTGTATCGTACACATTTTCCGCATCCCACAAAAGCTTTATTTTAATAACAGTCAGAGACGCAGAAGAGAATAAATTCTTAACAATACATCATCGAATTTGAAAATATTAGTGTGAAAATATTATTGACTTGTATGTTTTTTGTTTTCTGTCATTACATATACGTAAGAGTTCAATATGTTTAACTGAAACATGAAATTTGCGAAAGACGCAAGACTTTCTGCCGATATGACTTTATTTCGCAATTACAGTTAGATACTATTGATTGCTAGTTAATGGAAAATATCAAGTAAATTCAATTTTAATTACATTAAAACATACAGGACATCTGGCCTTTACAAGTAGATGCAATACCAGCATTCTTGCCTTGCTGAACATAAATGAAATGTATATAGTTTTTCAAATTGAACAAATACACTATTAAACAATAGTTAAATACAAGTTATAAGGAATTTATAATAAATTTGATTAAATAGTAATTTCACTTGTTTCAGTTAAGCTAAGGTTTCCCGTATTTGCTTTTAATTACAAAATTAATTTCGTTTCATAGAATTAAAATTATATTAAGACCATCTAATTCTCACGTTTAAGTCGAACTGAAAATCTTTGTATCGGATTTGGTTACACTATATTTAACGTGATCTTTGTCGAAAAACCAAAGATCAATTTCGGAAAACCCGATTACGGCATAAGCTTAAGGTTTTAAACAGCATTCTATCAATTAAGGATCCGACGTTTTAAATGCCTATATCATTAGGGTTTAGTAGTAATTTGAACTTTCCAATGACTTGTCTGGTAATCAACCTAATACATATATTTTCGACATCTAAACCAAAGCTGAAGGATCTCAAATGTGTCGATCGAAGTTGATGTCTTTTACTGTTATTCTGTTCTTAACGTCTTTGTTAAACCGAAGAAAAAAATAAAACAGAGGGTAAAGCAAAACGTATTTGAACATTTATTAGCAGTTCGAATACAAGTAAGAGCAACTTTGTAACTCTCCAATTTTTGAAAGATGGAAACTAACTTTCAATTGTTAGTGTTGCATTTTGTTTCCAGAGCTGCTCTGTAGCAGGTCCAAAGAAATTTTTAAAAAGTAATTAATTGCAGTTTAAGCTTTACAGTAATATAAATCCAAATAGATGAAATCAGATTCATAATGTAATCGCGTTTTTTAAATTAAACTGGCTTGACTCGACTGTCGAGCAGACATTTCAACTCTAAAAAAATATAGAAGTTATTCGATAAACCGCATGTGAATCTGAAAAAGATACTAACTAAAAGTAGTCAGACTGGTTCAGAGGTTTTTGAAAAAACGGTGTAGATAAAATAAAACGAAAATTACAGTGCGGTTGGGGAAATTTTCAGAGCAATTCCAATTCAATTTATATAAGGTTTCCTGATAACCAGCGAGAACAAAAATTATTTCTCTAACATTGTAAATGGAAATATGGAGAACAATTTAAAAATAAGATTTCATATAGCTGCCTTAAGAATTACATTTTACAAAACAAAATCTGTACATTTGATCAATTATTTTATCAGGCGCTAAAACTGATTTATTACACTAAAGCGTATCTATCTGTATTTTTGGGGAATCTTCCAGGAATCAGGGAAATTTTATTGACCATATAACTATGAATAATGTATAAATTCCAAGATAGATTGAAAGGAATATTTTTAAAACAAATAATCCAACTAAAAAATATATTGAAGGGCAAAGCACGGACTAACTGTGTAAAAGACATTTCAACGCAACTTTAAAAAGCTATCCAAATAGTTAACTATTAAAAGCTATAATTAAACTTCTGACTTTTTAACTGCATACTAATGTGGGAATACAAGATAAATTATACATTCAAAATACCATACCTAAACAGTTAGCATGCTTCAGATCCCCCCAGTTAAAGGTTCCTCCACGTTTAAGGTATAACACCAAAATTAATCAAACAAGCTTTTCCAATAACTGTCACCATCTATTATACATCAGCAAGTGAAAAAAACCCAGCAAGTTTTACTATAGTCGATAATATTCAGTAAGAAGAAAACAACAGGTCATAATTTGCGTATATAAGAACCTGATTTTTAATCGTACCCGTTGCACAGGTTAACACACTCCGGTGGCGTTACCAAGTTCACGGTCCCAAGAAAAGTTCAATCTTATTGGAAGTTTTTGAAAATATTAGTTAATTTTCTGTCGTAGACGAGTGCAGACAACGCAAAGACAATGTTAAAATTATTTTTTATTTTGGCTATTGGCCAGATAAGTGTTCGCGGATCTCCATTTGAGCTTTTGGAAAACTACATTGAAGGTTTTGAGAAAAACGTGGATCATCTAAGAAGCTACCTGAAATCGGGAAGCTGGCAGCAAAAGACCCTTCAGAACTACATTCAAGAAGAAGCGCATATAAAAGGTAAGTTAAAAGAACATATGATAAAAATAGATGAAAACTATTAACTAATATGAATGACACTGCTTAAGTAATAAATCATTATTAATAGATGTACAGGTAAAATAGAGAAACATTTTTACAATGTATGTTTTATCAATAATCCAAAAGGGTTGTTGGGTAAGAAGACCGAAAAAATTGTAAGAAAAGGTTAATTTCAGATAAAAACCGAGATATTTACAGGAATCCAAATTAGTATTCGAGACATAAGCGCAAAAGGTGTAATATAGATACATTTACATTATTAATAAATAAGTATAATAATAAAACAAATTGGGAAAAAATTAATATGCTATTTATTGAATGAACTCTTTAATTCACATAATTGTAACCGACCCGCAATTGTGAATTGTCTGATCGAATTTTCTCGTGCTGAAGGAAACACACTATTGTGACACATTTAACAATTAATATTATAAAAATATATTTTCGTACTACTTACTTTTACTTTTCGGGAAATGAGGAAGTAAATTGATATAACGTTAATGTTTATTAAATTATTTTCTACTTTACTTCTCCATCTATAATACCAACATTTTTATGTGCAGCGGGCTCTTTTCTTTAACTTTATTTCCGTAACTAAGCGGTTTAGTAAAACGTACTCTTCACAATTCCATCTCCATGTAGTTTCTTTTTTTTCATGCTTTTTAACAATTGATTGTTTTCCCTTTCTTAATATTTGTTTTGATGATATCGGTATCTGTTCTTTGCCATGATATAATTCTATTTTACTATTATATTATTTTTAATTTGTTTGGTTTCAATTGGATTGTGGGTAAACGGATCATGAAACAAAACATTCAACATGTTTGCGTTTACCTTCATCAACCTTATCTTTAAAATAACCTTTAAAAATAATGAAAGTACCTATATCTTTTTTAAGAGATCTATATCTCCACAATGAATTAGTTATGCGGACATTAATGTATCACGAGATTTTCAAATTGTATAGCACTTATTACTTTGGCTAAACCGCAAGTCAAGATTTTTTGTCCACAAAAGACGTTTCATTTACTCAAATCCCAAGTACCGAGGTCGAATTAAATACTGGGTACCTTTCTATTGTATGTACATTAGTCATTAAATAGTTAATAATTTAATCGCTGCTATTGAATCTAAAAGACTACATTACGGCGATTATGCTAATGCGGTTATCAGAATTATATGTTTACATAGAACTATTCGCCATTCACTGGCTGGCTCATTGTTAAATCATCTCAAGGAACAAATTGATGATCAAGGAAGCTTAAACAATCTATAAATAGAGAATTTGACACAAAAAAGTCCTAACTATAAGTTTCTTGCAGATATTGGCGAATACGACTTCATAATAGTGGGCGGAGGAACAACAGGCTCTGTAATAGCGGCTCGCTTATCAGAGATTCCGGAATGGAAAATATTGCTTTTAGAAGCTGGAGAATCAGAAAGTGTGGCTTCTAAAGTTCCAGTGATGCACAGTTGCCTTAAGGGTGAAAGCAGTCCTTTGACTTGGGGATATTACAGCGTGCCACAAAACAATTCGTGTTTAAGTACGTATTAAAAAATTTCCTTTTCTTGTTTTAAAACATATCAATTATTATTTCGGATGCTAAAGTCTGACACATAAAACTTTAGTTTTTTATTAGATAGTAAATGTTTGTTATTTAAAAAGTAAATATGCTCATTGAACAATTACGAGTATTTAAGAAGGTCTCTGATAAATATCAAGCTTTATAAATTAATGGCAACAATATGTTGGTAAAAATTAGCAAAATCGTTAATGCAACTACTTCAATAAACCGATTCGCTAATTGCAATGTTACAATTTATATTAATAAATAAATAATCACAGCTATTACTACACGTGTATGAAGTTGGAAGCACGAGCAGTAGGCGATTCTAATCATACGTGAGTAGTAAATACATGATTTAAATTAAAAGATGTTTTGCAAATATTCAAAACTAGTAAGTTTTTGGCTGACCTTGTTTATTCTAATAATGTATTAGGTATGCTATAACAACTACAAAAGTAAACTAAAAAAAAAGTCGCAAAAATGCAAAAGTATACTTTGTCAAATTATGAAAGTGGCTTTCAATCAGAAAACAGGCAACTTAATGCTGCATATTAGTCAATCTTTATTCTTCTTTTGACGAATTTTAAGCCTATGGCTTGTTCTAAAGTTCATACTCGTGTGATAATGGTTGTTATTATTTATCATACTATTACGTTTTGGCTCAATAACAAAAAATTTAGACCTGGAAGATAGAAGATGCTTCGTACCAACCGCTAAAGCTTTAGGAGGGACATCTGCAATTAATGACATGTTATATACCAGAGGAACCGCTAGAGATTATGACTTATGGGCCGATAATAACTTGAAAGGTAATGAGGTGCAAACAAATATAGTAGGAAAAAGTGTTACATGTTTTTTAAAAAATAAAAATAAATTCACGCATCCTTTAACCTTAGGCTGGTGTTCCATTTCTTTGGAACCCTACTTTAAAAACATCGAAGATGCACATTTGGATACAGCTATGGACATTGGATTGCACCATTACGGCGGTCCTGTGCATTTAGAGAGCTCAAGATATTATTCAGATATTACCAACAGGTTTTTGGCAGGAGCCAAAGAAATTGGACTGAAGGAAATCGACGTGAACGGAAAGAACCCTCTAGGATTTGGTAAGTTAGCTTCATTCAATTGAATTCAGCGAAAAACGTATTAAACTACTTGTATTAACAAAAATTCGCTAAAATTCCAAAAGCAATAAAATTTCTATTGCATCATTATTTGTCATGCCACAATTAAAAAAACTAATGCCTATAACAAATATTAGCTTTGTCATCAAACTCAATATTCAACCGATTTTTATTATCACAAAGAGCGAACTAACACATCCAAAAACCAGAATGTCACACTGCGTTTTTGAACCATTATTTGAACTTCATTAATTTCCAATGAATTACTTGTTATACAAATAATTTTCAGGTTGTCCTCAACTGATGACGAAAAACGGTGAAAGATACAGCGCAGCTTCCGCTTACTTGAAATCAGCTAAGGACCGAAAAAATCTTGAAATTCGCTCATTGGTACAAGTGACCAAACTAATCATAGGCGAGCACACCAAAGAAGCACAAGGTGTTCACTTTTTCCATGAAGGGCAGCTTTTTACTGCTTCCGCTAGCAAAGAAGTAATTCTTGCGGCTGGAACAATTAACAGTGGAAAATTATTGCTCCTGAGTGGCATTGGTCCTCATGAGGAGCTAAAACCACTCAATATTGAATGTCTTAGTGACTTGAAAGTAGGAAAGAACCTAATTCATCATGTAGTTTTCGCTGGCTTGAAATACGTGTATGTTGACGCCAATCACTTGAAAACCTCCGGATATTACAGCAAAGAAATTGACTATTTGAGAAACGGCAGAGGCCCGCTAACTTCTACCGGAGTTGATGTTATTGGATTTATTAAAACCGAATTCTCTAAGGGGCGGCATTTATATCCTGATGTCGAATTGCTAGTTACAAGCTCTCAAATTGGTGACAATTTGAGCAACAAGATATCTGAAGAAAATATTCACGATCTTAAAAAACAGATTACTATTAATCTGATACTGCTGCATCCAAAATCCAGAGGAACCTTGTCGTTGCATACAAACAATCCATTCGACTATCCTCTGATTAACCTGAATGACTTTTCAGACAAAGAGGACTACGACATTAAAACTCTTCTTTCAGCCATTCGTACTACACAGAAACTATTGCAATCTCAACACCTTCAACCATTAGGATTAAGCTATCAAGGTATTATTCCTAGATGCTCAGAATATGATGTCTACTCAGATGACTACTGGACGTGTGCAATTAAACAATTAAGTATCAGCATTGGAGAAGTAACTAGCTCAGCGCCGATGGGTGAAGAAAAAGAAGGTTCTTTCGGAAGCTCTGTAGTCGATTTAAAATTGAGAGTTCATGGTATTGACAAACTAAGAGTAGCTGATGATAGCGTCATTCCAGTTAGTATTTCCGGACATTTGGCTGCCATCAAAATGGTTATTGGTGAAAAATGTGCTGATTTGATTAAAGAGGAATGGACTAAGTAAATGAGCATGTAACATTTGAAATAAAGTATTGCATAAATTCCCAGTATTTTATATGCCCCTAAAATGAAGCAATTAATAATAATGAAATGGAACAGTAATAAACTGAGTAAAACTAAAGTGAAACTGAATCGAAACTGAAGTGAAATAAATTAATTTCACAAAACATCGACCCGCAATCAAAAAGCAATCGAAATAAAAAATCATCAATCAAGACACTTTCAGGCGTTAGCAAGTATTTCAACTTTTTTAAAAGCGGCAATTCAATTATCTCAACTTTTTCCACAATGTTTGGTCTTCAGATTGATTTTGTTATAATTTATTTAGCAGGTATCATACAATTTTGAGAAAAAAAATTGTAAGGTACAGTTTTAAATGGTACTCTTTAGCAAGTTCTCTAACAAGACACTAGACTGGACATATTTCTAGATCATGTAATGGTTGAAACTAAATTTAATTTGAGGATAACAAATAGAAACAAGAAACTGCCAAATAGACACAAAATCAAACATAAATTAAGGAAATTGTGATAATGTTAAGAAAAAGGGAGAATTAACTATGATTACGATTAAACATGGATGCATGACAATGAAACAATTTTTTTTTAAAGCTGATTAATATAATGCTGCTACAGAAGTGTGTCCACAAAAAATTTGAACGCGGCACAGCGAACAACAGAATTGACAAAGCACAACAGAATTGACGCTAACAAAAGTCATATTGAAACAATGAATAATTATTCAGGATTCAAAAGATTTGCTAGCTTAATTCGATTTTAAATCAAGAGCCAATACGACTATTCGAAACGATCTAAATGCAAATTATAAGTGGCTTACACAAGTCTTCGGGAATTGTTCAGTTAATTTCAAAAGTTATTGCGTGGAAGTCGTGTAGACCTCAATACGATTGTTGAAGCTAAAAATGTAAGCTAAAATGTATTAGTTGCAGCAAAAAAGTACCTACTTACTTTCCTAATTGTAGCTACATTTATATCATACATATTTTTTTTTAGTGCAGATTCAGATTAAGTGAGAAAGTTTCAGCATATGTAATAAGCAATATTTTTTTAAGAGCTTGGCGTAAAGTTTAGTAGATATATTTTAATCATTTTGAGTAATTATTATTTTTCGTAATTATTCAAGAAGGAATACATTATAAAATAAACCAGGAAATCGCCTGAATATCGACGATTCAAAGGCCATATCCTCGGTTGGTAAAACTACGTCAAATTAAGTCAAATTAATTAAATAAAATCGATAATTGGCCAATAAACTTTTAAACACTTTCTTCCGCACCAATTCATTAGCACTTTAAGCAATTAGCATTTTAACAAACAATATTTCAGTTACACAACATGTCTCAAATTAATTCGTACTAATGACCTTCCGGTAATGGTACAGTAAAGAAGCTCTAATTGTGGATAAGAGACTTCAGTGGCAACGGCTTTGATAGTAAAGTAAAGTGGTCATGTTCGTTATCCAATGTATTTAAATTATTCCGGGGACTTAAATCAACTCAAGAAAAAGTAACAAAAAACCTGTTTCTGCAAGGATAAATTAGTTGCTTCTTAGTAAGTAGGTAGCTAAAAGCAAAATAAACAAATACATGTCTAAATGTTTCAAGTTTGATATTTGTATAGTTTTGGTGGGATTGTAATAAGGTAAGCTAGTCTGGGTTTTATTTATAACATTCCAAAACTTCTAAACAAAAACAACAGCTATATTGATAAATTTCTAAAAAATTTCATATTTTTACCTACTCGTGAGTAGTAGGTAAATAACTTAAGTGTTGAAACAAAGTAAATTTTATTAGGAGTCAAAGTGAAAATATAGAAAATCTTTACTATTAATAAATCAGTAAAAAAATTAACTTTATTTTAACATAACTTATAGAACAAAATCCTCAAATGCAGTGTTTCAATTTTCCATCAGTGTTTCTCAAAGGATCTGTATGAGAATTTTGTCATGTCTCGGGTAATTTTACTACATACAAAATTATTGTTTGTATATTATTTGCGTATTGTTGAAATAATAACCCTCTTACTTTTAGGGCTCATACAATGCTCTTATATTTATTAGTCTCTATATCTATACTTCTTACGAGAACTAGTCAAGCCGCTAGTTGTCTGTCTTTCTTGGAATCAGATAATAACTGTTTGCACCTTGGTGAAAATTCTACCATATTTGGATATGGATCCTCTTTAGAAATAGGTAAGACATGCCTGATGGTATTATTTAAGTCCTAGTTCAAAAGCTGCATTTACAAATTCATTATACGTTGTTCCTTATTTGGCGTAGATAAAAATTTAACAACTGTTAAATTCAATTAAATCCCTTTGATTTTTCCTCTACTGATGATGCTAACTATTTGGAGGAAATAAAATTATACGAAATTTCTAGTCCATTAACTTAAAGTTACTGCAAAATGCACCAAAGATTTTTAAATGATTGACTCGTGATTTATTTTAACTGATGACTATTTAACACCTCTTTGACTCTAAATGAACTTTGATATTTTCAGATAACCAGTATGACTTTATAATAATTGGGTCTGGTTCTGCGGGTTCCGTGATAGCCAGTCGACTTTCAGAAATTCCAGAATGGAATATATTATTAATAGAATATGGAGAAAAGCCCACAGTTTTGAACGAAATACCTATTACTGCGCCTATATATCAGGTACATTTCTTTGTCCCGAAGTGTGAAACTCCACCGGACTCAAACTATTTAACATATCTACCAAATCAGTAGCTCATTAAAATAAAGTTATAACTCCCAACAATAGTACACAAGATTCTAGATAGAAAATGTCCTGCAATTTAAATAAAGTTAACGCAACAAAAATAAGTTTTAATGTATGTTTTGTGAGGACTGTTAAAGTATTGATTCTGAAGGTTCAATCAATTTGCCGCAATTGAGAGGACTCTATTAGTGACAAATTTAACCGTAGTAAATTAGAATGGAAAAGTTGTAGAAAGGATCAACTTGGCACAACTTAATTGTCTTCGAGATATTTTCAACTGAAAACTGTTGTCCTCTGTTTTTATTCTCTCCTCTCCTCTGTTTTTATTTCTAGGTTGCGGGAGATTATAATTGGAACTATTTGATGGAAAAACAAGATAACTTTTGCCTGGCTATGGAAGATCAACTATGTGCATGGCCAAGAGGAAAAGCTTTGGGAGGTTCAACAGTACTAAATTACATGATTTACACCAGAGGACATGCCGATGAGTATAATAAATGGGGAGTAGGTACGACTCAAGTGATATCGTTCTAAATGAAATGTGTTTGTTAATTTTATTAATCCACCAGAAAACCCTGGATGGTCGTACAAAGACGTACTTCCATACTTTCTAAAATCTGAAAACTGCAGATTAGAAACTGAATGTTCTGATCCCTACCATGCGTCTGGTGGACTTTTAAGTGTCGAACATCCCTATCACAGCGAATTAACGGATCGCTTTATAGCTGCAGGTAAATAAGATTAGGACTGAAACATAGTTTTGAAATCTGTGTGATGTTTTCTAGGGAAAGAATTGGGGTTTGAAGAGGTGGATTATAACAGTCACCAGATAATGGGTTTTTCAAAAATACAAGCAACCCACAAATTTGGCAGGAGGCAAAGCTCCGCAACAGCATTTTTGAGTTCGGCCTTAAAACGCGAAAATCTAAAAATTGTGGAAAAGACCAAAGTAACTAAAGTGAGTAGTAGGTACTCAATAAACTAATTCTGTAGATTTCGAATTAATTTGTAATGCAATGCAATGAAGAACTTATAATTTAGTAGAAACGCACTGAAACTGAAAGTATAACATAGTAAAAAAATCTGGTATACTCCTTTATAAATACCAACCACAACGTTGTTTAAAAATATTATCAAAAACTAATTATCGAATTTTTCATCTATATTTACTTTAAATCAGTTCTTCAGAATAGGTATGTAGACTTTCAGAAATACGAAATGCATTAACACATCGAAGAAAATTATTGATCAGCGGATTTTTTTAAAGCTTTTAAAATGTAGATAAGTTCTATATTGTTGAGGCGGATTCATTTTTACAAACTTCTTTTTGGGTATTTCGCCTCAAAAATTTTTGTTAAAACAAAAAAAAGACAGAATTTCCTCACGTCTTTTATTACAGATTGATAAATAGTGTTCCTATTTCGCAATAAGAACGAATTATTTATCAAAAAGTAATCAAGAACTATCACCTAGAGGGTATCCTGCGACACACTTAGGCTCAAGCTGTAA